GCCCCCTCACAGCTCAGCCCGCAGCCAGGCCCGCCGTGCCGGGGCGTCCAACCGCGAGTGGTTTGAACACGAAGACCACAAGTGGGAACAGGTGGGGCATCTGGGGAAAAGAGACTGGTGCCCCCGGATGGACACGCACCCCATTACTTCAGGGCCACCCTGGGCAGGTCCCCCTCGGCCCAGCCTGTGGGTGCGATGAAGCCACAGCGGGGGTGACTGACGGCATCCGGGAAGGGGCAGGGCGGGCAGGGCCACCACCCAGGCCCCCCACCAGCCTCAGTGGCGGGGGGATCAGCCCCAGGACGGCCTGCTTCGGCTGGGGTGGGGCGCTCCCCCACATTCCACACCGTACCCCAAGGCCAGCCCAGGCAGGGAGATGGTAGCTATAGAGCCCTGGGGCCGGAGGTTGGGGAGCCTGGACAGCTCCCCCTTCCTTAGTGCCCCTAGCTCCGGCTCCCGGAGCCACCGAGGGTCCCTCTTTCTGGGATGGGGGTTCTTGGGCTCTTGGGGGGGTCACTTTCCAGGCAGCTGCAGGGAATCAGGGGGCCCCTTTCTAGGGTATCGGGCATGTGTCAGCCAGGCCGGTGATCCCAGGGAAGGAGACCGGGGGGCATTTCTCAGCTCTTCTGACCCTGCTGCTCAGAAGCCCCGCGCTGGGATCCCTCCCCCAGGCCTGCTGAGGCCCCAGCAGCCGAGCCAAGCCTGTCTCTGGGGCCGCAGTTTCCACGGCCATGACCCCTGCTCTGCGCAGCGCCCGCTGGTGGCCCTGCGACCTCGGGTCAAGCCTAGGCCGCCCACCCCGGGGGCTGAACCCGCCGCCCGCCCGGCCCCGCGCCCCTGCTCCTGCCGCTGGGCGGCTCCGCGCTGGCCCGGCCGTGGAGGCGGCAGGAGGGAGCGCGGGCGCCGGGCGCTGGCCTCTGCTCGGCCCCCATGACCCTCGACCTTGCCCGTGGCGGGCCCGCTCGGGCCGCCCTACTCCGCGCCTTCGCCTGCGGCCCGGGAGGCCACGCCAGTGGGGGAGACATAGACAGCGACCGGGCCGTGCCCCCGCCCCAGGACCCACTTTCGGAAGACTGAGCCCCGCTCCCCGCCAGCGGCGGCAGGTGCCTGCGGAGCAAGTGGGCCAGGGAGGCACCAGGACGCGCCCGAGACCGCAAAGGGAAGTGCGGGGGGGCCAGCCCTGGGTGATGGCCGCAGGGCCCCCCGAGTCTGGAGAGGGGGCGCCTCGTCCGGTCATCACCACTGTGGTGTGGAGGGACAGGTTCAGCTGGCGGGAGTCTTCCCCAAGGCCCAGGGGAGCAGGCCTGGCCCCCCCCTCACTCCCCGCGGTGCCGCGCGGCTCTGGGATGCCAGCTCCCAGCCCCCAGCCGCCCACAAGGTGGCTTCCCTGGAGACAGAGTGGGGAGCCCGAGCCAGGGCAGAGGAGCCCAGAGTCCCGGGCCCAGGGGCGTTCCTCCCACCCACTGGGCCTCCCTGCACCCCGCAGCGTGGAGGCTCGGCATGCCCGAGCTTGAACCCCCTCCCCTCAGAGGACACGCTGCCCGAGCTGCTTGGTCTGCTGTCCCTCAGGCCACCAGACACAGGACAACCAGGTGTGACATGGTGGCAGCTGGGAGGAAGGAGGGGGTTCGCGAGAGGGGGTAGCTGAGCACCAGGTGGGCCCCCCCCGCTGCCCCCCCACTGTTCTGTGCTCCACACCTAGCCGTGGAGTGCTCAGAAATGTTTGTTGAGTGACTGTGCGTGTGGCCAAGCCCATGTGTGGGCCTCTCCCCATGCCCCTCTCCACCTCTCTTCAGCCTGCCCCTCCACAGGGTGGGCACCCCCAGCCTGGCCCCCACGGGCGGCAGGCCAGGGTCAGCCAGCAGCAGCCCCGCTGGGCAGGGGTTAAACCCAGAGTGCAGCCTTCCTTCCCAGGACAGCTGGGGGAGATTTCACACACGTGGGACTTCCAGACCGCCCTCCTGGGAGCAACACGCTCACCCCCAGACCCACTGGGCAGGCCAGGGACTCAGCCAGCAGGGACCGGAGGGCAGCCCGGCGGGCCTAGCTGTCCTTGATTTGCATGAGGTTTTTCCACTTGGGACCCAGATGTGCCCTCTGGGAGGGCTCCCCACCTGGCCACCCCCACAGCCTACTCTCCAGTTCACCCTGGTGGGGGTAGGGGCCCTGCTGGGGGGACCTGGTCTGCACATGTGACCCCGGAGCATGGGCGGTGGCTCAGCCCCCTGCCCGTTCCCACAGGTTACCTGGGGGGCCAGTGTCTCTGAACCCCACTCGTACAGCACAGGCGCTGCCTGCCCCGCTCCCTGGGTCCCTGGCTCCTAGGCTCCTCGTGAAAAGAAGACAAGACACATGACGTGACCCCAGCACCTGGGGGCGCCCACTGCTGCTCCTTCTGGGGTTCCTCCAGGGCCAGGCTGGAGAGGAAGGGCCCCGGGGGTGAGGGCCCGGTGGCCTGGCACGTGGGACACAGGTCTCGGTCCCGGAGCTGGAGACACCAGCTGGGCGGGTCGAAGAGGCTGGCGAGGGCTGGCCAGGGCAGACAAGCTCCTGCATCAGCAGAGCCATGACAGGCCCAAGGCCAGGAGGACAGGGCAGAGTTCGCCAGGAAGCCGGGGAGGGGCATCTGCTGTGCTCAGTCTCCAGCAAGACAGACCCCTGCCCTCCCGGCTGCCCCTTCCAGTCCCTGAGCACCTGACCTCTGAGCTGCGTAAAACAGAGTCCTGGGGGCCGGGGCCAGGGCAGGGTGATGGATGGTCCTGGGGTCCCTGCATCCCCGTGCTCCCCCACACACCCCTGGCTCCGAGGGGCTCGCTGACCTGGGTGGGGGACCCTCATGGCTGCGGGGAGCTGCCTGTGCAGCACACAGGAGCCGTCCGAGGCCCGCAGACCAGAGGTTGCCCTGCAGGGCCCTCCCGGAAAGGCGTCTGGGGTTCTGGGGCCCGCAGGCCAGAGGCAGGAACTCAGGCGCATGCCTGGAACGTGGCCGGCGCGGGCTGTCGGGCGCTGGACTCACCCTCACAGTGAAGAGCGCAGCTGTCTCTGGGGAGCGGGCATCAGCCAGACAGGCGAGGTGGGACGGCCCAGCGACCGCCGAGGGGCTGGCCCGGCCTAGCGCTAGCTTGCAGGTCCCACTGGTGGGGCCGGGAGCTGTCGCGGCTGCGGGGAAAGAGGTGGGCAGCGCTGCCCGGGAGGAGGGACCCCGGGGGGCAGGGTGGGCAGGGGGAGGAGGCCTGCGAAGGGCTCCCGCAGCCGCCCTGGGCACGGCAGAGGCTCTGCTGGACAGGGAGTCCTGCCTCCGCCCCCGTTCTCCGAAGGCTCCCCGAGACGCGACTGCTCTGCGGGTCACGTTCAGTCACTTTGGTGACGCCCAGGAAAGGCGGCCCCAGCACCGCCGACCACCGCACCCCTGGACGCCAGGAAGCCTGTCAATGCCCTGGGCGCCCGGGGGCGGGGGGGGGGAGGGTGGTGCTGGCCGTGGGGTTGCAGGACGAAGAGCGCGTGGAACCCGCAGGGGTCGTGGGAGCGGCTGCCGCTGTGCCCCCCGGGCGGCGCCTTGAGGCCCTGCCAAACACGGCCGCGGCGCTCACTGCTGGGGACCCACAGGGCCCAGCCAGATTTCTCGCCGGACCCTTACCCGGACCCAAACCGGGCTGTTCCTGTTGGCTTGTGTTTGCCTGAGGGAAGGCTGTGCCCTGAGGGGGAAGCAGCAGGGTCTGGAGGGGATGGGGTAATCCAGCAGGAGGGATGGGGGAAGGTGTGATGTGTGCCCCCACCAGACGCCCGCCCCTACTGTCCCTGCCGAGGAGCAGAGAGACCCTGCCATGGTCACCATGCGCAGCTCCACACCGTGGGCCCTGGGGTCCCCGCTCACCCTTCTCTCCCCACCTGCTAGGACACTGCTTGCCACTCCCTGCAGGACCTCTGCAGCCCATTAACTTGAGTGTGCCAATGAGTGTGGGGCCCCTGGGGTGCAGGTCTCCGGGCGTTGCTCCGCACAGCAACCCTGCCTGCCTCGCCATCCCTAGCACCAGTCTGGCCAGGCCCCCGCAGGCCTTTGGCCCACCTGTGATGTGCCTGGGTCCGGGGAGACAGCCCAGGGCACAGCCTGGATGCGGGAGGTGTCTGCTTGGGCCAGCCCACTCTCGGAGGCACCCTGGGCAGGGTGCATGGCGGGGAGCGCAGGGGAGCAAAGTCCGAAGTCCTGCTGAGCACTCAGCTTGCCTGGCCCCCAGCGCCTGCCCCACCCGCTGCCTCAACCGCGCTCCAATGGGGGCGGCTGCCTCTCTGCAGCCAGTGCCTCACTGGGCGAGAGGGAAGCAAGGTGTGGGCAGAGGGCCTGAGACGCACCGGGCTGCGTGACCGTGGGCTAGCGCTCCCCTCGGCCTCCCCTCAGCCCCTGCGGTACGGAGACCTGGAGACTCAAGGCAACGACACCCCCCAAGACGCACTAAGCCCCCAACCCCGGCTCCCCATGTGGGCTGGCTGCGGCCCAGGCTGGCCGCTCGGCACAGGGGTGTGGGCTGGGCCGAGGCAGTGTCCCAGCGCAGTGACCGAGGTGACAAGGCCTCCCCAGAGCCAGGCCCCTTCACCAGCGGGTGAAAAGTCACAGAGGCCCGTCACAATGCCACACAGGAGGTCAGGGCAGAGGGAGGCATTGGCACCCCGGTGTGGGGGGTGTTCTCTGCACCCCAGGCAGAGGTCCTCCTATTCCAGCAGCGGCAATCACTGCTGGCCCCCAGCAGGGCAGAGAAGGAGCTGGTGCTGGACCCGCAAGCAGCCAGTGCCCGGAGAGGGGCAAACAGCAGGCAGCCCCCCGAATGGTGCCTCTGCCTGGCCTCCTCCATGAGTTTTGCCCATGCAGGGTCCTGCCACCCACCCCGTGCAGCACAGCCCCGCCTGGACTAACCCACAGAGGCAGGGCCTGTTCCCCTTCCACCAGGCAGGCGGCTGGGTGCAGAGGGCAAGCTGGAGGCCCATCGGTGCGGGTTGTGACACGGCCCCGCTGACACCCCCTTCCCAAAGCAGGGATGGGGGCGACTCGTCACCGCACCTTGCAGCAAGCAGCGCAGAGGCAGGGGGCATCCTCCGCACGAGGCTGGCCCCAGGCGAGGGGACACTCAGTAAACGTGACAGACGAGTGTGGGTTGAGAGGCCAGAGGCCGGCGGCTGGCCCTGGAGTCGTCAGTGCGCGGGCAGAAGGCTGGACCATTTATTGGTATCCATCCGGTTACTCCCAGAAAGGGTGTGAGGCGGAAGGGGCTTCAGCATCCCCGCCTCCCGGACACCCCCATATCCACAGCCCGGGAGCCCCGGGGCCAGCCTCGGCCAGAGACTGCTGTGGAACAAGGGTGTCCTAAGCCAAGTGAGGCAAGCGCACCACAGGCTTATGAAACCAGGCACAGGATTTCTCCTCCCACAACCGCGAAGCCAGGGATGCACGCCCTCGGCCGCTCCCCAGCAGGTCACGGGGTATCCCCACTCTGGGTCCAGAGGTTTAACCAGAGCGAATCATGCAGTGACCTGCTGGGCAGCGTCTCGCCTGCAGTGTGGGGAGGGCCTAGTTCAGACAGGCGGGGAGGCGGAGAGAGGCAGAGGCAGGAGCGTCCCTCGCAGGCCACCTCCCGGAGACCTGGCAGGAGGCTAAGATGGGGCAAAGGCAGGGAGCGCCTCTTCCTGGGGAGCTGCTCAGAGCCAAGGCTCTGGGGCCCCCCATGCTACCGCTTCCCCTTCTTCCTGTCTGGAGTTCCAGCGCCAAGGTGGGTGGGACAGTGACCAGTGGGTCATGTGGGGTGGGGTGGACCGCCCACTACTCTCCCTGGGAGGCAGGAGTTTCTTTGCCTGCGGGAAAGGAGGGCGGGAGAGAAAAACAAGTCACAGTTACCCGCTGCCTCGTTCCTGGAGCTGCCCGCGGCCCTCCAGCCTGCAGGTCCGAGCGGCTGGGAGGACTCAGACGCCTGGCTGGGGGGCGGGGGGTGAGTCTGCACCACTTTGTCCCCCAAAGTCTGCAGGGGAACACAGAGCCTCTCCTCCGCAGTGGGGCTGGAGGCTCTCAGAACACCCCAGGCAGCCTGCTCCCGCCTACAGAGGACACTCATGGACCAGAGGGACTCCCCGCAGACAGGCGGGCAGCGCGCAGGCCCATGGGCATGGAGAGGGGCCCGGGGCAGCCGGATGCAGATGTGCTGGGGTTGAGAGTACCTATGTGGACACAGAGCAGGCGGAGGGCTGGATTGGAGGCTGAGCTGAGAAAATGCCACAAGCAAAACCCAGCCCCTCAAGCCCTCTGTGAGGACCACGGCTGCAGGGGCGCACCGCTGGCTAGCACCCGCCAAGCCCAGGTCCAGGCCTGGGAAGGGGCTGTGGGGCCCCACTGAGCGCGGAGGAGGCCATCTCAGGGAGGCTGCCAGTGTCAGTGGACGGGCAGTGTCTTCCCTGTGCTCCCTGTCCGCCCACGGCCTGCCGGCGCCCGCACCCAGCCCTCACCTTTCGGGATGAACTTGAGTGAGCTGCTGAATATTCAGAAGCGGGATTGGCCCCGCTTGGGGCCGTCATTCAGGAACTCGTGGCCCAGCCCATTGCCGCACTTGCCACAGGACACCTGGGAGACCAGCAGATGGCCACGTGGCCTTAGCCCTTGCCCCTGCCCAGTGTCCGCTTGTGCCCGTTTCCCAGGGACCGGCCGGCATGAAGCTGGAGCTTTGCCTGGAGCTGCACAGCCAGGCTGTCCCTTCCCTCCCCACAGGCTCTCCCGCAGCTGGGGGGGAAGGCAGGGGTGGCAGCGAGTCTGGTGGAGACCAGAGGTCTGGAGCAGGCAGGCTCTAGGCCCCTGGAATGTGCAGGGGCAGCGGGAAGGCAGGGGTGGCAGCTCTCGGGCCTTGCTGGGCCACACACCTTCAAAGCTTCGGGCCGGTTGTGCTCCGGGCGCTTGGCCACGCTGTCCGGGTGAATGGTCTCAGTGAAGGCCGGCCAGGGAGACGAGTGTGCGTACTTGGAGTGGCTGGAGAAGAGCTCATAGCCACACTTGGCACACACGTAGATGCCTAGGCAGGAGAGGCAGACAGCTGGCCCCTGTCCCCCCAGGGTGGGTGCCCCCAACCTCGGACCCAGGAGACCCCCCCCCAGGCCTGGGTGCTGACTCTGTGGAGACCAGCCGCTGAGCTCCCATCTCATGGTCCCCAGCACAGACACCAGGAGCCACTTTGCTCCTTATCTTGCTGCCTGCCCGGCAGGCCACAGTGCAGGCCTTGCCACTCGACAGATGAGGACACTGAGGCCTAGGACACAGAGCCCTCAACTGGAGGAGGAGCCCAGGCCTCTGGGAGGACACAGCACCCCCACCCTTGGGCCTGGCCAGCACCACCAGCTCCCTTCTTCCCAAGTGGCTTCCCTGAGCCCAGTGCACTGTCTGGAGAAGGGCCCTGGGAAGACACAGCCAGGGAGAAGAGGTCTGAACCAATCTCCAGAAGATCACTTTGAAGGAAGAAAACAAAATAAGGTTGCAAAAGTCACTTGCAGAACAGGAAGCTGGCTGGGGGCCCCACCCTCACCCCCTGCTCACAACCTGGGGACAGCCCCTCCTGCTATCCTGTCCTTCACCAGCAACTTAGGAGGCAGCAAAGAGGAGTTGCAGCTGCGGGCGTGAAGTTTCCAGGGGAGCAGGCCGAGGGCAGCTGTGGCCACAGCAGGTCCCGGAGGAGGGCTTTGCCAGACGGCCCTACCCGAGGCCTGCCTGGGGGCAGTTTTTACCAAATTAGTCCATTGCTAGGCAGCCGCCCGGGAGGGTGCTCACCAGGACCTCACGGCGCCTCCAGGGCGGGGCGCTGGCCACGGCCCCCCGCACCCCCCTCCCCCCCGCCAGGGTCAGACTCCACCGTCCAGGCGGCCACTCTCCCGCCGACACGAGCCAGCCGCGCAGGGGGCCAGGGCCGGTCGGGCGCGTCCTGACGCGAACAGGACGCTCTGTGCCGCCCGGCGCACCGCGGGCCCGGCCCGGGAGGGGGCGGCGGGCGCGGGATGTCCGGGCTCCGGGCCCGGGCCGCCGTGCGCAGGTCCCGCCAGGCGCGGGTTCCGCCCAGCGTCTGCACCCCAGGACCCCGGCCCCACAGACCGCCCGGCAGCGGCCACTCTCGCACTCCAGGGCCGTCCTCCTCCGGACAGCGCCCCGCCGGCCCCGCTCCGGGCGCCCCGCGCCGCGCTCCCTGCCCGTCCCCGCGCCGCCGCTGCCGTGCGCGCCCGCGCCCGGCCCTCCGGGGCCGCAGGTCGTACCCGGCGCGAAGTGGTTCTGGAAGACCTCGCCGCCGAGGAAGCTGCAGAAGGCCATGGCGCCGCGGGAGCCCGGCGCGCGCCCGAGGTCCCGGCTCGGCCGACGCTGTCCGACCCGGCCCGGCCCGGCCCGCCCGCGCCGGCCGCCAATCACGCCCCGGCACGCCGCGCCTCCCGCGGGCCCGCCCCCCGAGGCCCCGCCCCGCCTGCCCGCGGGCCAATCGCAACCCGGGACGCGGGTTCCGGCTTCCGCCTCCAGGAGGCCCCGCCCCCTGCCGGGCCCCTGCCCGAGCCCGTCCCCCGGCAGGCTCCGCCCACCAGCTGCCGCCAACGCCTTCTCCCGCGCCCCGGCCCCGCCCCTGAGTCCCCGCCCCGGCCCCGGCCCCGCCCCTGAGGCCCCGCCCCGGCCCGGCCCGGCCCGGGGCCGAGACCCGCCTCGCGCCCCGGCCGAGACGCACTCCCACGACCCACTGTGGCCCCGCCTCGCCCGAGGCCCCGCCCCTAAACCACGCCCGAGGCCCCGCCCCCGAACCGCGCCCGAGGCCCCGCCCCCGAACCGCGCCCGAGGCCCCGCCCCAAACCGCGCGCGAGGCCCCGCCCCCAAGCCTGGCAGGCCCGCCCACGCCCGGCCGCCGCGCCCCCCGCCTCGCGAGCCCCGAGACACCGGGCAGAGTGGGCGCCGGCCTTTATTCAACGGGAGGGGAGGCGGGACGGCGGCCTACGAGTCTCCCGCGGGCTGCGACTTCTCCTTCTCCAGGTGCTTCTTCTGGGGACCCTGGGGCGGGGCGGCAGGAGGCAGTTGGTCCGGGCCCTCGGGGGCGGCCCGGGGCGCCCGGGCACCCACCCCGGCGCCGGGCGGTTGCACCCCACGGCCGGCAGGCGCTCACCATGAAGGCCCGCTTCTCCTGGGCCGTCTGGAAGCGGCCGCGGCCGAACTTGGAGGTGGTGTCCACGAACTTGAGCTCCACGTCCTCCAGGGCCCGGCGGCTGTGGTGCACCAGGAGGGACTGGGGGGCGCAGGGGCGTGGGAGGGGGCCGGGCGGAGCCGCCCTCCCGGCACCTCCCAGGGCCTCCCTCTTTCCCCTGCACCCCCCAGAGCAGTGGCGCACAGGACAGCCCGGCCCCTCAGCCCCTCTGCCGGGCTCCTGCCCCCGCGTGCGGGTGCCCACGCTGACCTTCCTCAGCGTGATGACCCGCTTCCTGGTGCCCGCGATGCAGCCCTTCAGCATGACGAAGTCGTTGTTGACCTCCCCGTAGTGGGGGAAGCCGCCCTGGGGGAGGCGGGTCAGGGACCAGGCCAGGCCAGCGGCTGCCGGTCAGGGGGCAGCCTGGCATCCTAGAGGCGCCCCGCACGCTCCAGCGGTCGGAGGGAGCCGGCGCCCGCCTGGCCTGGGTGCTGCCGCGTGGCGGACCAGAGACAGGCCCCTCGGCAGGACCAGAAGCCCCTCTGGGCGTGACCACTGCCCAGTCTGCATTTCACCCGTGCCCGCCCACACGTGCAGCCCGCGGCCCCTGCGGGCCCTGCCCTCACCAGCGGCGTGATGGACTTGTCGCTGATGTCGTAGCTGGTGGCCGCGTTGTTCTTGACCAGCTTCCCGTCCTGCACGTGCAGCCCCCGGCCTATGCGGTAGATCTACAGGACACAGCACAGCGCCTTGGGCCGCCAGGCCAGACCGTGCGCCCGTCACACCCACATCTGTGCCCACTGGTGGTGCGTTCCAGAGCCTCGGGGGTGCGAGGTGGGGTCCAGCCGCATGCACCCTGGGGCCTGTCAGGGTCTGGCATGGGCTCACCTTCTTGTTGAGCTCCGTGCGGTGGTGGTAGCCCTTCTGGCCGGCCCGGGCGATGGAGCAGCCCACGCGGGCAGGGTGCCAGGCACCAATGCAGGCCACCTTGCGCAGCCCTTTGTGCGTCTTCCGTGGTAGCTTCTTGGTGTGCCAGCGGCTGGTGACCCCTGCAGGCGAGGGGAGGAGGGCTGTGCTGAGAGGCCAGCTGGGTCCTGCCTCTCCAGCGCCGGGGTCGCCCTGGGCCCTACCTTTGACACCCCTGCCCTTGGTGACGGCGATGACATCAATGACCTCGCTCTGGCTGAACACGCTGTGCACTGGCACCTGCTGCTCCAGCCGGGCCTGAGCCCAGGCCACCTTCTCGGCCACGGTGCCACCATTCAGCTGGATCTCCATGATGTGGGCCTTCTTCTGCCGGAAGGGCAGCAGCTTCATCTGCAGGACGTGACGCCCAGGGTCACCGGCATAGTGTGACCAGCCAGAGCACTGCTGGCTCACGCTGTCACTCTGGCCTGCGTGCCACGGTCCCCACCAGGAGTGGGGTGCAGCTCAGGGGAGGCAGATGGGGTCCCTGCCCACACAGAGCCTCCGGCTAGCCGGGGGACAGAAGTCCTCGAGCAAACCCCTGCCAAGGACCTACTGTCCTGATGGGACGTCGAGGGGAGGGCATGGCCGTTGCAAGGCCCACAGCCGGGGAAGCCTCTCGGAGGAGGCGACACTAGGGAGGCACAGCGCAGAGGCCCCGCAGGCGGGTGGCATGGAAGACCAGTGCGACCACATGGTGCAGCAAGGAGGGCGGACCGCCGGCCGGGTGCAGGGGCCCAGCGCACAGATGACATCCCACAGACGCCTTCACCAGACACCGGACACCTGCCCGCACTTTCTCTGTAAAAGCTTCGGGAAGGCACAGGCTCTCGGCGTGGACGCGGGAACTCCCATGACAGCCCCGCATCGGGCAGCTGCCCGCCAGCCCTCGAGGCTGCTCCTGCCCAGTCCTGGGTCCCGAATCTTTGGCCGCCGCTGATTTACATCAACAGCTCACACTTGTCTCAGAAGACCCAGGCCCCGCGGGACGCTCCGGCCCTGGCAACTGGGCACCAGCCCTGGGGCCTCAGGCAGCCTGCCAGCCATCAGCCAATTGTTGGAACTGTGCCCAAGGCCCGAGGTATTTTTAGGCTGACATTTGCCAGAGCTCCAGGAAGCAGGGTGCCAGGGCGGGGCGATATCCAGGCCGGGCTGACCTGGGTGTGGACGATGACCCGAATGACCTTGCAGTACTTCTTCATGGCGGCAAAGTCTTTCTGGAGCTGCTTTTTGCCGTCGGTGTCGCGCCACCTCTTGCAGGCCTTGGTGAAGGCCTTCTTCTTGCTCTTGTGCCTGCGCCAAACACGGGGCCTCAGCGGGGCCAGCGGTGGCTGCAGCCTGACTGGCCCCCACCCACTGCCCACCAAGCCGGGGTCTGAGAACCTGCTTTCCTACCTGCTTTCCTCCCTCCCTGGGGTCCCGGCCCGTTCCAGCTGCATCTTCCCACATAGGCCGCCCTCCCCCTCTAGGCCTCCATGTCTTCCCTGCCCCTCAGGGCCGGGCGCCAGTGAGAGCAGGGTACTGTCAGTCCCAGATTGCTCAGCTGCCAACCCTTGTGCACAGCAGGCTTTGGCCAGAGCCCAGGGAGGTGGGCACTGCTGCACCTTCCACAAGAGGAGAAACCAAGGTCCACAGAGACGAAGCCCCTGGAAGAGGGGCAAAGGGACAGCAACAGAACGGCCAGCAGCACTCGCTGGGCCCTCGCTCAGCACTGGCGCCTCTAGCCCCCACAGCTTTGTGGGTTAGTTTGGGCTCACCCCGTGGTCAGTTGGCTCTAGAGCCCACTCTCAACACCTTCCTAGAAGGCCAAGGCTGGACTAGGCCTCTGCCTCCATAAGGAGGGCACACATGTGCGGTTCCCCAGGCAGGTGGGCCCTCCCTTTTGGCCTCTCCCTTCACATCAAGGAAAAAATTTGAGACCTGAGGATGCCATTCTTTGTGATGAGAAGAATTTATTCATTGGCTAGCTATTGCCCTTTTCACCCTGACTGCCAGGAAGCTCACAGCCGACTCTGAAATTCTGACAATTCTCTCCCCTAGTTAACTCTGAGATCAGAACACTTGCTTCCTCTTTATCCTCTACCCAATTTCCTCTTCAGCCCTCTAGTGCTCCTCTTTATGGAAGGGAAAGCACCTGCTCCCCACCCCCCCTGTATTTTCCTGCCTTCCACAGCTACATCTCCTGCCCACCCCCCACCATTCAACCCAGGGCTGAGGACCGAAAAGCCCGCCCAGTCCCTGGGTCCCCCAGCCGCGGCACCCACCGCGGCCCACCCACCACCCTCACCAGTCCCTGTAGAAGCGACGGCGACACTCATCGCTGAGGTGCTCTGCGAAGATGGTCTTGAAGCTCCGCAGGCCGCGTGGGGTGGCCACATAGCCCACCACGCCCACCACCACCAGAGGCGGCGTCTCCACAATTGTCACCGCCTCCACCTCCTCCCGCTTGGAAATTTCTGGTGAGACAGGGGCACAGAGGGGTCTCCAGAGGCCCAGGGGGCAGTGGGCAGCGAAGAGCCAACCACAGCCCCTCCCATCCCAGGCAGGATGAAGCGCCACAGCCCCGTGGCTGCTGAAGGCAGAGGCCCTCGTGACCACTCCGGGCCTGCCGCCGCTCGCCTCCCTGTCTCCCTGCCACCCTGGCACCGGTCAGGGGCTCGTCGGGGACCCGCAATGGCCCAAGCTGGCTCTGACTTAGAGCTCAGGCGAGGCTGAGCTACTCCCTGCCTCACTCCCTGCCTCCCTCCCCAGCAGACCGCCCAGGAGTGGCCGAGAGCCTCAGCCAAAGCCCGCGGTCCTGCGCTGCGGTGCTGAGGGCGGGGGGCGCGCTGGTCCCAGGGCACATGGGTCGACTGGAAAGACAGCGCAGGGGCTGAGGCATGTCCTGGCGGCGGCGGTTCTCATGGGCAGGCAGGGCCACCCTCAGGGCGGTCTCCCCGGCCCCAGCCCTGCCGTGGCCACTCACTGAGGCCGGGCCGGTGCAGCTCCCGCAGGGTGTGCGTCATGCCGGCCTTGTAGCCCAGGAAGGCCGTGAGGTGCACCGGCCGGCTGGGGTCGTCCCTCGGCCACGTCTTCACCTTGCCCCGGTGCCGGCGGCTCCGCTTGTGGGGCAGGAAGCCCAGGTGTCCATGCCGCGGGGCAGAGAACTTGCGGTGGGACTGGGGGCGGGAGGGCGGGAGGTCAGAACTGGGGGGGGGTCCCAGAACCCGGGCCCGGAGAAGGGAGCTGGAGGACCGGGGCCAGGGTCCTCAGCCCCCCGCCCCACTCTGGCTGCAGGGGTGGGGGAGGCCCAGGGGCAGGACCGAGGACAGGAACCAGCGCCCAGCCCTCCTGCCCAGTGGGCCGGCCTGTGGGCAGGGGCCGGACCACCCTGTGAGCTGGGGCCGAGGCCGCTGCCCTCTGCGCTCACCTGGCAATCGGGCCTGCAGCCCCGCCCTGGCCCACTTGCTGCCTCCTCCAGTTACCTCCTCCCTTGCGGGTCCAGGGGCCTGCCTCGTGGGGGCCCCAGAAGCCCACCCAGCCCTCCCAGGGAAGCCGCCGGCCCCGCGGCAGCCCCCGCCCACTGACCATGGCAGTCGGTCCAGTCCCTGCAGGTCGGAACAGGAAGGGGCCTCCCTGCCGGGCACTGGAGGTCGAGTGGCAGGGCCAGGACGCAGCAGCCAGATCCCAGATTTAGCCCCTGGCAGAGGAGCCCGGTCGTCGCCTGTGGCGGGCACCCGCTCTGGCGCCAGCAGCAGGCCTGGCGGGGGGGCGGGGTGGGGGGTGCAGCCTGAGCCTGGGTGCGGGCACCTGCAGTGGCGGCCCCAGGACTGAGCCACGGCCCCGGGTCTCTGCTCGTGCGACCCTCTCCGGGCAGGGCATGCACCCCGGCAGGGGCGGCTGACGGCTGAGATGGCAGGCCCAGGGTCCACCCCGTCCCACAGCCGCGGGCCCAGCTGCCCGGGGCAGTGATGGCTGCAGGTCCCGAGGGCCGCAAGGGCCCATGCACGCTAATATCGGGACCCAAGGACGTTTAGACCCACTGAGGAGCATAACCCTGCAACTGAATGAGCAGGAGGGTTCAATCTCCAATTTTTCAAAAAAGATTTATGGTATTTATTTATGCATACAGAGCTGGGGTGCAGGCCAGAGGTGCGAGGGCGAGAGGATTCCCCAGAGACAGAGTGGGGAGCAGAGCAGGTGGATTTACTTAAACACGCTGCTGAGGGAGCAGCAGGGAGACAGGCGAGGTCTGCTGCGCCCTGTGGGTAGCTCCTGGCCGGGGCTTGCACTGACGTGGCAGCGGCTGCGGACAGCTTCATAGTGTTGAGACTAACCCCGGCGCCACCAGGGAGGCCCCTCAATCTCTGATTTTTTGACGCAAAGATTCTTCACTGATGAAGTTCTCAACTACAGATCCGAGTTTCGCCTCACTGGGCACTAAATCCCCTGCCCCTCAAATGTTCTAGACGGTTGTTCTTGTCTCTAATTACAAAGCAACTCTAGATTCTTTGGGGTGAAAACCCCACGGGAACAAAAATCACCGAGCAGGGGTGAGCCTGCCCACCGGGGGACAGAGGCCCTGAAGGGCGGGCACGGTGGGGGTGGGGAGTGGGCAGACAGGGCTCAGAGGCACGCAGCAGAGCGGGGGGCTGAGAGCGACACCAACATGGGACATGGGCTGCAGGCACCGGGTGGGGCTGGGCCGAGGCAGGGCCTCCCCCACAGCTGCACGGGAGCGCTCTGCCCCTCCTGTCCCCTTCACGAGCACATGGAGCACCCCTGCACAGCCCCAGAGTGCGGCTCACCCCACACCGAGTGTGCACAGCCCCAGAGTGCGGCTGCCAGACCGCAGCTGGGGCCCCACAGGATCCTTCAGTTCTGAAGCCATCTGCCTGGAAACGGCCACCAACACACAGGTCTGGGGGAGCTCGGGCCCATGGGGCCCCCCACTCCAGCCGCCAGTCACAAGCATCAGGACCCTGGCTGCCCACCCCTCCACCCTGCCCGGCTACAAATCTGTGGTTCCCACAGCTACTCCCAGGCTGCGTCATCAATAAGAAGGGCTCACAGGACTCGGGCACACGCTGCCGGCTGATGAAATGTGATGGACACAGAGGAAGGGCCAGAGGTGGAGGGACAGCCCAGGTCTGGGAGGGTCTCGGGGCAGCAGCCTTTGTCCCGTGGAGGGGGGTACATCACCCCCCAGTGTGACATGTTCACCAACCTAAAAGCTCCCCAACTCCCTGCTGTGGGGGTTTTTATGGACACGTCCCCCTGTAGGCAGGGTCTGTCTTTTTTTTTTTTTTTAAGATTTATTTATTTGTTTGTTTAATTATTTATTTATCCAAGCACTGGGCACAGTCAGAGCGCGGGAGGGTGAGAGAATTCACCAGAGCCAGAGCGGGGAGCAGAGCAGGCAGAAGGACCGAAGGACACTGCTGAGGGGAGCAGCAGGCGGCAGGAGAGGTCCGCGCGCCATGTGGGACCCTCCTCCAGTGGCCGGGAGCAGCCGGGGATTGAACCGGCGCCGCAGAGGCTTCGCAACCCAGCGCTCAACCGCTGCGCCACCAGGGAGGCCCAGCAGGGTCTGTCTTTAACTCCATCCCCAGCCCTTCTACTGCCTCAGGTGAGTGGGGTACAGCAGAGAACCCCCAGTTTCCAGTCCTGGCGTGGCCTTCCCCAGCCTGCCCCACCCAGGAGCCTCATCAGAACCAAAGACAGCTGTTTCAGGGGCCCTGCTTCAGAAGCTGGGGACAGTATCAGTCTGTATTATATCACAAAGGTTCTGGTCGGTGTACAGCAGCTCCTCCAGTTACTAACAGGCTCAGGGCCAGTATGAAACCATCAGAATGGGATGAGAGTGCCCTGTGCAGGGCACGGGTGTCTCCCCACCAAGCCCAGCCTCCTGCTCTGCTCCAGGCAAGCCCCCCAAACTCGCTGGCATCAATGGGCCAGTCCATGAGGGATTCGGGTAGATACAGTGGATGCCAGAGAGAACTGTAGGGCTGGGCAACCCAGGGGGGCTTCCTGGAAGAGTATGGCACTGGACATTGTGTCACTGGTTCTCTCCACCATCCGGGTGTTCCAGAAGAGCAGGGCTGTGTTCATCTTGCTCCCTATGGCACTTGCCTGATGTCTGCACGCCATAGGAACGTAAGGAATTGTTCAGTTATTCCTGTGTGTCTTCTCGTAGGACGTAAGCAGGGATCGCCACTCCTGTATCCCAGCCCGTGGGAACCGCTCCGTAGACCGAGACCCGCGGCAGGGGCCGCAGGTGCAATGGCGCAGCCCTGCAGCTAGGTGTTTCCCCAGCCCACGCCAGGGCGGGGCCCAGGGACTACAAGTCCCATGGTGCCTTGCGGGCGCCGGGCACCCTGCGCAAGCGCAGAGGCCTAAGGGCGGCCTCCGTTGCGGGGGGAAACTACAAGCCCCAGGGGGCCTCGCGGGCCCGGCCGCCGTGCGCAGGCGCGCAGGCCAGAGGGCGTCCTCTGCTGCTGGCGAGCTAGGCCGCAGGACCCGGGCGCGGGCCGGGCAGCGCTACGACCGCCGAGCCCGCCGCGCGCGCAGCCATGCCGGACAGCTGGGACAAGGACGTGTACCCCGAGCCCCCGCGCCGCACGCCGGCGCCCTCGCCGCAGACCTCGCTGCCCAACCCCATCACCTACCTGACCAAGGCCTTCGACCTCCTCGTGGACCGGCCCGTGACCCTTGTGAGAGGTACCGGCCTCCAGCCGGGCCCGCCGCTCCCCAACCCCACGCCCGGCCCGGGCCGCGTCGCCCCCTCCCTCCCCCCCGGCGCCCCCGCACCCTAGGCTTCGCCCGGGCCCGCCTCGCCCCCAGCCCCCCTCCCGCGCCCTCCCCGGGAGGCCCTTCCTGCGGCAGCACCCGCCCTGCCCACGGGGCCCGCCGTCGGGGACGCCCCAGGCACCCCTGCCCTCAGGGCCGCAGCCTGGGGACGCTCCGCGCACCCCTGCCTTCCGGGCCCGCCACCGGGGTACGCTCCACGCACCTCTGCCGTCGGGCCGCGCGGCCATGAGGGGTGATTTGCAGACGTGCGCGCCCTGGCCTTAGAGCCCAGTGCTGGGCGCCCATCGTCTGCGTGTGCACAGGGACACCAGCACGCGTGTGTTGAAAAGAGGGCACTCTCGAACCCCCTGTGTGCCCTCAGGCCCCCCAAAGTGAGGGGGTGGAGTGGTCAGGTGGTGGCCCACGCCTCCTGGTCCAAGGGGCACTGCCTTTGCCCTGTGTCCCAGAGAGCTGACCAGAGCCCCCTTCTCTGATCCCCACCAGGTGGCTGGGCCAGGAGCTTCTTTGTTGCCCTGTGAGGCTCAGCCTGCTGCCTGCACGGCGCAGCGGGGAGCCCGCTTAGCGGTCACTGGTGCCTGATGTCCATGCGTGCGCTTAAATCTCAGATAAGCAGCAGAACATTTGGGATGCAGAGCCTTCTCTGGTGGCGCTTTCGTCAGGAACGATGAAGTGGTCCGGAAAGGCCTAGCTCCGACCTCCAGCTGGTCTGCTGTGCTGTTACCCCTCCCTGCTTTCACCCTGAATCCTTTTTTTATATTTTACTTTATTTATGCATAGAATTGGGGCTTCAGCCCCGGGGAGAGGGTGAGAGGACTCCCCAGAGAGAGTGGGGAGCAGAACAGGCAGATCCACTGAAATCCACTGCTGAGGGGAGCAGCGGGCAGTCAGGAGAGGTCTGCTACGCCCTGTGGGTCAGCTCCCTGGCCGGGATTGAACTCAGGCCACAGTGGTGACAGCTTGAGACTGAACCCCTAGGCCACCAGGGAGGCCCTGGATCTCCTTTTTGTAGCGATTTCCCAGAAAGCGCTTTATATGTCTGCACATGGATGGGATCACACTAGATCCAGCTTGCTGGGGTGCAGATGAGAGGTTGTAGCGCCACAGCGGGATCTGGAACCCTTGCCCCTGGCCTGCTCAGTGGAGGGGGTGGTCCACAAGCATGGGCTCGCAGAACATGGGGGATTCTGGGACCAGCCTGAACCGCAGCCCCTCTGTAAATGAAAAGCATCTGCCCCACACCGTGATTGGGGACGAGCCGGGGAGCATGGGCTGGTGAGGGACGGACACTTCAGAAGTGGTGGGCATGGCTAGGACTCTCTGCCAACCTAAGCCTCTGTGAGAGTCAAATCGCCGGTCACTGCAGAAGCTGGGAACGCTCGGCCTTGTGTGGCTGGGACAACAGAGCCAAGAGCCCTCTCTGACAGCAGGAAACTGACTCGGGTTTTCCCCTTACAGAGTTCATCGAGCAGCAGCATGCCAAGAACAAGTACTACTACTACCACCGGCAGTTCCGCCGCGTGCCGGACATCACGGAGTGTGAGGAGAGGGACATCTTGTGCATATTCGAAGCCGAAATGCAGTGGAGACGAGACTAGTACGTGAACCTCCAGCCCTTGGCTGCTGTCCTCAGGTCCCCCGGAATTTTGGGATGGGGCCGGCCTGCAAGAGTGACCTTGGGGGTGTGGGGGCCAAGCTCCTGCTTTCACACTGAGCTCCCTGGATCCAAGGTGGGACACCCCGTAAGCCAATGTTTTCTTTTCTTTCAGCAAAGTTGACCAAGAGATCATGAATATCATTCAGGAAAGGATGAAGGCCTGTCAGCAGAGGGAGGGTGAGAGCTACAGGCAGAACTGTGCCAAGGAGCTGGAGCAGTTCACCCAGGTGGCCAAAGCCTACCAGGACCGCTGTGAGTGACCCCTTGGCAACCCCCCCATCTGCGTGCGGTGGGCCAGCAGCCTGTGGTTCCTGCCCGCCATTATCATGGGGCACTGCCCATGACTCCTGTCCCCATTGCTTCCCCAGATCACGACCTGGGCGCCCACTACTCTGCCAGGAAATGCCTGGCGAAACAGAAGCAGAGGATGCTGGCAGAGAGGAAAGCGGCCAAGGAGGCCGCCGCAGCCTGAGCCGCACCCGGGGCAGCTCATGAAATACAGAGCGCGTTGAAGCCGCTGTTCCTGGGGTTGCTGTCAGCCCCACCTGAACGAGTAAAATAAACCAAGCAGCAACATGCATGGGCGTAATTCACTTTATTTCCTGGTATAAACTCTACTATGTGGTGGCCACAGCTGGCGCCTGGGTTCTCTGCACAGAGACTCTTGTGTGGGTCTTCACCAGGTGGTCAGTGAATTCCTAGAAAGAAAAAAGATTAAGTGCAAGTCGGACACCCCGCCCACTGTCCTTGCTGACTCACCCGGGGGTGGTCCTACCTGGTAAGGAGACTTGGTGAACACGGTCTCTTTCCAGAGATCGGGAGTGAGATAGCTGTAGGTCTTGGAGATGGCATCAAAGGTGGCCTTGGCTGGAAACACATCGGGAAATGGGCATAATACTATCCAGAATCAAACTTAGGTGTCAACTGTAAGATACCACAAGGTCCTTACCAAAATTGCCCAGGGTGGCGGTGCAGCCCCTGGCCGAGGTGTAGCAGTCATCGATACCGGCCATCATCAACAGCTTCTTGGGCACAGGCGCAGATACGATGCCAGTGCCCCTGGGGGCGGGGATGAGGCGCACCAGCACAGAGCCACAGCGGCCAGTCACCTGGGCAGGGCAGAGGAGTCAGGAGGTGGCATGGACTGCCTTGCTCCACTGCAGGCCTCACCTCTTGCCCAGCCTACCTTGCAAGGGACGGTGTGGGGCTTGCCGATCTTGTTCCCCCAGTAGCCTCGCCGCACAGGGACGATGGAGAGCTTAGCCAGGATGATGGCACCGCGGATAGCGGTGGCTACCTCCTTGGAGCATTTAACGCCCAAACCAACATGTCCGTTGTAGTCCCCAATGGCCACAAACGCCTGAGAAAAGACTGAAGTGAGAAGCGGCCAGTGACCTGAAGCGCTGGTCACTGCTGCCCAGAGCCTGTTGCGCCCCTCGAGGGAAGAGTGGCCACTGAGAAGGCCAGCCTGAGGCCCCGAGGAGACCCTTGCTCTCTCTCCACGTTACGAAAGTCACACGTGTGGAGGCAGATGTGACCATGCAGAGCTGGGAGAGTTTTAGGAGACCCCTGGCGGGGCAGACCGGGGAAAAGAATGGCCGCCCTACCTTGAATCTGGTGCGCTGCCCGGCGCGGGTCTGCTTCTGCACGGGCATGATCTTCAAAACCTCGTCCTTGAGGGACGGCCCCAGGAAGAAGTCAATGATCTCGGATTCCTACAAAAAAATTTGTGAGACGCTTCAGCACGGCGCGGCGGCTCCCGGACGAGGAACCTCCCGCCCCGGAGAGACGCTTTCCCGCCCAGGCCCCGGCAGCCCCCACGCCCGGCGGGGGCAGGCGTCGGGCTCACCTTGATGGGCAGGGAGAAGAGGTAGATCTCCTCCAGCGACTTGATCTTCATGTCCTTGACCAGGCGGCCCAGCTTGGTGACGGGGATCCACTGCAGGGAGGCGGCGCGGGTGACCAGGCCGCCCCGCGCGGCGCCCCGGGCCCACCTCCCGCGCGCGGCCGCCACCTACCTCCTTGTCCTCGGCCTTGCCTCCGCGAGCCCCGCGGCCGCGGCCGCGGCCCCGGCCCCGCCCCCGGCCGCGACCCCGGGGCCCGCTGCCGAAGCCTCCGCGGAAGCCGCCGCGGCCTCCCATTCCAGGGCCCCCCGGGCCTCCGGGCCCTCCCGCAGCACCGGCGTCGTCCGCCATTTGCTGAAAGAGCGAGCAGAGACCGCCGGTCAGCGGGGCCGCGGCGGCCGCATCGGCCGTCCCGTCTGAGCGCGCGGGCGCCGCGGCCCGGCCCCCCCGGATGCGCGGCCATCGCCGCCGCCCCAGCCCGCGCGCCGCGGCCCCAGCACTCACGTGTGTTCGCGGAGAAGAAGAGCGAGGCCTCGCGGGAGGCGGCTTTTACGGCGCGCCAAGTGCCGCGAGATCTCAACGTCCCGCCCATGGCCATATAGCCGCCTGTGATTGGCCGCTTTGGGCCCCGCCCCCGCGAACTCTGCGCGCGCATGCGCTTCTGTGGGCGGCGACCGGGAGACCGCGCGGAACCCGGGAATCTGCGCGCCGACCCCGCGCGGGCTATAAATGGCCGCGCCGCGCGCGCCGCGCCCTCTCCGCGCCAGGTAGGCCCCGCGCCCGGGCTCCCCGCGTCGGGCGGTGCTGGGTGGGGTCCTCTTCGGCGCTGCCTGAAAATCAGCCGCGGCCTGCAACGTGGCCGCGGGTGAGATCCGGCGCCCAGAGCCACCGGGGCCGCAGCTCGCCGCCCGCTTCTCCGTGCGGGGGGTGAAACCCCGGCCCGCACACGCCCCGCGCCGCGCGCTCCCCGCCCGCTCACCCGCCCGCCTTCCGCCCGCAGGACGCCCGAGCCCGACGCCGCCAGGAGCGCATCGAGGGGCCCGCCCCGGCCGCCCAAGAAAGCTGTGCGCGGCGCCCGCGTGGCTGCCAGGGTGCCCTGCTGTGCCTCCCCATGCCCCGCACGTGGCAAACGCCTTGGCCGAGGTGCGTCCACCTGGGTCGGCGCTGCACTGGCCAGGGGGAGTGGGGTCCACAGCCCTGCAGCTTGGGTGACGGACAGCTGGGCACCCCAGTGGCACCGAAATCGCAGTTCCGTGTCCTATGCTTCCCCCTGTGGAACCCACAGCTGCCCAGGTTGAAATTGGCCCCACCATGTCTACGCCCACCCCTGCCCCGGGCTTGGGGGCGGTTTCCCCAAGGTATTCCTTGCCTCTGTTAGGGGAAAAAGGATGTCCTAAAGCTAATTCCAGCTTTGTGGATTCCACCCACACTCGAGACCAAAACCATCAAGACACTGGGAACTCCAAATCCCGTCCCCACCCAAGGGAAGGGGGCTGGGACCTGAGGGTGGGGTTCAGCAGCCAGGTTGGTATAAAGCCAGACACGTGGGCTTTGGGGAATTCTTTTTTTGGCTCCCCTGCCAGCTCGCAGAGCGCTCAGCCAGCTCTCAGAGTGCCTTTGGGTTTCCATGTCGGCAGATCGGGTAGGATGCATTAAAGACGTTATTTTCCTATTTTCTCCCTGAGTTGTACATTTCCTTATTTCCCTTTCCCTTGTAAATAAACCTTTTATGAACTTTTTTGTGTGTCTGTAGTGGAGTATAAATAATTCCTTTTCAAGCGCGCGAGTGAGGACCCACAGACAGGCAACCGTTTTTATATCGGGGGCTGCTCCATAACACCTATTCTGTGGCATTCCCCTGCCTGTGCGCTAGGGCCTTGGGTGTGGGGTTCCTGAGCCCTGGAGAGCTGCAGCGCTACTACAGAAAGGGGCTGTTCTGTCCCATGTTGCCTTAGCTGGGCAGAAAGCGCTCCTAGAGGCTTGGCTCCTGGCCTGGTGTTGCTTGGGAATCAGCTATCGACCCCCGCCCCCCCCCCCCCCAAGGCAGAGGTTCCAGGTACCTGTTTCAGGTCTGGGCTGCCCTCCCTCACTTGTGACCCCTCACAGAGGAGCGCAAGGGCCCCCAGGCCAGGGCTGTGATTGGCCTGACTGGACAATGCCACTGTGATGTCGGCCCACTCCTGCTGAAATGCGGGCTCCTGAGCTCTGGGGGGCAGTGGAGCTGCCGTCCAGACACATGATGGTGAGTCCAGACACATGATGGTGAGCCTGACACTCCAGCCTGCCCTTCAGATTTATGCCCAGAGCAGAACCCCTTTTGCTCATACTGAGAAAGGGTGGGCCCACTCCTGGTGGGGAAAAGCCTTTCATGGGATTGACCGGGCCAGCTTCTCCAGCTGGGAATGGGTAGTCCTAGGGGGAGGTCTTGACCCAGCACTCCACTTGGGGCTCTCCTGTGGCCCACTTCCCCACCCAAAGCTTCCTGGGGTCTCCCTTTGGGGATGTGGAGTGAGGGCCGGGGCCTCACCCAGCCAGGCCCTGATGGGGGGTGACCGGCGTTTGCAGAGTGGCGGGTATGATCTCAACCTCTTCACCAATCCTCCCGACTGCACCTTCCTGTGTTCTGTCTGCCATGGGGTTCTCAAGAGGCCAGTGAGGTTACCATGCAGCCACATCTTCTGCAAGAAGTGCATCCTCCGGTGGCTAGCCAGGTGCCGCTGGGCGCCCAGAGGCTGGGAGGGCAGGGGCAGTTCTGGGGCTGTCCTGTGGCCCAGGACAGAGGAGGCCTGCCAAGCCCGCCAGATCCAGCTGCCCAGTCACCTGGGACATTAGAATCCTGGGTGTCCTCACCCTACAGTGTGCAGCCTCTGGGTGAGCACTATGAAGCCCTCCCGTGGCCCTTCCAGTGGGAGAGAAAGGGGCGATGCCACTGCCACCAGCCCCCTTCCCACTCCCCCCACCACTCCTGCCTCCTAGACAAAAGACCTGTCCGTGCTGCAGGACAGAGGTGAGAAGGAGAAAGATGGTCCATGTGAACACTCTCCGGAAGACCATCGGCCGCCTGGAAGTCAAGGTAGCTCACCCCCGCCTGGGGCAGAGCCAGGAAGGGGCGAAGAACTCAGGGTTTCTGTTCCAGTGACACGCCACCACCTGGGACATCAGAACTGGCTGTTTGAGTCATGGCTCTTGACACTGGCCCTGTGGCTTTGGGCACATTACCCGACCCCCAGAGCCTCAGCTCTAAAATGAGGATGATGCCAGACCAACTTCCCTATTCTGCGGGACAGCCCTTAGCTCGCCCTCTTGCAATCTGGATTTTTCCCCTCTCTAGGCTCCCAGTTAACTAGCTCCTGGTCAGTGGGTGGTATGGGTGGAGGCTGGCCTGGCCTGACCTGGTCTGGCTCACCCCATGTCTCCCCCATCCCCAGTGCAAGAACGCCGAAGCTGGCTGCTTGGTGACGTGCCCCCTCGCCCATCGCAAGGGCCACCAGGACTCGTGCCCATTCGAGCTGACGACCTGCCCCAACGAAGGCTGCACGGCGCGGGTGCTGCGTGGGGCCCTGACTGAGCACAAGCAGTGCTGCCAGTTCAGTACCCCGCAGCGCTGCCCCCTGGGCTGCGGGGCCACCCTGGGCCCGGCCGAGCGCGCGCACCACAACTGCTACCGCCAGCTGCGGGAGGCCTGGAGCCAGCGCCAGGAGCGCAGCCGGACCCTGCTGCTGTGCGTGCTGCGGCGCATGCGCAAGGTGCACCACACCACCCACGTGCTCCGCAGGCAGCTGGCCCAGCTCGGGAACTTCCTGGAGGACGACGCGCTGCTGCTGGGCCAGGGCGCCCCGCCACGGGCAGCCGAGGCCGCCCCGGAAGGCAGCGCTGGGGCTGAGGTGTGGGGGGTCCAGGGCCAACGTACCTTGTAAATAGAGGAGCAAATAAACGCGGGGGCCAGGCCTGGCCCGCCCCGCCGCCTCTGTACTGAGAGCCCCACGGCCGCCTCCCGTGAGCCGCCGCCGACCGGCGCTGCGCCCCGCGCCCCCGGGACGCCGGCCTTTCTCCCCGGACCCCGCTCGGGTGCTCGTCCTCTGCTCTCGTTTGCCGGGTGTCTTTACACACCTCGCAGAGCGTCCCGCGGGCATCCTGCCAGTCTGTTCACCAGGAGCAAGGCCCGTGTTGCTGCTCCGAAAAGGCAAGCACCCCGCAAACCATGGGCGCCCTGCGCCGCCACCTTCAGGCCACACCCTCCAATGCAGCTCGCCTCTGCCCACGACAGGTGCCCCGGCCCGGCCCAGCTCCTGCCCGCGCCATGTGAAATCTATTTTTTTTTTTTGAAGATTTATTTATGCATACAGGAACTGGGGTACAGGCCAGAAGTGTGGGGGGTGAGAGGACTCACCAGAGACAGAGCGGGGAGCAGAACAGGCAGATCCACTGAGATCCACTGCCGAGGGGAGCAGCGGGGAGCCAGGAGAGTCTGCTGCGCCCTGTGGGCAGCTCCCTGGCCGGGGCTCGAACTCGGGCCGCAGTGGCTGGGACAGCGTCACAGCGCCGAGACTTAGCCCCGGCGCCCCCAGGGAGGCCCCTGCTTACTCCTCACGCGCCGGTCACCTCGGGTTACGCTGCGCCACCCGCGCGGGGCCTTGTCCTGTGAGCGGTACTTTGCACCTAGAACGTGCCCCAGAAGGACGCGAGGGAACAGCCCGGCTTGTCCCTCCCCCTGTGCTGTATCTCGCACCAGGCCGAGCCCCGAGGCAGGGCCCGCAGCGGACCTCGGCCGTGCCGGGGCAGGCGTCTTGGTAGCCGTTTCCCGCGAGTTTCCCACTGCAGCTTCCATCCCAGGCCGCTTTCGTCTCCTGGCGCCGCCGCCGCTGCCCGTGGCAAAGATGGCGCCGCGCGGGCGCTGTGACGTCACGTGGCCGCGCGAGGTGGCGTCATCGCCGTGCGCCGGGAGCGGGGAGAGGCGCGCCGGTCTCCCTCACGCGGCGGCGGCATGACGGACCCCGCGGCGCCCGCGGCCGGAGTGGGCCGCTTCAAGGCCAAGTGAGTCGGGGGGGCGGTAGCTGGGCTCGCGGCCCGCGGGTCCCGGCGCCGCCGGAGGTGGAGGCGCGGCCAGCGGCGGGCGCCCAAGCCGGGAGCGTGGGCCGAGGGGCCTGGGGCAGGGCGCCGGGGGCGAGGGGCCTGGGGGAGGGCGTCCGAGCTCACGTCCGGGCTGGCCCGGGCCGCGCGGGCCCCCCCGCCGTCAGGGAGCGGCAGCGGCACCTCTGGGCAGCGGCACCTCTGGGCAGCGGCCGCGGAGCTTGCGCCTGCCTTCCCCTTCAGAGAGCAGGGACAGCGGCCAGGAGGCGGGCGCGCCGCGGCGCTCAGCAGGGCCGGCCAGGGCGTAGTGCCAGGCCCGGCAGGCAGCCCGCCTGTGCAGCGCCGGTCGGCGGGGTCCATGTCCGGTGGCAGCGCCCCTGTGACTGGCTAGCGCTGCAGGACACCGCTGCCCCGGGGTGGCCGCTGCGGGGATGGGGGCGCCCTGTCACCTTGACAGCCTCCGCGGGCAGTCGGGCAGGCGCCCCTGAAGTCGGGGAAGAGAGGCCCAGGCTGCACACAGAGGGCGGACCTCGATGCCAGGGCAGGCCTTAAGGCACCGTGAACATTGTTTAAACTCCTCTGGCTGCAGGACTTGAGCGGGGGCAGGGCCTGGTGGAGAGGTTTGAGAAGCTGCCCAGAGCAGAGACAGCAGCCACCTGGGGCAGGTGGAGGGAGGACAGGCCTTGGCATGAGGCCACAGGAGCGAGGGCTGTTTGGGGAGTGGGGTGCCCCGTGAGCTGGGGAGAAGGGAGCCAGGGCTGGGAAGGGACTGGCTGGAATTTGGGCATCATAACCAGGAGGATGTTGTTCTGGGCTAGTCCCCAGAATTGGCCTCCCATCGCCAGCAGGGGGCCCCCGAGGCCCATCCTCTTCTCCCTCTCTCGGAGACTGGGCTGTGGGGCCTGGGGATCCCATTGAATCACCTGCCTGCTCTGGGTCTTGAACTCTCTGACCCACAGTGCACCTCAGAGGGGAGGGGAGATAAGAAATTCCTCCCTCGTACCCTCTCCAGCTGCCCAGTAGCTCCTCAGGGGCAGGGGCTGATTGGGGTGACCCTTGAGAGAATGCAGGACGGGGCGCTGGAGAGAGAAACACACAGTTCAGTCTGTCCCGTCCTTTCTGCAGCTACGCCATCGAGCGCAGGATCGAACCTTTCTACAAGGGTGGAAAAGTGCAGGTACCAGCCCTGGGAGGGGCAGGGGAAGGAGAGGGTAGCAGGGCTATAGACTGCCACCTTGGCTGAGGCCCCCTCCCCATCGCCAGCTGGACCAGGCCGGACAGCACCTTTTCTGTGTCTGTGGCACCAGAGTCAACATCCTGAGCGTGGCCTCGGGGGCCCTGCTACGGAGCCTGGAGCAGGTGAGGCTGTGCGGGTGGGTGGGGCGCACGGGTGCAGACAGCGGCGCTCACAGTACTTGTGCCCGTCTTGCCTCTAGGAGGACCAGGAGGACATCACGGCTTTTGACCTCAGCCCCGATGACCAGGTATGTGGATATGGGCCAGACAGTTGGTGAGGACAGGTGGTCTTGCTTTGCCCCCACTCAGCGACATCCTCCCCCAGGTGCTGGTGACTGCCAGTCGCGCACTGCTGCTGGCTCAGTGGGCCTGGCGTGAGGGCACCGTTACCCGCCTGTGGAAAGCCATACACACGGCCCCTGTGGCCACCATGGCCTTCGACCCCACCTCCACACTGATCGCCACAGGTAGGGCCTGGTTGGGGAGGCTGAGTGAGCTGCTGAGGGGGGCGTTGAGCTCATCAAGAACATTCTGCAGGTGGGCCTCCCCTGGTGGCGCAGTGGTTGAGCATTGGACTGCGAGGCTGCCCGCAGCCTCTGCAGCGCCAGTTCAATCCCCGGCCACCGGCGATGGTCCCACATGGCGCGCAGACCTCTCCTGCCGCCCGCTGCTCCCCTCAGCAGTGGACTTCGTCATTCTGCCCGTTCTGTTCCTCGCTCTGGCTCTGGTGAATTCTCTCACCCTCCCGTGCTTCCGACCGTACCCAGTGCTTGCATAAATAAATAAGTCTTTAAAAAAGAAAAAAAAAAAAAAACGTTCCACAGGTGGCTGTGATGGGGCCGTGCGTGTCTGGGACGTCATACAACACCATGGGACTCACCACTTTCGGGGCTCCCCGGGCGTGGTGCAGTGAGTAGCGGTGGCAGAGGGCAGGGGGGCAGGGGCCTCCCCACCAGGTGGCTCAGCTCACCGTGTTGCTGCCCACAGTTTGGTGGCCTTCCACCCGGACCCCGCCCGCCTGCTGCTCTTCTCCTCAGCCGCAGACACTGCCATCCGCATGTGGTCACTGCAGGATCGCTCCTGCCTGGCCGTGCTGACTGCCCACTACAGCACTGTCACCTCGCTGACCTTTAGTGCCGATGGCCACACCATGCTCAGGTCAGTGGCCGGCCGCCACACCTTGGGCAGGAAGTGGAGGGCTCAGCAGGTGCCACTGCTGAGGTTTCTGTCTGCCCCCAGCTCGGGCCGGGACAAGATCTGCATCATCTGGGACCTGCGGAGCCACCAGGCCGTGAGGACCGTGCCAGTGTTTGAGGTGAGGGTGCCCAGGCCAGCGAGGGGGCAGGGCGGGAGCTGGCCGTGGCCACAGCCTCTGACCTGCTGCCCTCAGGGTGTGGAGGCCGCGGTGCTGTTGCCTGAGGAGCCGGCTCCGGAGCTGGGTGTGAAGTCCACGGGCCTGCACTTCCTGACAGCTGGCGACCAAGGTGCAGGGCCAGGCCGGGGCGGGCGGCGGGGGTGGGGCCGGGGACCGAGGGTGCCAGCAGCCCTGTCTTGCAGGTGCGCTGCGTGTGTGGGAGGCGGCCTCTGGGCGGTGTGTGCACGTGCAGCCGCAGCCGCCGGGCCCGGGCCAAGAGCTCACGCACTGCGCCCTGGCCCGCGCCGCCGGCACACTGCTCAGCGTCACTGCCGATCACAACCTGCTACTCTACGAGGCACGGACCCTGCAGCTGCAGAAACAGGTGAGCTGCGCCCCTCAGCCCTCGCTGCCAGCCCCGCCCTCCCGCTCACCACGCCTTGTTCCTCATGCCACAGTTCGCTGGCTACAGCGAGGAGGTGATGGACGTCCGGTTCCTCGGACCCAAGGACTCCCACGTGGTCGTGGCCTCTAACAGCCCCTGCCTGAAAGTGTTTGAGTTACAGACGTCCACCTGCCAGATCCTCCACGGCCACACGGGTGAGGGGCCGACACCCCAGGCCACTCCAGGTCAGGGCCTCACTTGCCATGCACCACCTCTGACCACCTCCCTTTCTCTTAGACATTGTCTTGGCTCTGGACGTGTTCCGGAAGGGGTGGCTCTTCGCCAGCTGCGCCAAGGTGAGGCAACCAGGGGTTGCTGAGGTGTGGGCGCCACGTGGGGGCCCGCACAGCTCTGTCCTCATGGCGCTTGTCCCCAGGACCAAACCGTCCGCGTCTGGAGGATGAGCAAGGCTGGACAGGTGGTTTGTGTGGCTCAGGGCTCCGGGCACACGCACAGCGTGGGTGCCATCTGCTGTTCCAGGTAATGGGTTGGGACTGGGGTTTGGAGGGGGGCCCAGAGCCACAAGCCCCACTCAGGAGACAGGGCAGGAGGTGGCAATGCCTTGACCTCGTTTTCAGATTCCAGCTCAGGGACGTGAGACACGGCATAGGGACTTGGGACTGGGGTGCAGGGGTGGGCATAGGGCGGCGAGAGTTTGTTTGGCTCGGTGAGGCAGTGGAAAGGCGCTTGTAGAGGACCCCAGGCCTAGGGGCTCACGTGCACACTTGGCGTTGGGGGTGTCCCTCGGGGGTCTGACCGTGGCGGGCCGGCCCAAGCCCTGGCAGGTAGGGCACTAGGCTCACCAGGGTCTGTCCCTCCTTTGCGCGGGCCTCAGGTTGAAGGAGTCCTTCCTGGTGACCGGCAGCCAGGACTGCACCGTGAAGCTGTGGCCCCTGCCCCCAGCCCTGCTCTCCGCCAGCACAGCCCCAGACAGGGACCCTGTCCTCCTCCAGGCTCAGGCCACACAGCGCTGCCATGACAAGGTGATTGCACGGGGCACTCTCGCAGGGGTGAGGGCCCTCACTGGCACGCTTGGGTCTGAGTGTCGGCTGCTCGTCACCAGGACATCAACAGTGTGGCTGTCGCCCCCAATGACAAGCTGCTGGCCACGGCCTCACAGGACCGCACAGCCAAGCTCTGGGCCCTGCCTCAGTGCCAGCTGCTGGGCATCTTCTCAGGCCACCGGCGCGGCCTCTGGTGTGTTCAGTTCTCCCCCATGGACCAGGTGCTGGCCACAGCCTCGGCCGATGGCACCATCAAGCTCTGGGCGTTGCAGGATTTCAGCTGCCTCAAGGTGAGCTGCCCCCGCCCCAGGCCTGGCCCCCCACTGGCAGCATCTCATGCCCTCCTCTGCCGTGCAGACATTCGAGGGGCACGACACGTCTGTGCTGAAGGTGGCCTTCGTGAGCCGCGGCACGCAGCTGCTGTCTAGGTGAGCTGGCTTGGGGGCGGGGCTGGGTCAGGCAGGCTGGGGGGTGGCCCCCCCCCCCCGCGCTGAGCCCCTCCCACCTGCACCCCTGACTCAGCGCCTCTGACGGGCTGGTGAAGCTCTGGACCATCAAGAACAACGAGTGTGTGCGGACGCTGGACGCCCACGAGGACAAGGTCTGGGGACTGCACTGCAGCCGGCTGGACGACCGCGCCCTCACTGGGGCCAGCGACTCGAGCATCATCCTCTGGAAGGTGGGTGGCCCTGCCAGCCTAGGGTGGGGCGGCACAGGGCGCCATTTTGACCCTCGGCTCACCCCAGGACGTGACAGAGGCAGAGCAGGCCGAGGAGCAGGCCAAGCTGGAGGAGCAGGTGGTCAAGTGAGTCTGGGGTGACTCCGTGTGTCCCTTGGGGCAGGGTGTGTGGGCACCTCCCCTGCGTCTCGGCTTGGGGGCCCTACTAGCTCCTGCACCCGCCCCCTAGACAGCAAGAACTGAGTAACCTGCTGCACGAGAAACGCTACCTGCAGGCGCTGGGCCTGGCCATCTCCCTGGACCGGCCCCACACTGTGCTGACCGTTGTCCAGGGTCAGTGCTGCCTCCTTGGTGGGCGGGGGTCGCGGCTCCGGGAACCCTGCCCTGGACCTCAATCTTGCCTCCCCCACAGCCATCCGGCGGGCCCCCAAGGCCTGTGAGAAGCTGGAAGCCACCTTGCTGCGGCTGCGTCGCGACCAGAAAGGTGGGGGCTCGGTGGGGGTCGGGGGAGGGGTGGGTGGGGCAGGCGCTGACCCCTGTTGCCCACAGAGGCCCTGCTGCGCTTCTGTGTCACGTGGAACACCAACTCCCGGCACTGCCACGAGGCCCAGGCCGTGCTGGGCATTCTGCTGCGGCACGAGCCCCCGGAGGAGCTGCTGGCCTACGAAGGTGTGCGGGCCTCGCTCGAGGCCCTGCTGCCCTACACCGGTGGGTGTTGGGGTGGGGCGGGGCGGGGTGGGGTGGGGCAGGGCCCCCGCTGTTCTCCAGGCCTGACAGCCTCGTCTTCCCCAGAGCGGCACTTCCAGCGGCTCAGCCGTGCGCTGCAGGCGGCTGCCTTCCTGGACTTCCTGTGGCACAGCATGAAGCTGCCCCCCCTGCCTGCGGGCCCCCCACCCTCTGAACACGCGTGATGTCTTTTCTGTCCCGGCTCCGTGTCTCTCTGGGCTCCGCCTGGCCCCAGCCCAAGGCCCTGCGCTCAGCACTGAGGCGGGTGGTCACTGGAGACTACTCAGCAAGAGACGGCGGGCCACCCGCCCGCCCCTCGCCTTCAGCGGGCCCGGCCCTCCGTCCCCTGGGCCCTCGGGGCGACGGCGCAGCCGTGGCTGTGAATCCCGCCGTGGAGGAGGGCAAGCGCAGGGGCTGGCCTGTCCCCCCCGCTGTCCTCGCCGCGGGTCCTGTGGCACAGCCCTGACGGGCCCGGGGGCATGCACGGTTGGGAGGAGGCATTCGGGGCCGCTGTGCCTGTGGGGAGGTCAGTGTTGGGCCGGCACCCCCAGACAGGCCCCACCCCATGAGCCTGCCCTGCGCAGATGCAGCCCCGCCCCACGTCCCCACCACCCGCACACGTGCCCACAGGCAGGACAGCTCGCCCGCGTGGCCCCCTCGTCGGCGCGGGAAGCACAAAGTCGGACCTGGGAGCAGGGTCGGGGGTGATGGCAGAGGCCGGGGACCCTCTCTAGTTCCCTCATCACCCCCTTGGGGCATCCCCTCAGGACCCCCACTGGGACCCCTGCTCGCTCTGGGGCCGAGCGCTCTCGGGCTGCTGCCGCCACCTGCTGACCCTGCAGCGCGCCCTGCTTAGGGGCCTGTGGCCAGCCTTGCTGTGTGTCCTGGTGGGGTGGGGAGAGGCCCCTCCTACCGCTCTCCTGCCTGGGCAGGGGCCGCCTCCAGGCCCTGGCTGCCGGGCTGCTGGTCCTCCTTTGCCTCCAGCCACCAGCTGTGCCAGCAAGCACTGGAGGGGGCTGGGGGGGTGGCGTCCTGACTGAGGGGTGAGGCAGCAGGCCCGGGGCCTCCCCGGCCCGGAACGCTGGCCCTGCGTGTCCTGGGTGCTGTTGGCCGCAGGCAGCATGGGCTCTGGACGCCCAAGCCACAGACGCCAGGGCTGCCCCTGGGGCAGGGGTCTCCTGGGTGGGCAGGATCCCCGGACTGGGAAGGGCCGCGGGTGAGGGGGTGGTCGAGGCTGGCGTTGCATCCCTTCAGTCTGCCCAGGACCTTCCATAGGGGCTTCCTCCCCCACGCCTCCCTCCAGTGCATGGGGGCCAGGGGCCTGGCACCTGCCAGGTGTGAGCTCGGGCAGCAGGTCCAGGGGTTTCGGTGTGAAGCAGCCACTGAGCGCTGGGCTTGGACACAAACGCCATGGCCACCAGCAGCACCTGGCAGAAGCCATCCGGTATCCGCAGGCGGCATGGGGCCCGCGGGGAGGGGGCCGCCTAGGCGCCTCCCCTGCCCCCCATGGTCCCCCCAGGCTCACCGGGAAGCCTGGGCCTGGGCTCCGCAGCAGACCTGCCTCCTTGAGGGTCTTCTGCGGGTGAGGGGGGAAATGGGTCTCGGAGGCCCACAGGGTTCCCTGGGGGGGCCCCCTTGCAGGGAGTTAGGGGCTGCCTGTGTGGGCAGGAGGGCAGTCACCCGAGCCCAGGTCTGTGGGGGCCGTTGGTGCCCGGGGCCACTCCCGTGGAGCCTCCTAAACTCACTCCAGCTCCGCCCGCGCAGCTGTCCCTGGGCAGACCAGCGCCCGCCCGGAGAGCGAAGGTCTAGCGAGGAGAACTGGGCACCTGCGGAGTTATGGCCGCCCCCCAGCCGGAGCACCCTGCTCCACTCCACCGCGCCTGGGGCACTCTGTGTGCACGGGCGCCGCTCACACGGACAACGGCTGCCAGCCTGCGCCTCGCTCCGCATCTGGAGCCGGCAGGGCGTGGCTGGAGGCCCTGCTGCTCTGGGCAGGAGCCCGGCGAGACCGTCCAGCATTCCCCTTGGGCGCACGGACCGGCCAGGTCCTTCCCGCACTGCCCTGCCCTGGTCCTTCCACACTTGTCTGCACCCCAAGTCAAATTTCTGGGCGGGGAATAAGCATAGGACTGGGGGGCGCCCGGGGAAAGCTGCTGGGAGGGGCCGGGAGGGGGCCTGAGGTCCTCCAGCAGCCGCCCTGGGAGGAGGAAGCCCGTCCAAGTGCCGCCCGCCCTGTCCCTCCTGCCCAGCCAGGCTGGGGGGGAGGGGGCAGCCGTGCCCGGGAGGCGCCCTGTGCTAAGCTGGGTTAGGCCGCCGTGGTCCCAGGAGCCCGGGGCTCCGGCCAGGGGCCTTTGCTTCCGAAGCTGGAGGGGAGGCCTCTGCCACCCACGCCTGCCGTGGCGGGGGGGGGGGGGGGCCCCATCTGCAGCGCCTGGCACTTGGGGTGCGGGAGGTGGCCGCTAGGACTGCCCTGAAAGGCACCTCTGACTGGGCGATGCGCTGCAGGCGCAGCCCCCACCGCCAGGAGTGGCCATTCCGGGCGCTGAGGGGAAGGCGCGCCGGCCCCCAGCTGCCCACCTCCCGGGCGGCCTCCTCACTCTGTTCCGCAGGCGCCGCCCGAGCTCCGCGGTCCTTCCTGCTGCTGCGACTCCCCTACCCGGGCCCTGGCGCCGCTCCAGGCGGCCCCCCTGGCCTCCAGGGGGGCTGGTGCGTCCGCCCCGCGCGCCTGACCCCGGGCGCGCACACCTGCCGGCAGGGCTCACCTGCCAGCCCCGGGCCGGCCTTGGGCGCGCGCAGGGGGGCGGGGCCGAAGCCCAGCTGGGAGGGGCCAGAGGGGCGCCGAGGGCCCCCCCGCCCGGTGGCAGCCCCGGCTCCGCGCCCCAGGGGACCCGAGTCCTCTGCGCTCCCGGGCAGAGGCGGCAGCCCTCCCCCAAGCGCCCGTGCTCCACGCTGGCCCCCCGGGACCCCCTCCCTGCCCGGACGGCCGGGGGGGTCCTCGCGAGAGCACCCCGGGCCGGCGCAGAGCCGCCGCCCCCGCCCGCCCCGGCGGCCCTTCCTGCCCGAGCCGGGGCCCCCGCCCGGGCCCGCCCTGACAGCCTGGGCCGGTGGCGCCCTCCGGCCGCGGCCGTGGGGCTGCACCGCCCCCGTCTGTGGGCGAACGTCTGTCCCGTGCCCCTTGCGTGGGCGTCCCTGCGGCCTCGCGCCCTCCGAGCGCGGGGCGGGGCGGGGCTCGCGCGCCCCCGGCGCCCGCGGGCCGGTCGCCATGGCGGCGGGGGCGCCTCTGTGCGCTCACGGCCCCGCGCCGCCCCGGCAGGGGCGCCGGGCAGAGGGCACAGAGCCGGCCGCGGGCCCGGGCGCCGCAGCGGAGCCATGGGGGCGGCGCGGGCCCAGACCCGGAGCTCGCCGCGGGCCCCGCCGCGCGCCTTCCGCAGCACGCTGCTCTTCCTCTGGCGCGCGCGGGGCCGCCGCCGCCGCCGGCCGGACGCGGGCGCCGGGCCCAGGGGCGCGGCCGGGCCCCGGCCCGCCCGCCCCGCGTCCCCGTCCCCGTCCCCGTCCCCCGGCGGGTCCCCGGGCCCCGCCCCCGCGCCCGCGCCCGGCTCCTGCAGCCGCGCCCTGGCGGCGGCGCGCGCGCTGGCCTGGCGGCCGCCGTGGCAGCCCTGGGGGCCGCGCGGGCCCGGCAGGCTGTGCGCGGGCAGCATGGCGGCGCCCGGGGAGCGCGGGCGCTTCGGCGCCGGCGGCCTCTTCTCCTTCCTGCCCGGCGGCGCGCGCTCCGCGGGCGTGGACGACCCGGTGACCGACGCGCGCGGCCGCGGCGCGGGGCGCCCCGAGGCCGCCGCCCCGGCCCCCGCGCCCGCCCCGGCCCCCGAGACGCCGCGCGCCGAGGACGCCGCCCGCCGGCGGCCCTGCCGGGCCTGCGTGGACTTCAGGACCTGGGCGCGCTCGCAGCACAAGGTGCCCCGGCCGCGGCCGGGCGGGCGGAGGGGGCGAGGGCCGCGGGCCGGGGCGCCCCGCTGACCGCGCGGCCTCCTTCCGCAGCGGGACGGCAGGCCCCGGGGGGACTGCCCGGAGGACCGCGAGGAGCTGGGCCGCCACAGCTGGGCCGTCCTGCACACCCTGGCCGCCTACTACCCCGACCTGCCCACGCCCGAGCAGCAGCAGGACATGGCCCAGCTCATACATTTATTTTCCAAGTTCTACCCGTGCGAGGAGTGCGCGGAGGACCTCAGGAAGAGGTAGGGCGCCCGCGGCCGCTGGGCACTCCCGGCCCGGCCCGGCCCGGCCACCGGGCGTCTGCAGCGGTGGCGGACGGCGCCCCCGGCCCCCTCCCTCCCCTTCAGGGACCGGCTGCCCGGGTGCCGCCCAGCGTGGCTCCCGCTCGCTCCCTGGCTTAGCTGGCACTGATGGGCCCTGGGCGGGTTTCGGGGTTCTGTTGTTTCTGACTCGGGGCCCGAGGCCTCAGATCGCAGTGCCTGCGCCCCAGCAGCGGCCCTGGGCTGGCTCCCGGCGGTGCTCCCTGGCGGTGCTCCAGGGAGGCGGGCGCCCGCCGCACAGTGAGTGTGAGGCCTGCGGAGGCGCCAGGGCCCCAGGCACTGAGAACTGGTCGGGTTTTCACTCTAGCCTTGGTGCCCGGCCCCACCCTTGCACGCGCAGCCCGGGCTGGGGCACCCGGAGGAGCTCCTGGTAGTTACGAGGCTGTAAATCGCCTGGCGGGCGCTTTCATGCGGTGCCCTGGGCTTGTGGCGCGAGCTCCTGGGGCGGAATTTGAGTCCAGCTGGGCCTGCAGGCTGCGGTCAGCCCTCTGGAAGCGCCGGTCCCCGGCGGAGGGCGTCCGGGCCCAGCTGCGTGTGTTCCCACAGGATACACAGGAACCAGCCCGACACACGCACGCGGGCCGGCCTCACCCAGTGGCTCTGCCGCCTGCACAACGAGGTGAACCGCAAGCTGGGGAAGCCCGCCTTCGACTGCGCGCGGGTGGACGAGCGCTGGCTGCACGGCTGGAAGGACGGCTCCTGTGGCTAGGCCCCCGGAGGGGCGCGGCGGGGGGCCGGCAGAGGGGCGGGCGCTCATTAAAGTGCACGGGAGCCGGAGCCTGTCGTGTCTCAGTTGGGGGGCCCCAGGGTGCCCTTCTCTGCGGTGGAAGACTGGAGGTGCCCAGTGGCCTCCCGAGGAGGATGAGGCCTTTCAGGATGAGGCCTGCTCTCACCCCACTGCCCACACCTGATCCCCCAGCGGGGAGGCCCTGGGTCCAGCTGGGCCCCCGCCCCGCCCCGCGAGCCTGGCCATTGTCTCCCAGGCGTCGGGGACAGCAGCAGTGGGCAGCCCCAGAGGCTGTGGTGAGGGGTGACCGGGGACAGAGCTCTCCCGTTGGCCCAGTTCCTCCGGGGAAGGAAGGCGCGGGCAGGGCCGCCTCTGAGGGCTCCAGGCCCGGGGTGCTTTGTGGGACCAACTGATTAAACGCTGGAGACGTGACTGAGGGGCCAGCTCGCGTGGTCTGTGCTGGAACTTCAGCCGCCTCCTGTGCTGCTCTGGGCAGGGGCGGCTGGGGTGGTGCGGCCAGCTGGCCAGGGCAGGGGCAGGGGCTGGGCCCCAGCAAGGCCGTGACTTTGGCATCTGCCCCTGGGCAGAAGCGTCCGCAGGGCTGGGGTAGGGGAAGGGCAAAGTCCCTTGAAAAGTGCGTCTGGCTGCTGAGCCCTGCCAGGGCAGGCACCAGGGCAGCCTGGAAGGGAAACTCGCAGGCCAGCTTGGGGGTGGGGAGGGCCGGGGCAGCCCGAGGCCAGCGGAGAAGGCCCTACCCATGCAGCTAGCAGGAGCCTGAGCCTTCAAGGTGGGGTCACGCAGGGAGCCGCAGGTCCCGGCCCAACCGCCCCCTCTCCCCAGCGCCGGAGCTGGGCTCCAGCAGCAGCCTGTGCCCTGCCCCGGGTAGCGGCCGGTCACCAAGCTGTCTGGTGTCTCCCGGCCGAGGGCCAGCCTCTGCCACGGCCTCAGCGCCGCCCTGGTCGGCAGGCTGCTCCCACGGGGTTCCCCGGAGCAGGTGACAGGAGGGGGCAGCCAGCAGGAGTCGTGTCCCCCCATGAGCTGCACCCCAAGAAGCTGAGGTCAGCTCAGCTTGGGAGAGGACTACCTGTGTGCTCGCTCCTCTGACCCCCCTTTGTCCCCAACTCTGGCTTCCCAGAAACTTCACCCCCCAAAACCTGAAATGGCGCGGACCCCAGGGCTTCCAGGTTAGGCCAGAGGAGACGGTGCAGGGGAGGTTCTGGCTTCAGCAGTGGACAGCAGGCCGAAGGGGGTGAGCCCAGAGGTGCCCCGGGACCCCAAAGGGGTGAGTCACAGGTCGGTAGGGAGGGGAGGCTGCGGTGCCCGGGCGGCGCAGGGAGGGCCGGCTGGGGCGGGCGCGGGCCCCGCGCAGAGAAGGCTGCTGGAGGCGGGGATGGCGCGGCGGGCCGGAGTGGCGGCCGCCTCTGGCCGCACTGCCCGGCCCACGGGTGGCCGCTGAGGCAGGGGGCGGAGTCTCTGCCAGAACTGGCGGGCCCGGCACCACCGCGCAGGGCGGCGGGGCGGGGGCCTGGGTCCTGCCCGCACTGTTGGCGCCCACGGCCGGGGCTGCGCCCCTGGAGAGCGGGGCGGCGAGGTGCCTCCCCAGGGGCCTCTGCGGAGGCTGAAGTCGGGGTCGCCGCCCCGGCCGCTGGGCAGGGCAGGGCAGCCGGCGGAGGAGGCCGGCAGGGACAGGGCAGCAGCTCCCGCCAGGCCGCGCCCCGCACGCCCCCGCCCCCAGAGCAGCGGGTGGGGGGGGGGCGCCGCGCGGCCTCCCGCAGGGGAGGGGCCCAGCCGCCCGGGGCGCCCACGCTGCTGCGGCTGCGCCCGCGCGGACAGGTGGCCCCGGAGGGAGCCTTCCGCGGCCCCCGCCCCGCCAGGGAGCCGAGCCCTTAGGAGAAGTTGGGGAGCCCGGCGGGGGGCCCGGGAGCGCGTCTCCGGCCAGGGGGTCCGCGGGTCTCGGCCGCGCCCTCCGCTCGGGCAGGGGCCCCGCTCGAGGAGGGGTCGGGTCCGTCTGTCCATCCGCGCGGCCGCAGCAAGGCCGAGCCCGGCGTCCGACCCCGGGCGCGGGGTGGGGGAGCCCCGGCGCGGCCCTGGGGGGCGGGGCGGGCGCGGAGGGCTCCAGCCGCGCGTGGACCCGGCGGGGGGCGCGGGCTCGCCCCGCCCCGCGCGCTCCCGCCGTGGCCGCGCGCGCTCCCGGGACGCGGCATTGGCGGCGCGGCGGCGGCTCGGGCAGCAGCCCCGGGGGCCTCGGGCGGGCCGGCCGGCGGCAGACGGACAGACGGACAGAGGCGCCGACGGCGCGCGGCCGCCCGGGCCGGCGATGGAGGGAGCCTCGTTCGGCGCAGGCCGCGCGGGGGCCGCCCTCGACCCCGTGAGCTTCGCGCGGCGGCCCCAGACCCTGCTGCGCCTCGCGTCCTGGGTGAGTGGCCGCCCGCGCCCCCCGCCCGCGCGCCCCCGGCCCCCCGCCCCGCCCGCGCGCCCCCGGCCCCCCGCCCCGCCCGCGCGCCCCGCCCCCCGCCCCGCCCGCGCGCCCCCGGCCCCCCGCCCCGCCGCAGGTCGGGTGACGTCACCGGGCCGGGCGCCCCCCTGGGCCGGGGAGGGCGGCGGCGCCGGGGGACCTTGAGAGGTCGAGCCGCCGCCCCGCCCCGCCCCGCCCCGCCCTCGCGCGGCCGTCCCCGCCGCCTGCAGTGGGCACCGGGCGGCCGCGGCCTCGCGGCGGGGCTCGGCGCCTCCCAGCCCGGGAGGGGGCTGCGGCCGCCGGGAGGCTCGGGAGCCGCCCCCGCCCCGCCCCGCCCGCGCGTCCCTCCAGCGCCCCAGCAGCGGGGCGGGGGCGGGGGTGGGGGGCGCGGGGCCCGGCCCGAGGGCCCCCTGGAGGAGGGGACAGGCGCGCCCTCGCTCCGCCCCCGCCCCCGCAGGACACAAGGGCGGGGCCCGAGGGGGTGTCCAGGTGGGACTGGGCGCCTGGACCTGCGGGCGCACTGGTCCTGACCCCACCCGGGAGTCGGCCTGGGGCCGCTCGGGCCGCGGCCAGATCCGTGTCCCGGGCGCCGTCTCCAGCCCGCTCGCGCCGCAGCTGCGGCCGGTGCTCAGGAGCAGGCCGCCCGGCAGGAGAGCGGCGCCGCGCTGCCCTCGCCGCTGGCCCTGCGCTGGCGTCGCGCTGACCCTCAGTGGTCACTCTGGCACCTCCGAGCCCAGGCGCGCGGGGCGATAGTGACGGCTGGCCGCAGGCGTGGGCCCTCCCCGGCGCCCGCCCGTTGCAGGTGCTGGGCGGGGACTCGTTCTCTGTCCCCCGCGCCCCAAGAGCTGTCCCCCTGGGCACGCTGGAGAAAAGGGCAGCACGGCTGTCCCCTGCAGGGTCCGGGCGGCCGCCCCTCCGCCTCCGCGCCCCCGAGCCCCGCAGGCTGGGCCCGGGAGGCGCCACCCTGTCCCCACGCGCCCCGGTGCGTCCAGGGGCCACTCTGCCCCTGGGGACGCGCCTGCATCTCGGGGTGTGTCAGCCCGTCGCCCGGGACAGTCGCTTCACCTGCCGGCCCAGCCTCCCCCACGGAGGCGGCGAGGGCGGGCCCCGCGCGGGTTTCCCGCGGCGAGGGCAGCGCGGGGTCCGGCGCCGCCCGGCGAGGCCGCGGCCCCGAGGCCGCGCCGCCGGCTGAGCGCGCGCCGCCCTAGGTGTTCGCCATCGCCGTGTTCGGGCCGATCGTCAACGAGGGCTACGTGAACGCGGACAGCGGCCCCGAGCTGCGCTGCGTCTTCAACGGGAACGCGGGGGCCTGCCGCTTCGGCGTGGCGCTCGGCCTCGGCGCCTTCCTCGCCTGCGCCGCCTTCCTGCTGCTGGACGCGCGCTTCCAGCAGATCAGCAGCGTCCGCGACCGCCGCCGCGCCGTGCTGCTGGACCTGGCCTTCTCAGGTGGCCGGCGCGCGGGGCGGGGCGGGGCGGGGCGGGGCGGGGCGGGGCCTGGGCGGGGTCTGGGGGCGGGGCCTGGGCGGGGCGGGGCCTGGGCGGGGCGGGGCCGGGCGGGGCGGGGCGGGCCTGGGGGCGGGGCCTGGGGCGCGCGGAGGCCCCGGGGATGGGGTGGGGCCGGGCCCGGGAGGGTCGTGCCTGCGCGCCCGGACCCGTGTCCCAGCGCCGCGTCCCAGGCTGTCCCGGCCCGAGCGGGGCGCGGCCCGCGGGGCGCCCTCTCCCGTGCGAGGTGCCCTGGCGGGCGAGGGCGCGCCGCCTGACCCGCCGCCCGCCGCAGGGCTCTGGGCCTTCCTCTGGTTCGTGGGCTTCTGCTTCCTCACCAACCAGTGGCAGCGCACGGCGCCCGGGCCCGGGGCCACGCAGGCGGGAGACGCGGCCCGGGCCGCCATCGCCTTCAGCTTCTTCTCCGTCCTCAGCTGGGTGAGTGGGCCGGTGGGCGCAGGGCCTGCCGCGGCGGGCGGGCGGCCTTGCCTGACCCCTGGCTCCCCTTCAGGCGGCGCTCACCGTGAAGGCCCTGCAGCGGTTCCGTCTGGGCACCGACATGTCCCTCTTTGCCACCGAGCAGCTGGGTGCCGGGGCTGGCCAGGCCTACCCGGGCTACCCAGTGGGCAGCGGCGTGGAGGGCTCGGAGACCTACCAGAGCCCACCCTTCACCGAGACCCTGGACACCAGTCCCAAGGGGTACCAGGTGCCCGCCTACTAGCGGCTGCAGCCCCAGCCCAGGGCTCGGAGGCCTCCTGGGACTTCACTCAGGATCTCCTGGCCCAGGGGTCGCCGCAGTGACCGTGGCTGGCTGTCAGGCTGTAAAGAGGCAGTGCCCAGGGCACCTGGGCTGTCAAGCCAAGTTCCCTGTAGTCCCCAGTCCTGGCCTGAGGTCCTGAGGCAGCACAGTGCAGCCCTAGACAAGCGTCCAGCCCCAGCAGGTCAGCCTGAGCAGGGACCCTTCCCCTTGCGAGGCAGCAGCCTGGGGCTCACCTGTCCACTCAGGCCAGGGGTCCAGCAGCCCCGACAGAGGCAGGAGCGTGGCCTCTGTCCCCATCTTGCCGGTGGCCAAGGAGCGTGGCCTCTATCCCAACCCCGTGTCCTGTGGGCAGTGCTGTCCCATCCCTAGGCTGTGGTGTCTGAGCCACACTTCACCCCTCTCCGGGTTGCTCCGTAGCCAGGCCGTCACGTGGTTGTGGACAAGTCCAGGTCTCACCCTGTAGTTCCCCACAAGCAGCCCCTCTGTGTGTGGCCCTGCCCCAGCACCCCCGTTCTAGCCACCCCCCCCCCGCCCTTCATGAACCCTCGTCCCAGGGAGGCACGGGACACCCCGTGCCCGCCAGACCCACCCCTGCCGGGAGAGGCCCACTGTGGCGGGGGAGGCCATTCCACGCACACCGGGTCCCTGGCTCCTGGCCCAGACCCTGGATCCCCTCCCTGGCACCCATTTAAAGCCCCGACCAACAGCCAGAGTCCCACCGTGTGGCCACTCCTGGAATTTCCCCCTCCCCCCCACTCCCCCGCTGGCCCTCCCGGCCTGTGCAAAGCAGACAGGGCGGCGTCTGCCCTCGCATATGGAGCTCCCGGAGCACGGTGGCGGCCATAGTGGTACCTGCGTCCTCCGCGCTGGAAGGAATGGCCCGTGCCTGTCTCCAGTGTCCGTGTCTCAGCCGCCACTTCTTTACAATAAACACCCTAAGTGAGTTGACTTGGTCCAGGTGGGATTATTTCCGCCCCGCCCTCCCGGTGCCAGAGGTGGGGACCTGAGGGCTGGCCCGGAGCCGGCAGGGCCAAGGAGGTGGAGGCCCCCCACACCCCTGTGCCTCCCTTCTCTCCGCAGTAGCAGGGGCACCTGGCTTGGCATTCACGCCCGCCCCGCGGGGCCCTCATTGCCCCCCTCCCCCCAGGCCCTGCAGGGGCGCTGCCAGGCCTTCTGATTATGCCCTCTCCTTCCGTCACACACGTGAAGTCTGGTTGAGGGAGGGGGCTGCCACCTGTGCCCGGGGCTCCTTATTTCAGCCACGGGGGATTGGACGGCCTGTGGCCGCTGACACCAATTCCCAGACTCCCGGGGCCAGCAGGTGGGTGCACGCCCCGCCGTTCCCGGGGTGGCCACGCTGGCAGGCCGGGTGGGTACAGGTTCTCCCAGGGAGGGGCGCCGTCCTCGGTGGTGGCAGCTTCAGTGCTTGTGGCCTGGTTTCCTGTGGGTCTGTCTCTGCGACGACGGGGTGGGCAGGCGCCCTCACAGGTGTGTGTGTGGGGGAGGCACGGCCAAGCAGCTACAGGTTGTTGCCAGCAGGTGGTTGCTGGGCATGAGCAGGTGCCATGCAGGCCGCTGCAGACCCGGGCCTGCTGCTGCCACCTCCACCTTGGCTACACCCCAGGGGCAGCCTCATGCACGACAGGCCAGGCATGCTCTGTGGCTGCTGGCCGTGGGGGCTTCGTCCCCTCGGCCTTCATTTTAAAATGTCCAGACAGGGCCTCCCCAGTGGTGCAGCGGGTTGAGCGCAGCACTGTGAAGCTGTCCGCAGCCCCTGCAGCTTGGGTTCCTGGCCGGCCAGAGAGCTACCCACAGGGCGCGGCAGCCCTCTCCTGTCTCACGACACACTCAACATCTGATTCCAGCCCTCTCCTGCTCCCCTCAGCAGTATGTTTCAGTCTGTCTGCCTGTTCTGTTCCCCTCTGTCTCTGGTGAATCCTCTCACCCCCCCGCGCCTCTGGCCTGTACCCCAGCTCTTGTACGCATAAATAAATCTTTGAAAGAAAAAAAAACAAAAAAAAAACAAACGCTTCTCCTCAATAAGGGTGTCTCTTTTGCTCTATTTGGACATGCCTGTGTTTGGATTTTTTTTTCCTACTATCTGTATGGGCTTGGGGCAGAAAAGGGAGACTTTTAGCAAACTTTCTAGATCAAAGTAGCAAAGTATCATGTCCTTACGTTATTTTAGAAACGCCCTTGGCTGCTACTGCCCATGGGGTCTGTCTTGAAGGCTCTCGAGACCCGAGGCCACACGATGGCCCCCTGGGGTTCCGGAGGGCGGGCACCCAGCCCAGCCCCGTCAGTCAGGCCGCTGGCCTCCCCCGAAGGCTGGGCGCCTGCCCTCGCTCCCCCAAGCAGAGCCCGTGCCGCCTCTGTGTCACTGCCCAGGGCCCAGCGGCAGCAGCTGGTGACCCCCAGGTCCACCTGGCTGCGGGCTGACCTCCAAGGCAGAGAAGCTCAGGACACCAGCTGGGTGCATTATGGCAAAATAAATTTATTTGAAGATAAACTGTCTTATAAAAGATCAGAGGCAATTTGAGATCCCAGATTCAGCTTGTCTTGTAAATAGATTCAACTTCAAGTAGCACAATTTCGTGTCTGCTTTTAATCCTTAACATTCTCGAATCACGAAACAGCCAACTGTTTACACGACACACTCAACATCTGATTCCAGCACCAATGGACGGACAGCGTCCAGTCGGGGGCTGCAGTGCTGTGGCCCTCGGGCTCAGGAGGGCCCGGCCCAGGCCGCCGCAGGTCCTGGCTTTGAGGCACGGACAGGTCCCGGCGTCCAGCCCTCCCCTCCCCGGCACCTCCAGGAGAGAGACTACACCGGAGGGGGCCGGCACGGAGGCGGGGTCTCTGCCCGCTCCCCGGGGACACGGATGGACTCCCGCACCGCACGCGCGGACGGGCGGGCAGGCCTTCCCAGCGACCACTGCGCAGGCGGCCCCCTCAGGCCGTCCCCTGGCTGCGGGGCAGCCCAGGAGGAGGGAGAAAGGAGGCTCTCGGGCGGGGCGCTCTGCCCACGCGCGGGAGCTACGTGATGACCCTGGCGACGGCCTGCAGGGAGGGGAAGTCGTCGTCCCGCGCGGCGTGCAGCGCCTGGTGGCTGCTGACATCCCCCTGTGCGAGCACCTGCTGGCAGGTGGGGCACACGCAGCAGTCCAGGCCGGCTGGCCGGGCGCTGGCCTGCCACGCGTTCTGCCGGCTCCTCCGGGCCTTGCCGCCGGGGGGCCTCTCGCGGCCACAGAAGTCCGTGTGTGCAGAGAGCAGCTCCTGCTGCTTGGCTGTGTCGGGGAGGAGCACCAGCAGCTCGTTGAAGATCTTCTGGAAGTTCTCCCCAAGCAGGTCCCGGCAGCTCTTGTAATACTGGGCCGCGGAAATCACGCCCTGCGCCCAGAGAGCAGCCAGTCAGACCCGCCCCGCCCGGCCTGCGCCAGCCCGCACCCCGCCCGCCTGACCTGTCTGAACTCCCCCGAGTGGCTCTTGAACTCGCTGAAGCGGGCCTCGTCGCTCTGCAGGAAGTCCTTGATGGACTGGATCAACCGCAGGTTCCGCTCCCGGAAGTTCTCGGGAACCAGGTAGGCCCGGGGCTCAGCCGTCAGCCTGGGCCTGCGGGTGGGGAGGGGGCAGGTGGGGCGCTGGCCACTGGGCTGGACCAGGCTAGCACTGCCCCGGGTGGGGCCGGCAGCCGCCCACACTTACGCCTTCGTGGTGGTTGCCGTGCCAGGGACACAGGCCGGGTGGGGACCAGGCAGGAGGCTGGAGAAGCCGGGGGGCGGCTTGCTGACGGGGGGCACCAGCCCCGGCGGGGGAGGGGGTGGCGTGCCCTTCAGGAGCACCACAGTGTTGAAGCCTGGAGGGAGACCTGGACGTGACCCTCGCTGCCACACACGGCCTGCCCAAATCTCCGCCCGCAGGCTGGCCTGATGCCGAGCAGCAGCCCCACTGCCGTCCCACCGAGGGCCGCTCGCAGGCGGGGGCAGCTGCAACCCGGAGGCCAGGGGCACCACCGGGGGAGTCGGAAAGCTTCCCGGGCACCGGGGCACCGCACCTGCCCTCCCCACGCCAGGTCCCCTCGCCAGGCTCCGCCCGACCCTGCCCTGGCACCCCGCCCGGCCCGGTGCCCAGAGCAGGTGGGCGCTGGGAGCACGTACCAGGCGGGGGCGGCATCCTGGGCGGGCGGGGGCCGCCGAGCGCAGGAAAGTCTTCCTGGGGCGGAGGGCAGGGGAAGGGCCCTGAGGGGCGTGGGAGCCCAGGGGGTTCCTTGGGGGCACTCCGGGCCAGGGCCGGCCCCTCGGAGTGTCCATTGACAACGGCAGCGAGGGGCCCGTCCGCTCTACTGGCAGGAGCCGCGGGGGCCCGCTCGGGCCCGTCTCTGTCGGGGGCCAGCGGTGGGGGCGACACGGCGCTGGGCTTCTCAGAGCCCACCTTCTTCTTCTTGCCTGCCCTGGTGAAGGGCTGGGTGGAGGCCAGCAAGGTGGCAGCGCCCACAGCAGGCCCGCCCCGAGGCTCCTCCTCCTCCGCGGGGGGCGGCCCGCCCTTCTTGCCCCCTTTACCAGTCTTCCCGGCCTTCCTGGCAGCCGGGCCAGCCCCGCCGGCAGCCTGGGCCCCTGGGACGGGCGGGGCCACCTTCTTGCCGCCGCTGTTCCACGGGGAGGTGAGGCTGGCGGGCGCAGGGCTGGGCTTGGAGGCTGAAGGCACCAGAGCGGGGAAGTCCTCCTCCTGGAAGGTGCCCCTGCCCCTGGCGGGGACAGGGTAGGCCAGCGCCAGCCCCACGGGCCCCGGGGCTGCTGCGGGGGGGCAGGTGGCGGCGGCGGCGCAGAGACTGGGGAAGTCCTCGTCCTTCAGTTTGGCAGGAGGAGGCAGGAGGCTGCTGGGCCCCAGAGGGGAAAGCTGGTCAGCAGGCACAGGGCCCTGCCCCCCACTCGCCCTCCCGGGACCCCGCACGCCCACGCTGGGGCCTGCGCACACGTACCTTGGCAGCACGGGTCCTGCGGCCGAGCCGCTCACCGGAAAGGCCTCCTGGCTCGCAGGGCCGTTGGCCAAGGCCTCCTTGGGGCCTAGGAGACACGCAGCACTGACACGGGCCGGGGGAGGCGGCACAGGCCTCCGGGAGCAGCCCTCCCCGACCTCACCCTCAGGCCCAGCAGCACTGCCTCGGGGTGGAGCCGGCTCACCTGAGCCTTCGCCGGGCGTCCGGGCTGGGCGCCGGGGGCCACGAGGCTCCTCGGGCCCCCGCCCCCCTGCGTCCTCCTTCCTGGGCCTGCCCCCCTCCTCCCGGTCCTCAGTCCTGCGAGGTTCCTGCTGCTGCTGCTGCTGCTGCTGCTGCTGCGCTGCCACCGAGGCCCGGACGGCAGCCGCCACCTCCCGGTCTTCTTCCTCCCTAGGATGCGAGCCCGTCAGGCAGGGCAGGCCCAGAACTGTAGTCGGCGGGGAGGGGCTGGGGCCCCTGGGAGACAGGCTGGGGCTGCAGAGGTGGCGCGCGCCCCAGCTGGCCCGCAGGGGCTGTGAGGGGGGCAGGGCGTTATGAGGCCAAGGTTATGAGCTCTGGGCACTGCCGTGGTCTGCCAGCCCTCAGGGACAGTGCCTGACCCCAGCCTGCGCCCGCTGTGCCAGCCCACTAAGTGCCACCCCCATCGGCAGGGCCTCGCGACGCTGCCAGAACTGGAGCCGAGGATGAGCTTGTAGTCAGGGAGAGCAGTGAGCAGACCCCGTTGCCCACCCAGGTCAGCTACGGCCAGAGGCTCCTGACCACCGTGCCTGCCCCCCGCCGCTGCTGCCCCGCCTGGGGACCCGAACGTCAGCAGCTCGCAAGTCCTCCCACCTCTTGTACCTCCAGCTTCCTCGGCGGCTCTGCTGGGCTCCACGCCCGCCGGCCCGGCCTGCTCGGCCCTGGCGGTTGTACCTGTCCACCTCCTCGTAGTCCTCGCCACTGACCACCCCTGCGGCCGGCACAGGAGCCTGTCACCGGCGCTCGGCTGGAAGCCCCCAGCGGGCCTGACCCACCGGACCGGTCCCGAGGGCTGAGTCCAGGAGGCCCTGCCAGCCCCAACCCCACAGCCCAGGGCGGCCTCAGGCGGCAGCTCCTCCCCCACCTCCAGGGCCCCTGAAGAGTGGCCGGGACCCCAGAACCCCGGAGAGGCTCGGCGCCAGGGGAGGGCGGCCCGCCCGGAGCGCGCCTCACCGTCGCCGCGGCGCGAGTGGCGCGGCGCGAAGCTGAACTGCAGGTCGATGTGGCGGTTCTGGCGCGCCTCGGCGCGGCTGCGGCTGTGGCAGGCGGTGCGGTGCGCCTTGAGGTCGATCTCCGTGCGGAAGGCGTGCGTGAACTGCTCGGCGCCGCAGCGGCCCTCCTCGCACAGGAAGTGGCGCTCGCGGAAGTGCTCGCGCAGGTAGGCGTAGTCGCTGCGGGGGCGCGGGTCAGCCGGCCCCCCGCGCCCCCGCCGCCCCGCGGCCCCCCCCAGCCGGGGCGCGCCCCACCTGTAGTAGTCCTGCGCGCCGTCCGCGTCGCAGAAGTGGCAGAAGTAGTGGTCGCGGCGCAGGTGCTTGAGCAGCTCGTCGTTGTCCAGGTAGCGCTCGTCGCAGAACTTGCAGAGCGGGTGCCCGCGGTGCGACGTGTCGTCGGGGTCGCCCTGCATGCGGTGGCGCGCCAGGTCCTTGCGCGAGTACCACTTGCGCTCGTGGGTGAAGATCTGCGGGACAGGCCGTGGCTCGCGGGGGGCCTCCGGGGGGCGGGGCGGGGCGGGGCGGCGCGGCGCGGCGCGGGGCGCACCTGGAGGTGCTTGAGGCACAGCTTGCAGCAGAACAGCTCGTGCTGCCGGCGCATGTGCTGCTCCAGGTCCGCGAAGAGGCCGAAGGGCGGCAGCTCCGGGCAGCGGGGACACTCGTGCAGCAGCAGCTGCCTGGGGAGACCCCCCGACTCAGCCTCCCCGGCGGCGACCCCGCGTGGCGCCCCACAGCCGGCTCCAGCCGGCCCCGCGCCCAGCGGCGGTGCGGGGGCCAAGAGGCAGGTCGGGTGGACGCGATGTCCGAGCTGCCGCGGGCTGGGGACAGCAGCCCGGCTGTAGCAGAGCCCGGGGCCGGGGGGCAGGGGGGCCGGGGGGCGCGCCCTCACCGTCCCGGCCAGAGCCTGCGGCGGGGGCGGGGCCCAGGCCGCCCCTCCCGCTCACCTGTACAAGGCAAACACCTTCCCGTCGGCGAAGTAGATGTCGTACTTCTTCTCGTGCTGCAGCTGCTGGAGGGGGATGGTGGCGAAGGCCGGGAGCTTCCTGCCGAAGACCACCTGCCACAGAGGCGCCTCTGAGCCGCCGCCCGCCCCCACCAGGCGGCCTCGCCGCGCGGGAGGCGCAGCCCCTGAGCTCGCCGCCAGGGGGCGGCCCGCCCGTCCTCGGTCGCGCCAGCACCCCCAGGAGGGGCCCGAGCAGCAGGTGCAGGGAGGCGCGGCCAGGGGACCCCAGGCGCGCTCACGTGGGTGCTGGGCAGCGAGTGGCTTTCTCACTCGGGGAGTCAGAGCAGCGGCTAAGGCAACAGCGGCCGCTGCCGGGCCAGGCCGGGCCAGCTGACCAAAGGCCAAGGTTTTAGCCACCCCATCCAGCCGAGGCGTTTCCATGACCACACAGGAGGGGCCCCTCCCGGCCTCCGCTAGCGTCCTGTTGCTTAACAGGGGGGCCTGGGGGCTCCAGAGGGACAAGCTGAGCACCCTACAAGGGCCAGACATGGAAGGTCCCGTAGCCTGGCTATTTCTCAGGGGCCACTGATGGTGGGTGCAGGCAGCCCAACCACAAGCAGCCCTGATCCAGGCCCCGGCGCGGCCCCTGAGCCGGTGAGGGCACTGATCCCCGCAGGCCCCACCCCCTGAAGCCACACTCAGCTCTTGCTCTGGGCCCTTCCTGCCCCGGCCTGGAGCCAGGGGCTCAGCTCAGGTCAGCCCTCACCAGCACATCCCGGCGGGGCCGCGGCACAGGGAAGGTCACATCAAGGTCACCTGTTATGGTTAGTGAGGTCCACCTGGGGCCAGAATGGCCAAGCGCTTAGAGAGCACAGAACTGGTGGGGGTGCACCCGTCAGTGCCCCAGTGTGAACGCTGGCCCAGGGGTGGTGCAGCCTCCACGTGCACACAGCCCAGGCCCAGCCTCCCCCGGCCCCCCAGCCACACCTGTTCTGGGGTGGGGGTGGACAAGCAGCGCCCCAACAGGCCTTTCTTGCCTTTTGTGTCTGGCAAGGCCGGGCCTCCCATGACCTCCAGACGCCACCTCGCACCCTCCACCAGCTTCCTCCCCGGCCTTCTCTTGGAGGCTCTGAAACCTTCCAGCAGGACCCTGGTTCCCCCTGCCTCCTGCCTGGTGGAGTAGCGAGCTGCACAGACCGTGCTGGAGGAGCAGGGAGCATGGCATGGGGGCTCACTGCCCCCCAAGGCTGGGTGGAGGCAGCCCCTGTGGGGTGGAGGAGCCGCTGCACCTGCTGCAAGGGGAGCCCGTGGGCTGCCAGAGGCTCCAAAGCCGCAGACACAGGCAGGAAGGAGGAAGCCCAGGCAGATCCCTCCCTGCTCCGAACCTCCGTCCCCTCTGAGTCCCTGCTGGGGACAGAGGCGGGTGGGTGCCAGCTGCGGGGGGGTGGGGGGCTCGTGGGGGCTGCCTGGCTGCAGGGGCAGCATGGGATATGGGCACCGCGCCCGCACCACCCTCCACACAGCGTGTTGTCTTCGCTGCCCGAAGCCCGCGTGCCCAGGAGCTACCTCCCTCCAGGGCAGCAGGCCGCAGCTCGGAGTGGAGAGGCTGGGCAGGCCGTGGGAGGACGGCCTGGCGAGGGCCAGGGTGGTGAAGGCCCCAAGATGGGAGGCCCCCCGGGGGTCTAGGCCCACATGTGGATGTGCAGAGGCAGCGGGACCAAGCGCTGCAGACCTAGGTCAGAGGGGGTGGGGAGAGGCTGCAGCATGCGGGGTCCAGGCTGGGGTGCTGGAGAATGAGGGCGAGCAGGAGTGGAGCAGGGGCTGAGGATGGGGAGAGTCTGACTGGCCCTGGGACAGGCTGCGCAGCCGGGACTGCCCACCAGCGGGCCCAGCAAGAGCCACGGTGGCGCAGGAGGGCTGGGTCTGAGGACAGAGGCGCAGGTTAGGCCTGGACACAGGGTGGGCAGTCCTGGGCCGCTTCTAGTCTGCCAGGCAGTAGCTGACCAAGGGGAAAGGGCGCCCCCTGGTGGGCCCCAGGCTAGTCCCTAGGAGGGCGACGGGGAGGTGCCCCCTGGGCGAGCCCCCACCCAGCGGGTATGCAAGCCAGGCAGGTGTGCAGAACGCTGGAAAGAGAGGTCTGGGGGGACCAAGAGATGAGCCCCTGGGAACCGGCACCTGGAGGGCCCGGGCCCAGGGTGGGAGGAAGGCGCAGATCCCCCCCGCAGCGGGCATCAGGCCCATGCCATGCCGCGCAGGGACGCGGGCGAGCCGCCTGGCACGGCGGCTGGAAGGACGGCCCGGGCGGGAGCCGGCACCAGGACCCCACCCCGCACGGCCACGGGTCCCGGCACTGTCCCCGCGGGGCGGGGCGGGCGCGGCAGGAGGGGGCGAGGACCGTCCTCTCCCCTGACGGCCCGGGGCGGCCCCGGCAGCGCCGGGGAGCGGGCCGGCGCCAGAGGCGGGCCGGCCGGGGGCAGTGGCGCCCGGCACTTCCTGGCCCTCCCTCGCCACAGCGCCGGGCCGGGGCTGCCCGCCGAGGGGGGGGCCCGCGCCCCCCGAGCGGCGCCCGCGGCGGGGCCACAGGTGTGGCGGGCTGACGTCACGGCGGCCGGGCCGGCGCGCGGGAGGCGCCCGGGGCCGCGGAGGGAGCGCGGCGGGGGGCGCAGGGCCGGGGGCGCCCCGTCCGCGGGAGCCGCCCGCTCCCCCGCCGCGGAGGAGGAGTCGCCCCCCGCGGCGCCGTCGCGGCCCGGGCGCCCCGCGAGGCGCTCGCCGCCGGCAGCCGGCCCCGCCGCGGGGGGACGGGCCCCGGCCGGCCGCCCCGGCGCGCCCGACTCCCGACGGCGGCGGGGGCCTCCGGCGCGGCGCCCCGCCAGCCCGGCCCCGCGGCCCCGCCCGCCCCCCGCCCCCCGCGGGAGGCCCGGGCCCGACGGACGCGCCGGCGCGGGGCAGCCCGGGGTCGCCGCGCGGCCAGGGCCGCCCCCGGGCCGGACGTCGCCGCCCGCCCGCGCCGCAGGAGCTCCGGGGCGCGGCGAGCCCGAGGGCCGCCCGGGGCCCGCGCCCGCCCGCCGCCCGCCCGCCGCCCGCCGCCCGCACCTGGCGCAGCTCCTCGCGGCACACGGCGCAGTAGCGCTGCGCGCACAGCACGCGCATCTTGGTGGAGCAGCGGAAGCACACCGGGTGGTCGCAGCGGCCCAGCGCCGTGGCCTCCAGCTCCCCGCAGCACAGCACGCAGCTGCCGCCGCGCTCGGCCGCCGCCGCCGCCTCCAGGCCCGCGCGCCGCCCCTCGGCGCCCGCCGGCGCCGCCGCCGCCATGGTCCGGCTCCGGCCCCTCCCGGCCGGCGCGGCGCGGCCTGGCGCGGCGGGCCCGCCCCTTCCGCCGACGTCACGCGCCGCCCCGCAACGGCCCGGCCGGCGGAAGCGCGCCCGCGCCCGCCAGCGAGACGCCGGCTAGAGCGCCGCGCCGCCCGGCCGCTCCGGCCCGCGCCCTCGGCCGGGAGGTCGCGCGCCCGCCGCCCCGCCCCGAGCCCCGGCGCCCCGGCGCCGGGCGCCGGCCGGGGCGGGCCCTGGGGGCGGCGACGGCGGCTCCCGCGCCCGCCCGGACGCCGCGCCGTCTCCGTCGGCGGCGGCCCCCTTCGTGGACGCCCGCGCCCGCGTCGGCCCCGCGGGGCACCTCGGCGGGACCCCGAGCCCCCCCGGGCCGCGCCCTCTCCGAGCCGGGGCACGCGGCGCGAGCGCTGGGCGAGGCGGGCCTGGCCGCGGGGGAGTCCAGGCCGAGCCGCCGCCGTCCAGGGAGGCCGCCCGGGGCGAGCCGGGTCGCACGACGTGGGCTGGAAACCCCAGCTCAGGCGCCCAGTTGCCCGTGACCTTGAATGGCCCGCGCGGCCCTTACCCTCCCCGTTTATAAACAAGGATCGTATCCCAATTACACCCGCCGGCAGGGCTTAAGTCTCCGCTCGATCAAGCTGTCCCCGGCCGGCCGGGGAGCTACCCCCAGGGCGCAGCAGACCCGCCTCCCCGCTGCTCCCCTCAGCAGCGTGTTTCAGTGGATCCGCCTGTTCTGCTCCCCGCTCTGTCTCTGGGGAGTCCTCTCACCTCTCCGTGCCTCTGGCCTGTACCCCAGTTCTTGGGCATAAATAAATAAATTTTAAAATAAACCTGGTAGCAGGCAGAGGCCCCCTCCCTCACAACCCCCCACCAGGGAACAGGAGAGGAAAAAGAGCACAAAGGGGTCTCCGGGCAGAGGCAGCTGCAGAGAGATGTAGACAACCTGTAGTAATGGAAGGAGGAGGGTGACTCATCCTGTAAAGCACCCCCAAGCCCTCTGGGAGGCCCCATGAGAAGTCTTACTGTGGGCAAGCTGGCGCAGGGGACTGAAAACAGGAGTGGGCAGAAGTCCACCATCAAGCTGGGGACCCAGCACCCCCTGCAATGGAGCTGTGCCCCACCGGCCGCCCTCCTGCTCACCTACAGCAGGAGATAGGAGGATTTTTTTCTTAAAATGCATTTATTTATGCGTATAAGAGCCAGGGTACAGGCCAGAGGTGCAGGGTGTGAGAGGACTCACCAGAGACAGAGTGGGGAGCAGAACAGGCAAATCCACTGAAACACACTGCTGAGGGGAGCAGCGGGGAGACAGGAGAGGTCTGCTGTGCCCTGTGGTCAGCTCCCTGGCCAGGGATCGAACTCGTGCTGCAGTGACTGCCGATAGCGTCATAGTGCTGCGTCCTAACTCCTGCACCACCAGGGAGGCCCAGGTAGGAGGATTTTCCACTGGAGAAATGGACCAGCTGCAGAGAAAGGACCCCCCCCCAAGCCCCCAGACACTGCTGGGAAGCCTGCCAATCAGCAGATGTGCCCCTCAAAAGAGCACCCAGTGATGTGTGGGATGTGTGGGGTCACGCTCATCACCACAATCTGGCAGCCGGGCTCCCAGACTCAAGAGCAAAGTCACAGCATGAAGGGCCAAAACCGGCAGCCCAGAGAGCAGAGGTGCCCCAGGAAGGGCCATGGAGCCCAGTGTGCAGTGAGGAGCGCTTGGGGACCCTGGGCCGAGGCGACCCGGGTTATGCTGGAGCTTTGGCTGGGGTGGGGGACAGGGAGCCCCTGGGGAGGGTCCTTCCCATCTTGGCCGGGCCCTGGGCACACAGGTGGGGGCGCCTGTAACAAGTGCAGGCGCTAGGGTGTGTTCTAGCTCCTTGGAAGGGCCTGGCTGGGGAACAGTGACGTTGTGGACAAGGCACGGGGGGCTGAAGGGGGTGGGAGCAAGGCTGGGGTGCAGAGCAGAGGTGGGGGACGGGCCGTTCCCCCACTTCACATGGGACCTTTGTGACCTCCCGAAGAAGAGCAGTGACAGCAAGGGCGGGTGGAGCCGGCGCACTGCAGTGAGGCTCCCACGGGCCGCCAAGCTTCAGGACTGGGGTGCACACTGGGCGGGTGTGGGCCGTGGCCACCAGGGCTGTGGTCTCAGGCCCCAGCACAGGGCCTGGGAGTCCCTGGGCTGTCGCGTCATTCTGTTCACTGCCCTGGTGCCCTGGGCTCTCCTGCTCACACACCCGGGGTGCCTCCTGCCCTCCCCTCTGCCTTCCCCACCAGGCCCAACCCCCTGGCCTTGCCCTGGCATCCTCCGCCCTGGGCCGACACCCCGCGCCACCAGAGGGGCATCCAGACTTGCAGCTGGACTTAGCGCGGGCATTTTTCTCTCTCCTCCAAGCAACGCTTTCCGCTGTGAATGCAGGGCACTGGCAGCCCCACCTCTCTGCGCAGCGGCCACGAGCCCCTGGGCCTTCTGAGCACACGCTGCGGCCTCGCTGCGGGCCCTGCCTCCGCTCGCGGGCAGTCCCCGGGGCCGGGGGCGCGGTGTGTGCAGAGCCGCCCGCCCACGGCGCACTCCAGGCGGCTCTCCAGGCCGAGGGGTCCTGTGGGAGCGCCGCGGGGGCGGCTTGCGCGGGAGCCTGGTCCCGGCGGTCCTCCAGGCCTCCCGGGGCACACAGGCGGCCCCTCCTCGCCGCCTCCCGGCCACCCGCCGCCCGCCCCCGTGCGTCACCCCCCAGGCGCCCGCCCTGCGCCTCCCCCCTCCCCCCAGCTCCGAGGGCAGTTGGCGGGCAGCCTCCGGAAGAGCAGGGCACGGGCGTGCGTGGGCTGCCCCGCGGGGCAGGAAGCCAGGACTTGGTGGCCCCGGAGGAGGCCGCGGCCGTCACGACCGCGGCCACACTTGAGGAAACTGAGGCGCGAGGCTCTGACGCCGCCCTGGAAGCCGAGGCCAAGCGCGGTGCGCCGCGCCGGTGCCCGCGCCCCTGCGGCCGCAGCCGGGGAGGGGCCCGGGAGCCGAGGGCCCGCCGCCCCCCGGCACCCCCTGTCCTGACCAGCCCTCCCCCTCGCTCTGCGGGCGCCCGCTCGCGCTGCCCGGGCGCCGCTCCTGCCTTCGCGGCACTGCCCTCCCTGGGGAGGGGCGGCGGCCCCCGCGGGAGGGAGGGGGTGTGGGGCGTCCAGACCCCTCCGCCCGAAGTCTTGCTGAGCACCGCCTGGTGAGCGCAGCCCCGCAGCCCCGGGATCGGCCCCCGCCCCGGCCCGCCCCGCCCCGCCCCGGCCCGCCCGGCCCTCCAGCGCCGCGCGGCCCGCGGGGGCGAGCGGGGCGGGGCCCCGAGCAGCTATAGTTGGCGCCGCCGGGCCCAGCCCTCGCCTCGGCCTCCCGCGCGCTGCGCTCCCGACGCCCCAGGCTCCGCCGCACCCGGCCGGCCGAGCGGCTCCCGGCCCGCCTCTCCCAGCAGCGGGCCCCGTGAGCGCCCGGGCGCGCGGCTCCGGCATGAGGGGCCCGGGGCGGGCGCCCCCAGCGCGCCGGCCGCTGCTCGCCTTTGCTGCTGCTGCTGCTGCTGCTGCTGCTGCCGCCCGAGCCCGCCGGCGCGTGGTACAAGCAGGTGGCGAGTCCGCGCTACCACGCGGTGGGCCGCGCCGCCGGCCTGCTCATGGGGCTCCGCCGCTCGCCCTACATGTGGCGCCGCGCGCTGCGCCCCACTGCCGGGCCCCTGGCCTGGGACGCCGTCGAGCCGGGCGCGCGCCCCCAGAGGCCGTGGGCCAGAGACACCCTGTCCCCCGGCCCCGCCGCCCGCGAGGCCGTCCGGCTTCCCTCCGGGGCCCAGGGCCTGCGGGAGGCGCCACGCAGGAGCTGGCGAGCAGAGCTCCCGGGCAGCGCCCCTCGGAGCGCGCGCGCCCCGGAACCCGGGCCCCAGCCCGATCCGCCGCGGGAGGCCCGTGCCTGGCCCTCGGAGGAGCAGGCCAGGTACGTGGGCAAAGGAAGGGCTTCGGGGCCGTCGGGGCTCGGGCGAGCCGACGCGGGGCGCCCGGCGCGTGCCCACGGGGCACCCCTCGCGCTCGCCCAGAGAAACGCCTTCCTGGAGCGGCGCCTCTCCCGCAGCCCGATCGGGGCCGCAGGGCAGGAGGGCGCCCCGCTCCCTCCCCACCGTTCTCTTCTCTTCTTTCCAGAGCCTTCGGGGATTTCCCCGCCCAGCCGTGGCCACTGCAGCGACCCGGACCCGCCCGCCCGCGCCTCGTCCCAGGGCGGTCCCGAGCGCAGCCCCCGCGGGCGCTCGCCTGACCCGGGCCGAGTCGCCGCAGCCTCGGGGCAGAGCCCGCCAGGTCGCCCGTCAATAAAAGTCGCCTGGTTCCCGCGTCCCCGCGTGACCCGCTCCTCCGCGCTGTGTACTTTGCCATCAACCTTCGGGCTGCAAACAACGGCGCCCACGTCCTGGCAAATGTCAGGAGCCCTCCCCTGGCTCGGGGGAGGCTCCGGGCTACCCCCACCTGGGAGCCTTGGGGGCAGAAGCAGAGATGCTGCCCAGACCTGCGTCCCCTTCTCTGCCCGCTGCCTCTCCTGCCCGGGGAGGGTCCTGGGGAGGACACGTCCTGCTGCATCCCCCGCGCCCTGGGGAATGCGGCCTCCAGCCCCCCTCCCAGACCCGGGAGTGCCCAAGGTAGCCCCTCTCCGCTGGGGCTGCTGAGAGGGAATGCCATCCCCCAGGGGCAGAAGCGCAGCGGGCAGCCCGCCCGGTCTCTCCTCCCCTCCCAGCCTCCCAGCATTCAAGCGGCAGCCTGCACGGAAGCCCTCCTGCCCCCCCCCCCAAGGCTTGGAGAGCTGGGGGCCCCCAAGGGCCCCTCTTGGGCAAGCTCTCTGAGGCAGGAGCGCCCCCCTCCTCTTAGCCTCCTCTGTGTTTTTAGCGATTGGCTCTAGGTGTCCCCCACCTTAAAGAGCAAGGACTCTTTCAACCTGCGTCCCCTCGCAGGTGTCCCCCCTTTCTTGGACCTTCTCTGCTTGGGCTGGACAGCCACAAGCCTCGGACCTGGAGCCACCTGGCCGCTGCGCCACGAAGCTCCCGGGTGGCAAGGTGCCCTGGGGCCCGCAGCAGGGGCAGGGAGGCCAGCGCCCTGGCTCCCCCACACCCGCTCCCACACTCCTGGGCTGCCAGCCCCACGCGCTGCCAGCCTCCCCCTCCCCGCTGGCAGTTCCGTCCCACGGGTGTGCCCTCCCCCCGCGTGGTCCCCACCTGTGCTCTTGTCCGCCGTCTCCTAGGACTCTTACACACCCCCGAATCTGTTTGCCCCGTTGGGGTTCGCTCCCCAAGGACATACACTGGGGGAGGGGGTCGCAGACGCCTCAGGTCAACGCCTTCTCCCTCCTCCCCCACGGTCTGCTCCTGCGCCTCACTGCCCGTGGCCTTTCACAGCACGGGTGCCCAGTGCTTGCCACCCCGACGCACAGCGCCCCCAGGGCTCCGCAGCCCCGACGAGAGGCGCACACCCGGGGCCGGCCTGCGCGGGCTCTGGCCCCGCGGCTCCCTTCCCCTTCCCACGCGCCGGCTGGCACTCCGGGCAGAGTCCTGGTTCCGCCCTGAGGGAGCACGCCGGGGCCCCGCGCCGGCTTGAGGGCACAGGTGCCGGAGAACTTGGTGACGGGCCTTCGTTCCCCGCTGCCGGGAGGTCGCCGGCCCAGACAGCCTGGGGCCGGGCCCTAGCTGAGCGAGCGGAGCCGACCGGGGGCGCGCGGAGGTCGGGCTCTCGGCGTCGGGGCTCCGCGCCCCCGCATCCCCCCGTGCCGGCCGCCCTAGGGAGCGCGCCCGCCTGGGGTCCGGGCGCAGGCGGGGCCTGGCTCTCCCCGGCTGCAATCCCCGCCACGGGCGGCAGGTGGCGCCGCGCGACTGCCTGAGCGCGACCTCGGCTTTGGGCGGAGCTGGGGGCGGGGGGCGGGGCCGGGCGGGGCGGGGCCGCCGGCCTCCGCGCCCCTCCATCTCTGGGGCGCTGCTGTCTTCGTCCCTTCCCGTCGCGCCGGTCCCACCCGCTTGTTTCGCGCTCTGAAGAGAGGCCTGGCGCAGCCTGAGGGAGGAGGCGCTGAGCGGTCTGGTCATCCTCGCGGGGCCACTAATGCCCATCAGGGACCCGCGTCGGCCCGGGAAGCGCGGGGCCATTACCGGGGCGCCCGACTAATGGACTAATGGCTCCACCTCCAGATGGCCCCAGCCCTCCCTGGGCCGGCTAGGCCCGGCCCTCCGCCACTCCCCAGCGTCGGGGCCAGGCCCCGCGCGCCTTCTCTCTGGTGGGGGGCGGGGATGTGCAAGGGTGTAGGTTCAAAGGTCAGAGAAAAGCCCCGCCCCCACGCCGTGGACCCTCCCCTGCACAGCTCAGGCTGGACCTGAGGGTCTGGCCCCCGCCTCGTCGTCCTCTGTGGCCGGGCCTGCGTGGTCAGGCAGCAGGAGGGGAGGAGAGGATCCCCAGAGCCCTGACCACCTTCCACCAAGGCCTCCGTCGCGCACTCCCCAGCCGCCCAGCGCCCGCAGCCCCTCAGCCCTTGCAGGCCTTCCCTGGGCAGGAGGGCCTGGGCCGCTTTCCTGGCCTGTCATCGCAGGCTCTGACACTTGCTGTCTCCCCACAGCTCCCACTGTCCCAGGGGGCGGGCCCCTCCTGGTCTGCCTGGTTTCTCCCCTCTGCCCACTTCCTTCGTCACCACCCTGGTTCCCCCCAGGCCGCCGGCGCTGTTATTCCAGGTCTATCCTCTGCTTTGGGTTGTTAAAAACACAACTGGCCCCAAATGGAGTCTCTCGTGCCCACTCTGCAAACCAAGGTTTACCACCGACTGCAGCCTCGAGCCCTCCCAGGAATGGGATCCTGGTTGGGGGGGACGGGCCACAGCAGGTCACCTCCGTGATGAGACCCTGCCTTCCAGAGGGAAGGTGGCTTTGCCTGAACCATCGCTCTTCTAGTCCTTCACCCCACCTGCTCGCTGGCTGTAAACTTCCACTTGGCGCCCACAGACGCTCCTCGCAGCGCCTCCTACAGCAAGACAGACGGAGACCCCCACAGGAGCCCCAGGTCCTTACACTCCCAGCTGTCATTTTGCTCTCTGACAGGCCTCCTTTGTTATTCTGGGAGGCAGTGTTCCCGGACCCTGCCAACGACGGCCCTGGCATGTCTGCAGCGGGGCTAACCTCCCACCTATTGGGGGGCGTGCGGCCTTCCTGGCCTGCAGAAAGCAGGGAGGCCCAGGGCTGACCCACATGGGGGACAGCCTCTCTACTCAGGGGACCAGGGACCCTTGCCTTCCCTGCAGCCTGGCCCCGAGTCCCCCTCCAGTCACCTCTCTCGACCCTGGTGTGGTCCCAAAGCTGCTGCCTAGCAGGCCCTGGCTTGAGCCCTAAGCCCCACCTGGCAGGCAGGTGGTTGACTGCACTGCCCATCCTCACAGCCTTAGGGCGGCCGCACCAAGTTGAGGATGAGGAAGCCAGTGGCAGGCCTGACTCTGGACAAGCAGACAGACAGCTGGAGGAGGCCAGCCAGGCGGGAGTCTGTGGCAGCACCCGCAGGAACTGAGGCGGAGCTGAGGAGCATCCACGCAACCTCAGCCTAAGAGGCTTTTAGGGGCAGCAGCTGGGGTGTGGACACCCAAGGGGCTGTGGCCCAGGAGGCTGCCCAGAGGCGGGCCCTCCACTTGGGCGGGGGCTGGGAGCCCAGGCCGAGGGCACTGCAGAGAGCAGAAGCAGAGAGCCAGAGCCGAGCCCTCCTCTGCCCTGATGGGGAATTGTCTGGGCTGGCTGTCCCTGGCCCCCAGGGACCAGGTATGTGCAAGGGGTGGGCGGCGTGGGGGAGAGGCAGGCGGGGGGAGCCCGGAACTCAGCCGTCACCCTGTACTGAGGCTGAGAACGGGCCTGTGCAGAGTGCACTGGTGTCTCACCACCCCCGGCCCACACAGAGCTGGGAACTGGCCTGGATGTCCACTCTCTCCAGACCTCAGTCTCCCAATCTGGAAAATGGCCTGAGCCCCAAGGGTTGTTCCAGGCAAAATGCACTCGGGGAGGCAGGACGAAGCAGCAGAGCTTCTCCATTATGGTTATTCCTGTGCGCGTGGGGGAAGAGGGAGCTCGTGCTGGGGGAGCAGGAGAGAAGGGAGGGCTGGGTCCCCAGAACAGATCCTGTGGGCACTGACCAGAGGCCAGAGCGCTCAGCTGGGTGCAGCAGGCCAGCGAGGGCAGAGCGGAGACCCCTCCTCTGACAGGCTGGTGATCGTCCTCCCTCACCCTGTGCGCCCGGGTCAGGCAGGGCAGAGAGGGGCCAGGCGGAGGGAGATGTTTGAAGGACACGGGCAGCAGAGAGGGCCGAGGCGCTTGGGGAGGCCGGGCGTCACCCCGCCACTAGCCTCGGGGATGCAGGGCTTGGCTGCGGGCTCCTCCTCCCTCTCCCACCCTCCTGTGCCTCCAGGAGCACCCTGGGACGCTCTGGGCGCAGCGGGGGGCCAGGTACGGGGACCACAGCGGGGGGCGGGGCTTCCAGGAAGGTGGGCTGGGCTGGGGTCCCTGCGGAGGGACCCTCCCCGGGCACCCCTTCTCCACTCCCTGCCCCTTCCGGAGACAGCCCCGGCGCAGGGCCCGCACACAGTAGGTGCTCAATAAATGTTTCTGGGAGGCAAAGGCGCTGGCGCCGAGGGGCTGCCCAGAGTGGGGGTCAGACGGAGGGGCCGGCGGCGACTCGGGGTCCCTGCCCGGCGGCCGCCCCTGGGCCCGGGGTTGGCCGCGCCGCTGGGCCCGGGGCGGGGCGGGGCGCGGGCGGAGGGGGCGGGGAAGGGGCGGGCGCGGGGCGGTGCCGCCGCCGGAGCCGGAGCCGGAGCCGGAGCCGGAGCCCGAGGCGACGCGAGCCGAGGGGGACCCGCGGAGGCCGCCGCCCCGCGCCCCTGCCCGCGCGCGCGAGCCCCGGGCGCCGGGGCCAGTCCGCATCCGGCCGGCGGGCGCCATGGCCGCGCCGGAGCCGCTGCGGCCGCGCCTGTGCCGCCTGGTGCGCGGCGAGCAGGGCTACGGCTTCCACCTGCACGGCGAGAAGGGCCGCCGCGGCCAGTTCATCCGGCGCGTGGAGCCCGGCTCCCCGGCAGAGGCGGCCGCGCTGCGCGCCGGGGACCGCCTGGTCGAGGTCAACGGCGTCAACGTGGAGGGGGAGACGCACCACCAGGTGGGTGCCCGCCCCGCCCCGCCGGCCCCCCCTGCGGCGCGCGTCCCGCGAGCCCGGGACCCACGACCCCCGGCCCGCGCCGCGCGTGCCCAGGCCTCGGCCGCGCGCGCCGGCCCGCAGGGGTCGCCCGGGGCCTACGTGGACGCGCGTGGGAGGCGGGGGACGTGGCCGCGGAGGCAGCGCCCGCAGCCTCCTTCCCAGCCCCCCCAGGAAGCCGGCGCTGCCCCGAGAGGGGGGTCGGGGGGGCTCCCCCCCCCCCCCCCCCCCCCGCACTGCGGCGCCTCTCCTGCCCCAGCGCTCGCTTCGGCCCCAGTGGGCAGTGTGTGTGCGGGGTTGGGGGTTGGGCCCCCGGGGTGTCGGGCCCTGGGACCCTGGCCGCCTCGCTGAGGTACGGGCACGCATTGCGTGGGGGTGCACCTCTGGGGTGGGGGGGTTGTGGGGGAGCCCACACTGCCGGCCTGCACCCGGCAGCGCCTGCCCTGGCGACGTGGGCCAGAGCCGGTGTCCCGGTCCCCCTGCGGTGCAGCCTTGGCGATCCCTGCCCCGGCCAGGCCTTCTGGGAGGCTGCCCAGGCCTGGGGGTCACTGCCGCAACCCCCTGCTGCAGCTGCAGGCAGGCCAGAAGGATGGCGGGGCTCCTCTGTGCGGGCCCTGCCGGGGCTGTCCATGTCCCCACCTGGCATCACCAGGCGAGGGTCCGCCCCACCTTCAACCAGTCTGCCCCGGGTCGTTGAGCCCCTGCAACCTCAGCTGGGGCTTGCCCTGGCTGGGAGGGAGTTGGCACCCTCTTTCCTCCTGGGGCCCGTCTGCCACCCAGTGTCACCTGGACAAGGCTGTTTGCTGAGGGAGGTGGGGGTCAGGGCCAGGGGCTGGGCCTCCCAGCCGCGGGCAAAGTGGGTGGGGCGGGCAGAGCTGGTGCCTGGCCTCTGCCCAACTGTCCCACCACCGGGAGCACCTGTTAGCCAGGCCTCTGGGTGCGGGTGCTCGGGGACCTGCCTCCCTACCCCGGGGGGGAGGTCCAGTCAAGACCCCCATTTTAGGGGTGAGGAGGCTCAGGCTTGGGATTCTTGGCCAACTCATTTGGCACCACAGTCAGGGTGCTGGAGAGCGTCCTCTTGGGCTCCCTGGGTCGCAGGGAGAGGGCGGGACAGATCAGGGCTGGGGTGGAGGAGCCTGGTTCAGACCCCCTCGGGGCGGCATCTGCCCAGCAGCTGGCAGGGCCCACCTGCTCCTCCCGTCCTTCACCCCCTTTCCTCGTGCCTGATGGGCACACACTGGCACGTGTCCCATGGCCACCCACCGTGTTAGTTCCCAGCACCCAAACACACAGATGGCCCTAAGGCGCACTTGTCCCACAGGTAGATCCCCTCCCCCGCCTGCTGGCTCCAGGGCCTGCAACCTGGTTGTGTGGGGCGGGACCTCACCTGCTGAGAGTCGGTGCCCAGCCCTGAGCCAGCTCTCCTCTCCGCAGTGGCAGGAGCCGTCCTGTCAGTCTGGAGGCCCGGGGAGGGTGGGGGCCGGGCTCGAGCTCTGTGCTCTGCCACTGAGTAGGGCAGGAGTGGGCCTGGCACCCCCAGACTGCCACCCCAGGAGCTGCCTCTGTCCCGCCAGCCCCGGCGGAGAGACAGGCCCTGTATCCCACACACCCCAACACCCAGAACCACGGCTGTCTTCGCCCCTCCAGACGGGCTGCCCCCCAACCTCCTGCCCCTCCGGAAGGAAGAGCTTGGACGAGGGGAGCCTGGTGGACGCGCAGCCCCGAGCTGAGCTGAGCGCCTGGAGCCCAAGAGTGGAGGGAGGGCGCTGAGCAGCCGGGGGTGGGGGGTGGAGCCGCGGGCCTCAGTCCAGCCGCCCACCTCTGGTGGCCGCCTGTGCCGGAGCCCGGGCACCCTGGGTGGTGCCGCTGCCCAGGGCTGTGCAGAATCCGGCCAGTGACCCCCTCCGTCGCTGCCCGTCCAGGTGGTCCAGAGGATCAAGGCCGTGGAGGGGCAGACTCGGCTGCTGGTGGTGGACAAGGACACGGACGAGGAGCTCCGCCGGCGGCAGCTGACCTGCACCGAGGAGATGGCCCAGCACGGGCTTCCGCCCGCCCACGACCCCTGGGAGCTGAAGCAGGGCTGGGTGCAGGCGTGCAGCCCCGGCCCCGAGGCTGGCCAGAAGGTATGGTGGGCCCTGGGCCACGTCCCCACCCGCCCGGCCCCAGAAGTCTGTCTCGCTGTCTTCTGGCTCCGGGGCCTCTGTGCCTGGCCCGGCCACTTGGGCCACGCTCTGCTCTGCCCTGGCCAGGGAAGGGCCGCTGGGCGTCCCAGATGCAGAGCTAGCGCCACACGGCCTGTCTGTCCCTGGGTCTGCCTGAGGAGCCGGCCTGCGCTGTGAAGGCCTGGGCAGTGGGGGCGGCGCCCGTCTCGGTGGGGTACACAGGTGGGGCATGCGGGGTGGCCCTCCCTGCCCCCTGACTCGGACCAGAGCAGGGGCGGGTGCTGCCACCTGCCCCGGGCGGGAGTAGCCCCCGGGCAGGACCTGGCAGAGGACGCGCCAGGCTGCTGGCTCTCCCGGGACCTCCTGCCTCTGCTTACAGGGAAACAGCCTCAAGCCCAGGGTTCCCCAGGTCCCGCTTTGAGAACCACAGGCACAGTGGGCTCCGGCTATGCTGGTATCCCCCTGACCCCTCTCGTGGGTGTCCCCCGCGAGCCTGCTGCCTGGACTGTGGGCCTGTTTGGGGGTTGGCGGCACCCCAGGGGCCAGGCGTGGACCCACGGTGCTTTGGTTCTGGGCTGCAGGCAGGCCGTGGGGTGCCAGGGCCAGGGGCCGGCTCTGCAGTCTGGACAGAGCCACCAAGGGACAGAGCAGGGGCCTCAGGGTCAGGTCTGTGACTTCAGGGGCGCTCTGGGCTGGTGGCATTGGGGGGGGTCCCTCCTTCCCCTGTGTCTGGCCGCCTGGAGGAAGCCTCCCCCCGCCCAGCGTTTGTCCATTGATTTGGACGCAAAGGGCTGAGTCCACCTTCCTGTGGAAAAATCCGCCCTCGGGCCTTATCTGGAGGGTGGGGTGGCTGAGGCACCTTTCCTCGGGCGGGGCGCCCCCCTCTGCTATTCCGGGCTCTGGGGGCTGCAGGAAGCCTCCCGGCACACATCTGCGGGAACGGGGGGCGGGGGGTGCAGTCAGGTGCGGGGCTGGCTGGCACCCGCCCTCGCGGCACGGACCGCTCTTGAAGGGGGCCCGGAGGAGGGCAGCCGTCAGGGACCCGCTCCCGCCACCGACCCCCACTCGCCCTCTCCGGCTGCTGGGAGTCCAGGGGGTGCTCTGGCAGCGGCCGGTGCGGCCAGCGGAGCAGGCGGAGGGGCCGCCCTGGGCCAGAGGCCCCGGGGAGTCAGACCCCGCGGGGTGGGGCGTGCTGCCGGGAGCGGCCCCCCTCGGCCAGTCAGGGCCTGGGCGGTGGTGACTCAGCCGGCCCAGGCCCGGGGCGCTGCAGCTGCAGCTGATGCGGGTGGCGAGACCGCGGCCGCCCCGGACAGGGCCAGGCAGGGCGGCGTGCGGCGCCGGGCGGGGCCGTGGTAGACGCGGGCCGGGCGCAGGGGGGTGAGGGGACGGTCCTGCGGGACGCCTGGTGCAGGCCCTCGGAGAGGCGGGGCGGCCGCCTCGGGTCCTGGGTCCTGGGCGCTGGGCAGGGCCGCCCGCCGCTTCCTTCCTTCCTTTCTTGGGACGGAAACCCGGCGGGTGGGGGGCGCCAGGCTGGAGCCTGAGCAGGGGAGGGTCTCGGTCACCACCCTGCTGCCCAGCGTGACTCAGCCCCTGTCCCACCCGTCCCTGGGGAGGCCGGGCCGCGGCGGGAGGCGGATAAATGGGGTGGCGGCCGCGGGCCGGCTGAGAGCTCAGGCCCCGCAGCTGGACGCTCGCCGCTGCCCATGGCCCGCTCTGGGAACGCCGCGCCGCCCGCCTCGGGCTCAGGAGCCCCTTCGCGGTGCCCGGGCCGCGGACCCGCGCAGGTCAGGTCGGGGACCGGGTAGGGAGCACCCTGGCAGCTGGCTGAGCCTGGGGGGGGCGGGGCGGGGGGCCCCCGCCGGCCCCGGGAGAGCAGGGCGGGCAACAACGGGAGCCTTTCTCTGCCCGGCTGTGAGTCACCCTCGGGGGGGAGCGCAGCCTGCTCCCGGGGTGCCCCGGCCAGTCCTTTGGCCACAGACCTTACTGGGAGACGCGGCTGACCCAGCTCTGGGGTCCCAGCTGGGAGCCGTGGGAGCCGGAGGGCCTGGCTGGGAGGCGGCAGGAAGTGCTCAGAGCCAGGGTGGGGAGCGAGGAATGTGAGCAATGCCTGAGCAATGTGCCTGCGCCCTGCGCCCCAGCTTTCTGGCTTCCCCACTGGGTGACCATGCAGCCAGCCTGGCCCGCACCGCAGCTTCTCACCTGAGGGTCCCACACCCAGTTGGAGGCTCCTGGACCCCACTCATGGGGCGGGTGTGGGGTCAGGGGAAAGCGCAAGGCTCACCTGGGGCTGGGCAGGCGGGGCTGTGGCCACTGTGACCCCAAACCAGATGTCCCTTAGCCTGGACTCATGGCTCTGAGCACCCCCAAATCCTGCTTCCCGCTTGGGGCTTCGTGATGGGAGCCGGCCTTTCGCGCGGCCCTGGCGCCATGTCCGCCAGCGCTTGCTGCCTGCTGTCCACGCCACGTGGGGCCTGGCACTGGTGCTGTGTCCGCGTGGGGCCCAGCTCGGCTCTGCTCCCGCCTGGCAGCCGAAGGTGCTGCCGCCTGAGCCTCCAGGAGTCCATAGTGGGGTCCTGCAGACCTCAGGGTCTTGCACCCCCGGCTTAGCCCGGGCGTGCCCAGGGGCAGCAAGCAGCTCTGTCCCTGGAGTCCCTGCATGCAGTGGCCAACTGGCCTGCAGCGGGGGTCCTGAAGGGGTGTCGGGCAGACTTTGCGGGTCAGGGAAGCGTCCTGGAGGAGGGGCGTGGGCCGCCAGGAGGCAATGTCCCAGTGTCAGGAAGACCCAGGGCCAGGTGTGCCTGTGCTGCGAGGAGGGACATGCTTTTGGCCCCACCTCTGGGCAGCTACCGCCCTGCAGACTGGCATTGGGGTTAGGAATAAGCCCGAGGCTAGAGAGTTGGGGGCCGGGGTGCAGGGGACCGGCCACCTGAGGCCTGCAGTCCTCTGCTGGGGTCTCGGGCTCTCCCCTGGTGCTGCCCCCACCTGGCCCGGGTCCCTCGGCCCCCCACAGGGAGAGCACCCAGCCGGCGCGCCCTTGCCTGCGCGCACGCCCCAGCGTCCCTGGAAACCCGAGCCGCTGCCGCCCGCTCACCTCGGCCATGTTTAATTGAGCGCCAGCGCGCCTGGCCCCTAGGTACTGCGGTCCCGGCCGGGTGGGACCCAGGGCAGCCCTGTCTGCGCGCCTGGCGGAGCCCCGCTGCAGGATGCCGGAGGTAAAGCAGGCTGCAGGGTGCTGCGGCAGGGAGGCCAGGGCAGCCCCTTCCTTGGCCTTCTCCCCCACCTCCTGCCTTGCCGGCTCAGCCTTGTGGGGGTGGGGGCGGCCCTGCTCCCTCTGGAATGTGAAAGTAAACAGCCCGCTAGTGGCACTGGCCCCTGCAGGCCTCAGAGAACACAAACTGCTGGCCTGGGACGCCCTGAGTCCTCCATGGGGAGGGGCAAGGCAGAGCCCGGGACAGCCGTGGGGGGCGGAGGCAGGGTCAGAGACAGCCATCCTAGGGAGCTGTGAGGGGCAGCTCACCTCTGCTGGCTTCTTCCTGGGCCCCTGCCTGTGGTCAGCCCTGATTCTCCTGGTGCCCCGCAGGCCTCTGTCCCCTCAGAGGCCCCTGCTCTTGACTTTGGAGACTGGCTGGGCCGGGGGTCCAGGTCGCAGGTCTGCACAGGCAGCTGCCAGGCACTCCCCTTGCCGTGCCACACCCTCGGGGACCCCGGGAGGCACAGGGACCGTGGGGGGGGCCAGGAGCCGGCACTCACCCACACCTGTGCTGCAGGGTGTCAATGGGCCCCCCAGGGAGCTGCGCCCACGTCTCTGCCACCTGCGGAAGGGCCCCCTGGGCTACGGGTTCAACCTGCACAGCGACAAGTCCCGGCCTGGCCAGTACATCCGCTCCGTGGACCCGGGCTCGCCCGCCGCCCACTCTGGCCTCCGTGCCCAGGACCGCCTCATTGAGGTACCCAGCCGAGGCCTCGGAGTGCCCTGCGTCCCAGTTCAGGTTCCCACCCGTGTGCGTGGGCCTGTGCCCCATGAGTGTCTATTCCCGGTGTCCCTGTGTGTCCCCATGTCCCTGCGCGCCCCGTCCCCGCGTCCCTGATCTCGTGGGAGGGGGAGGTGCTGGAATCGGAGCTGCCGTGGCTGATGGCGGGTGGATATCTGATGCCACTCCTGGCGGGCGCTGGGGGCTGCGGCTGCCCGGGGGGCACTGACCTGCTGCCGGTGGCAGGTGAATGGGCAGAACGTGGAGGGGTTGCGCCACGCGGAGGTGGTGGCCAGCATCAAGGCGCGGGAGGACGAGGCCAGGCTGCTGGTGGTGGACCCCGAGACAGACGAGCACTTCAAGCGGCTGCGGGTCACGCCCACCGAGGAGCACGTGGAAGGTGGGTGCCCAGCAGCCTCGGGGGGCACGGGGTGGTGTGGCCTGGCAGCCACTGAGACTGTGTCCCCACAGGTCCGCTGCCGTCACCCGTCACCAATGGGACCAGCCCTGCGCAGGTGAGGGGGGAAGGGCAGGGTGGGCTCCTGACTTAATGTCCCTTTCGCACCCCCTGGAGTCGCCCTCAGTCTCCCAGCGGGAGCCAGCCCCCCCTCCCCCTCCCCGGGGGCTCTTGGTGAAGCGCCACCGCCCCCCGCCAGGGACTGGGACAGTGGTGGCCGCGCTCGGTGCCCGCCGCCCGCTGGAGAACAGGAGGCAGCCCCGGTGCGCCGCCACCTGCAGGGTTCCCGCAGCCTCACCCTTGGGCGCCCCACTCAGTGGCGGCGCGGGCCTGGCTTAGGCGAGGACGTGGGGTAGCGGGCGCCGGCCGCCAAGGCTCGGGGGTGCGTGTCTGGGAGCGGGCAGCCTGGGCAGGGGCCAGCGCCTCCTGAAGGCCTCCTGGGCTGTGGGCGCCCCGTCACCGCGGGGGGCCTGGGTCCGCGGCTGGCGCTCACCCGCTGCCCGCCTCGCCCCTGGCCAGGATGGCGGCACCTGGAAGCCGGACCCGTTCCAGGAGAGCGGCCTCCACCTGAGCCCCACGGCAGCCGAGGCCAAGGAGAAGGCCAGGGCCACCCGCGCCAACAAGCGGGCACCGCAGATGGACTGGAGCCGGAAGCGCGAAATCTTCAGCAACTTCTGAGCCTGCCGGGCCTGTCCAGGGGCCCCGGGCCTCCCCACAGACTTGGGCCTCACCCCGAGCCCAGCGGCGCTCCCGAGCCTCAGCGGACTGAGGGGGGCGTCCTCATCCCCAGAAGCCATGGTGGTCCCACCGCCACCCAGGAGCCAACCTGGGCCCCAGTGAGCCCCCGCCCCGTCCCCCTGCCCGCTGGGTGCTAAGGGGGGGCTCTGGCAGCCAGATGGGGGCGACACCCTGAGATGGGAGAGACACCCAGAGACTGAGGAGAGGGAGGCGCGGAGGGAGAGACCCTGGGGCCTGCTGACTTAGAGGAATTTGTGTTTTTGCTTTTTTTCCAAAAAGAGCTCCAGCTCCACACATGTTTCCACTTAATACCAGAGCCCCGGCCCCCGCCCCCTCAGGACGAGCTCTCTAAATAATTGCAATAAAACAAGCCTTTCTTGCAAACTGTTCCCCCTCGGCAGCAGCCACCCCCGGTGGGAGTCCAGAAACTTCTGGGGGAGGGGGAGGGGGCGGGCTGCGTTTGTGGGAGCTGCCCCATCCCCATCCTCTCTGGCGTGGGGTCCTAGGCCAGGCCCCCCCATCACCCCAACACATCAGGATCTGGGCGCAGGGCCCGTCTCTCCCGGGGCTGAGGATGGAGGCCGGTGCCCAGAGCAGGGCAGCCTCTGGACTGGCCCCTCGTCCTGCTGTGGCTGTTCTGGGGCTTGGGAGAGGGGGTGCGAGAGCCTGTCCCAGGGGGCCCGGACCTGGGCCTCACCGCCCACACCGCCCTCCCTGCTGGCAACCTGACCGGCGTTGCTGTCTTTCTGGTAAGCCATAGCGCATGCGCGCCTCGGAATAAACAGGCCATCCTCGGACCCTCAGCTGCCTGTCCTTCCTGTGTCCTCAGTCGGGGTCAGGGAGCCGCAGCTGTTGGGGCTGGGAAGCAGCAGCCAGCGGGCCCCCAGAGTGTCAGCTCTGGAGACCGGGGTTTTGCTCCCGAGCCTCCAGCTCCGAGCCTGCTGCTGGCAGCCAGGCCGCTGCTGCCCCGCCTCCCCCAGCCCGCAGCCTTGGGGACCCAGTGCCTAGGAGTGACTGGTGAGGCCCCATCCCTACTGTCCTCGTGCTGTGCAGCTCCCTTTCCCTACCCCCGGCCGGCAGGCACACAGGTCAGGCCTCTGCCAGGCGGTGCCCAGCCTCCTTTGGGGCCAGGGCTCTGTGAACCTGGGGGTGGGCCGCCCAGCCTCTGGGGGCACATGAGTTCAGGAGGGAAGGCCTTTTTCAGGACCTCAGTCAGCCGCTGAGAGGGAGGGGCCAGGCCTACAGAGCCCCTGGCTGGCTTCCCAGCAGCTGGCTGCAGCTGGCTCCCACGATCCGGCGCTTCCATCCAGGCTCGGCCACAGCGCCGAACGTCACGTCCTGGCCCTGGCCCCAGAGAGCCTGCCCCAGGCCCACGAGCCGGGCAAGCACGCTCGCGCACGTGCCCCGGGTAGACAAGAGCCAGACCCGACTGCAAACAACCCCAAGCTTTATTACAAACAGGCTACGTGTTCCCACAAAGGCGCGTCACGACAGCATGGCCCGCTCAGCCCTCAGAGCCCCGGGCGGCTGGGCACAGGGTCCGGTTGAGGCAGGCCTGGCAGCGTGGGCGCGTGGGTAGGCAGGTCTGCTGGCCGAAGCCCACCAGCAGTCCGTTGATCTCGCCCCACAGCTCCCTGGGAGGATGGGAGCTGTCAGCGTGCAGGGAGGGAGGAAGGGAGGGAGGTGGGGGTGACTCGCCCCCCCTCACCTGGGCAGCCACTCCTCCAGAGCCTTGCGTGTCTGCTCAGGGGACTTTGTGGTCTTCCTGGTCCACCTGAGTCGATTGGCGATTCTGTGTACGTGTGTGTCCACTGCTGCTGGGGATGGGGTGGGGTGAACCCAGGCCCCTCCCAGCCCAGATGGCCCCAGTCCAGTGCCGGAGGCTGGGACCAGGGTGGCACTGTCCTGGCCCGGGCAGGTCGGGCCAGGGTCTGTTGCCTGGCAGGGGCTGTGGCCAGGCTCGGAGGACCTCTACTCGGGGTGCAGGCCGCCGTCCCACTGCAGCCTCTCCTCTCCTCTCCAGTTCCCACCCCTGCTAATTGCCCATCCCCAGACGGGGCGCACCCTGGGTTGTGGCAGCCGCACTTCCAAGTCACCCAGGGCCCAGTGTCGGGACACCTGTACATGGGAGCCTCTGACGGGCTGACCCAGCAGGGCTTCTCCACACAGACAAGGCCAGCTGCTCACCCAGCATCGCGGCCAAGCTCAGAGGAATCAAGCGCTTGCCCAAGGCCGCCCAGCAGGTGGGCAGAGCGGACGGACGGGCAGTCTCCCTGACTCCCGATTTGAGACTGAGGGGACGCCCCCTCTGAGGGTCCCCTGCAGGTGCCTGGCCCACCCACAAGCAGAATGCAGTAGGCTCCTGTCCGCTGGGTCCGCAGCTCCCTGGGCCCTGGCCCGTCTGGCGGGGGCAGGGCTCACCCCCCCATAGCTTGCTTCTGCTCTGCCACTCCAGACAAGCCCAAGTGTCCTCGGAGAGGCTGGCCCGGCCCTTCAGAGCTCCTCCAGGCCCCAAGCTGCACGGGAGATGGGGGTCAAGGTCTCACCCTCGCTGCCCGCGGGGCGGAAAGCAGAGCTGGCAAGGGCCTTCCCCAGGACACAGGCCTCTGGGCCGTGGTAGCGCTGGGGGCTTCCTAATCGCTCTCCTCAGCCCCGGCTGCCCCCACCCTCAAGGCTCTGCAGACGCTACTCCTCCTCCAGGCCGCTCTGCCTCACTCGGCTAAACCCTGGGACCAGGTGCCCCCAGTGCTCTGCCCCCGCCCCCCACGCCACAGTACGTGTAGCAGAGCCCCGCGCAGAGGCCTCGCACATGGGACCCAGCTTAGCCTGAAACCCCTTCCTGACCTGTTGGGGCCAGTCTTGGATGAATACAGGGGTTGGGGTCACAGGTCTTAGGGATGTGGGGAGCCAGCCCTTCCCCCCAGCATGTGCCACTCACCGATGCCTGACACGGTACCCCAGGCCACAGCCATGGCCAGGTGTGCCATCTTGGGCCCCACCCCTGGCAGAGCCACCAGCTCAGCCACAGACGCCGGGATGTCCCCTCCATAGCGCTGCCGCAGGATGGCCGTGGTCTGCTTGATGTACTTCACTTTGCTCTGGGGGGGGGGGCGTGAACCCAGATGCGAAGGGGTGAGTGGCCTGGCCGGTGAGAACAAGGCCCGAAGGAGCCCCATGGGCACCAGAGCAGCCATCACCTGCCCAGGATGGAGAGAGGCACCTGCCCCAAGCCCCCAGGAGAGAACCAGCCCATAGGAGCAGGGAAGCCCAGCCCCCTCCCGCGTGGACGTGTGACACGTGTGGGGTCTGGCCTGGGTCACACCCCAGGCCTGGCTGGGCAAGCAGGGTCAGCCCCTCCCGGGAGTTGGGCTCAGCACCTGGCCCTTCAGGAAGGAAAGCTGAGGACTGGGGCTCCCCGGCCAGCCAGCGAAGGCCAGCTGGGTGGTTCCCATCCTGTCCGCTTCAGAGAGCTATTTAAGTCCCATCTGACCGGCTGCAGCCCACGCCTGCCTGAAGGGAAGCACCGCCCAAGGCTGCCTTCACAGCTCCGCCCACCCCGGCAAGGAGCTGGCGTAAACAAAGGGAAAGGGGTGGGCGAGGCGGGGAGGAAGGAAGGGGTGGGTAGACAGGAAAGCCTGCTGGGCTCAGGCCTGGGCCCAAAGGCTGGTGGGGTGGAGGCTGGAGGCTGCCCCACGGGCACCCACTGGCACTGCCAGCCCTCCCGCAAGTGTGTCCAGCAGCTGGCGCTCACCCTCCAGAAGCCCACCGGGTAGATGAGCGCTCCCAGCGTGCTGTCGTCTGTGCGCAGGACACTGTCCACGGTCAGGCCCCGCTCCCGCAGCCGCTGCATGGCGCCGGCGGTCACCTGGTCTTTGGTCTGGCTGGAGAGCATGAGCGACAGCAGCACCTGGTACCTCCGCACCTGCTCACACAGCGGGAAGGCTGGTGGGGGTCAGGCCCAGCCCGGCCTCCCGGGGGACAGCAGCCTCCTTCTGGCTGGTCAGGCCACGTGGGCCTGCAGGGCTGAGGCCAGCGCCTGCCTCACCATTTCCCACGAGGCTTGAGAGACTCATGGGACCCAGAGGGGCCCCCGCCCGCCAGAGGCCACCCCGGCCACCGCTGCTCCCAGAGTGATGCTGCCCGTTCCGGGCTCGCTGTCTCAGGGCCGGGGCGGGCATTGCGAGGAGCCACTCTGGGCCAGTCACGGGCAGCCGGGCACCAGGCCGACCCACCAGAGGCCCAGCGGGGTGGCCAAGCGCTCGCGCCACACGTGCCTACCTCTGGGGGTGCGCTGGGGTCATAGCAGCACTCAGCTCCCAGCTGGTCCACAGGCGCGTCCTTCCCACTCCTCATGGCGCGCACGTTCGCCAGGTGCAGCCGCCAGTCCCGGGGCTCCCAGCCCGGCGCCGCAAGGGGCTCGGCGCCCGCTCCTTTCTCCCCGGCCGAGGCCTCGTAGGCCACCTTCAGTTTGCGCGCCCTCCGCGGACACCTCGCAGGCTCGGGGCGTCGCCCTCCTTCTGCAAACAGGGCCACTCGGTCCCTCCACGGGGAGCCCCAGGGGAGGCGCCGCCCCGCGATCTCCCGCGCTGGGGCTGGGCGCGCCCCGGTCTCCGCCGGCGGCCGCAGGTCTGCCTGCCCCGGGCCGAGTCCCGGCAGCGACCGGGGCTCTGGGGAGGGCCGCCCCGCGCCCCTCCACCTGCCGCCGGGAAGGAGTCACGGCCGGCCGAGGCCCACTGGCTCTTCGCGCTCGCCCGGCGGCCTCCCCGCCTGCCCCCAGCTCCGCGCCCGCCGGGCACCGACGGCCGCGGGTCCCTGCAGCCTCGGGGGCCCCTCCCGCCAGCCCCGCGGGGCCCGCGCGCCCCGGCCGCGGCGCCTCCGCTCCCAGAGCGGCTTCCGCGAGGGCCTCGCCGGGGTGGCCGCCGGAGGCGCGCGGCGGGGACGGGCGCCGGGGCCCGCGGGCAGCCTGGCGCCGGGGCAGGGCCCAGGGCGCGCGCGCGGCGGAACCCGGCCTGGAGCCCCCGGGGCCGCGCCTCGTCCCTGCGAGCCTCTGTGCCCGCCTCTGCTCCCGTGCCCCGGCCCGACCGCTACCTGCAGCCGCCTCTCCGCCCCGGAGCGGCGCGGCCTCCTCCCCACCGCGCTGCGGCCGGGCCCCGGGCCCCCCGCTCCGGCTGCGGGTCAGCATCCGCACGCCCACCGCGCTCATGCCGACCCCGCGGACTACACCTCCCGGCGGCCCCCGCGGCGCCGCCACGTGACGCGACGTGGCCCCGCCCTTCCGGCCTTGGGCGGCCCGGAACTACGACTCCCGGCAAGCCCCGCGCCGGGCCGCCGCCGCCGGAAGTGCAGGGGTCGCTTCCGGCGGCGCCTCGGGCCGGGGGTGTGCGGCCGTCTCGCGACCCGACCGCCGGGCGCGCGGCGGGCGGCGCGGGGTGAGGGGCTCGCGGCGCCCGGGCGGCCGACCCCGACGGGAGCGAGCGCGGAGGCGCCGGCCTGCTCCGTGCGAGGCGGCGGGGGCGGGCCCCGCACCGGGCCTCCCCGCCGCGGCCCGGCCCGGGAGCCCCGCGCGCGCCTCGGCCTCAGCCCGGCCCGCCGAGCGCGCCTGCCCGCCCGGAGCGCCCCGCCCGGCCCGCGCACCATGGCCAAGCCCGCCGGCAAAGACTCGGGCCTGAGGGAGAAGTTCAAGACTCTGCTGGGCCTGGGCACCCCGCGGCCGCACCCCCGGTCTGCGGAGGGCAAGCACACGGAGTTCGTCATCACCGGCGAGATCCTGAGGGTGAGCGGCCGGGGCGGGCCCGGCCGGGCGGGGGGCACCGCCTGGGCCGCGCTTGCTGCCTCCGTCCGCGGGAGGCCCGCGTCCTCGGCCCCGGAGGTCGGGTCCCGGCGGCCCGGTCCGGCCGGCCCAGTCAGCCGTGCGAGAACGTCCGCCTGGCTCGGCGTCTCCGCCGGCGGTCGAAGTCACGGCCCGGTGGTAGCTGCTGCCTCCTCTGTCCCTTGGCGCGAAGCCCCCTGCCCCGTGCGCGGCGCCTCGCCGGGGCTCTGCACGCGCCAGTTTGTCTCTCTCAACCCAAGCGTCCTGCTGGGGAAGGCGCGGGCAGAGCGGGGCTTTGTTACCTGCCGGAAGGAACCGTGCGGGTATCCCCCGCGCTAGAGAGGTGTCCTGAAGCCTTTGTGCAGAGAAGCCAATCCCCAGGCGCCCCCGCATAGCGCCCGCATACAGCAGACGCCTGGAGCGGGCCCATCAGAGAGGCGGGACTGGGTCCCCGTTTGCCAGGGCTGGGGCGAGGCAGGCATGGGGACTGCTCAGAGGTACGGCGTCTCCTGCGTGGGGGATGGAGACGGTTGCGGTATAGTGTTCTGGAGACAATTCCAGAAAATACTTTGGAATTAGGGGGAGCAGCTGCAGGCACTGCTGAGTTGCACAGTTTAAATTGTTAAAATGGTGAATTTTATCTGGAAAACAAAGCAGTCAGGAAAAATTGTTCTCTGGGGCGGCCTTTGGGGACACCTGAGCAGAGGGAACTGCTGACTGCATGCTGGAAGGCGGTCGGGGTCTCGGGGCCCCCTTCCCTTCTGACTCTTCATCTCTCCAGGAACTCAGCATCGAGTGTGGTCTCAACAATCGCATCCGAACGATAGGGCAGATCTGTGAAGTTGCAAAAACTAAGAAATTTGAAGAGGTGGGTGTGCCCCGCTGGAGCTCAGCCTGGCCGTCTGGGAGCAAGGCTGACCCCCGACTGCCTTCAGGGCGCACTGCTTCAGGGAAACTTGACCCCCTGGATATTGGGGGAGTGTTAGAAAGGCCCCAAGCATACTCTGAAGGGTCCCAGGACAGTTGGTGGTGATCTGTAGAGACGCGCCCTTGTCTGCTGAGGTCTGGGGGAAGGGATGCCGGGAAACGGCAGGAGGGAGGGTGCTGCGGGGCTGTCTCGGTAGCTTTTGGGAGCAGTGTCTGCTGCTGTGTCTAGCTGCCCCCCAGATGGGGTGTGCCTACATGCCTGGCGTTTTCAGGCTTGCTCCTGACGGTCTGGACTGAGTCCCGGGGGCAGGGCTGCGGGGAGGGCACCTCCAGGGCTCACCTCTGGCTTTCCCACGACTTGGGAGGGAATGTGGGCCTCGTACCCAGCAGTGAGACCTGCGAAGTGAGAGCACCCATGCGCCCCACACGTGTCCATACGAGCCCCTGCGTGGCAGCTGGGTGGCGTGGAGGCCGGCTCTCTGTGAGGTGCCCGTGGGCACGAAAGGGGAGCTGCTGCCCTGTGGACGGGTGGGTTGGGTAGGAGGCTGGGTAGCCCGCAGACAGCGCGTGCAGCCTTGGCTGCACCCCTGCAGGTAATAAAGGGTCAGAGAAGGACGTTCTGGAGTATCCAGAGGTGGCCAGGATGTAGGCAAGACGTGGTCTGGAGATCGTACTGTGCTAGGGCTCTTGGTAGCTGGGAGCCCTCTGTCAGACTTGGGGGGCAGGCCCCGGCAGCTGCACCAGCGCAGGCCCTGGAGCAGCGCGTCTGAGTCAGCACCTGCGCTGCTGTGTCTGCCCGCGGCGCCGCTCCCTGACCGCCATCCCTCCCTGCCGGAGCAGCACGCGGTGGAGGCGCTCTGGAAGGCCGTCGCGGACCTGCTGCAGCCGGAGCGGCCGCCGGAGGCCCGGCACGCGGTGCTGGCCCTGCTCAAGGCCATCGTGCAGGGGCAGGTGAGCGCAGCTGTGCGGCGGGATGGCCCGAGCAGGCGCCCGAGCCCCACTTCCTCACGGCGCCTCTGCCTCTGGGATGGCTCGGGCACCATGGGGTCACGGGACCTGTGTGCGCGGGTGATCCCTTCCCTTGCCCCGCTGACCACAGTGTCCCCCCACGCTCCCCTCCCGCCAAGCGCCTGCCCGCGCACCGGCCGCTGTGGTCTCTGCCACTCCAGGATGCCCGCCTCTCCACCTTCCCGAAGGCTCCATCCTCCTGGCCCAGCCCGCCGCCCCCGCATGCCATGGCTGCCAGGAGAGGGCCGCCCGCTCCCCGCGGGGCCTCCCCTCGCCCTCCACACCTGTCCCCCAGCGAGCGCTGGTCCCGTTCCTTGCCCCAGCTGCGGGGGTGTACCCGGTGTGCCCCGCCCCCCACAGCCTGTCGTGCGGAAAGGGGCGGATGCTGGCGGGAGTAGCGGCTGGGAGCCCGGGCGGGGGTCCTGGGCGGACGCCGCTCACCCGTGCTCTGTCTGCAGGGCGACCGCCTGGGCATCCTCCGGGCCCTCTTCTTCAGGGTCATCAGGGACTACCCCTCCAACGAGGACCTCCACGAGCGGCTGGAAGTGTTCAAGGCGCTCACAGACAACGGGAGGCACATCACCTACTTGGAGGAAGAGCTGGGTGGGTGCCGCCTGGGTGTGCGGTTTCCTGGTCAGGGCGAGCAGATGTAACGGGGCGGGGGGGGGGGGGGGCCAGGAGCAGCGTGGCCCTGGCCTGGTCTGCAGAGGGCGCCGTGCTGTGCCCAGCGGCTCCTGTCCCTGGGCCTAGGCACGTCGGCCGCCTTAGTCTCAGGGGAGCTCGCAGGCCCTGCAGGGGCCTGGGCAGTGGGCCCGGCCGGCATTGCGGGAAGGGCAGTTCTGTCATCCGGGCCATGTGCTACTGAGCCGGTGTCGAGGGCGCCCCGCTGCTGTCGCCTCACCAGCCCAGGGCCCGCCCTCGCCCCCTTTTACTGGCCACCTTCCCGTCGTCCCGAAGGTGAGAGCTCTGCCAGCCTGAGGTGCCCATGTGGGAGTGAGAATTGGCAGCTGGCCCTGGCCATCCTATCCTGCTGGTCAGCCTGGCCCAGCTTTCAGCGCAGAGGGTCGGAGCTGACGGGAGCTGTCGTCAGGTTTTCTGGCGGAGGTTGCCGGCCTGTGGCCAAGCTTTGCTGGTGCTTCTGTTGAGCTGCCGGGTGGGCGCCCAGGGCTTGCTCTGGTGCTGCTCCTCAGCCGGCCGGGGCACCACATGTCCCACCGTAAGCTGCCTTGGCTGGGACCCTTTGGTGTAGTGGGGCGGGGATGCAAGTCCCTGGTGTGCTTTTGGGGCTCCCTGGAGAGGCATGGGGACCAATGAAGGGGTCCCAGTGCCGCCTTTCCAGGGAGAGCACCGAGGCACACCGCGCTCCTCTCCCCCAGCCGAGTTTGTCCTGCAGTGGATGGATGTCGGTCTGTCCTCGGAGTTCCTCTTGGTGCTCGTGAACCTGGTCAAGTTCAACAGCTGTTACTTGGACGAGCACATCTCGGCAATGGTGAAGTAAGCACTGTGCCTTTCCTCCAGGGCGCCCGCCGCTCGGTCCTTTGGCTCGGGGTGACAGTGGCGTGGACGCCGCTCTCCGAGGGGTGTCCTAAGGCTGGCTCTGGCGCCTGGTTCCCAGTGGAATCCCTGCATCCCATTTGTTTCTTTTACGTCTGTCTTTGGCAAATGCCGCGAGCCCGTGGAGGCAGGGCCTGGCCTCGTGCTGCCTGCCAGGCACCAGCATGCAGCTGTGGAGGGGGCTCTGGGGCGGCAGGGGGCGCGCAGGCCCCGGCTTTGCAGAGGAACCGCACAGCGGGGCAAAGCCGCTCGCCTCTGGAAGTCCCCAGCCGACTCTGGCGCTTCGTTTGCAGCATGATCTGCCTGCTGTGTGTCCAGACCGTGTCTTCCGTGGACATAGAGGTCAGCAGCCGGGCTCTGTGAGAGGCCCCCTTCGTGTACCTCTGGGGTGTTGAACAGGGCAGGGCCAAGGCCCTGGGCTCAGGGACCGGGCCCAGTGTGCTTCCTGTGGGTGGGTGCCCCGGCGGGCGGCTCGGCCTCCAGCTGCCAGAGTGTCCTGTGAGGAAGGGCGCGCTGGCCCCTGTCCCGGGCCTCGGTCTGGATGCCTTGGGTCCACAGCGACCAGAGGTGGGGTGCCCCCGGCACGTGCCTTCTCCCAGCCCAAGGGAGGCTGAGTTGGCCGGTCCCTGCAGGGGGCAGGAGAGACTGGGCTGACACTGCCCTGTCTGCTCCGCCAGGTATCGCTGCAGGTGCTGGACGCCGTGGTCTGCTACAACCGCCTGCCCGCCGAGAGCCTCCCGCTCTTCCTCGTCACGCTCTGCCGCACCGTGAACGTCAAGGAGCTCTGCGAGCCCTGCTGGAAGGTGCCCCGGGCACAGCCCACAGCCTTTCCCCGTTACACCAGGGCGAGGGCCTTGGTGTCTTCCACGTGCTTCTGTCAGGTCCTGGGTGTCCACGGGGCGGCCTGTCCGAGGGACTCAGTGGTGTTTCCTTGCTTGGAGCTGGGCTCGGGGTCCCGGAGGCCTCTGGGGAGGTGGTGCTGGGGTGGGGTGGGGTGGGGCTGGGTGCGGCCCATCTGAGGTGCTGCCTCTGTCCCAGCTGATGCGTAACCTCCTGGGCACCCACCTGGGCCACAGTGCCATCTGCAACATGTGCCGCGTCATGGAGGACAGGTGCGTGTGCGGCCTGTGCCGGCCCGGCTCCCGCTCCAGTCCCCTGCTGTCGGCGAGGCTGGCACGCCTGCCCCCTCTGCACCACGCCCGCCCCACCCGGGGCCTGTCCCTCTGCATGGCCTCCCTGCCAGGCCTATGCCCTCTGCTCGTGTTGGCCTCGCTCCCGCTTTGGTGCTGTGCTCTGGCCTTCCTCCTCGCCCCCTGATGTGACAGGAGGGCCACGAGCTGAGGGCGCGTCTCCCCCGCTTCCCTCACGCCCTGGACTCCCCCGCCTTGGTCAGCGGGCAGCTACTGCAGGGGTCACTCAGATCATGGCCTTGGCTGCTGCCCCCCGCCCCCAAATGGCCCCTAAATACGGGGGGCTCTGGGAAGATCTTCAGGAGCTTGGGTCACCCCTGCTCACACTCCCTCTCTGGGGATACCCACAGAGCGTACATGGAGGACGCCCCGCTGCTAAGGGGAGCCGTGTTCTTTGTCGGCATGGCGCTCTGGGGGGCCCACCGACTCTATTCCCTTAAGAACTCCCCGACATCAGTGTTGCCGTCTTTCTACGAGGTAACCCGCTGTCCGAGCTGGCAGGAGCAGCGGCCCCAGCCCAGTGGGAGGGTGGGTGCGCCACTTGCTCCCGGGGCTGCGGCCAGGGGCCCGGACTCCGAGTTAGCCGTCAGGCCGGGTGTGCGGGAGACGTGCGGGAGGGCCCAGGCCGGAGCACGGTGCTTCCTCACGAGTGCGCCTGCGCGCTCTGTTTCAGGCCATGACCTGCCCCAACGAGGTGGTGTCCTACGAGATCGTCCTTTCCATCACCAGGCTCGTTAAGAAGTACAGGCGGGAGCTGCAGGCTGTGACGTGGGACATCCTGCTGCGCATCATGGAGCGCCTGCTGCAGCAGCTGCAGGTGGGCGTGGGGCGGGTCTCAGGGTCCCTGGCCTCCAGCCGGGCCCTGCCCTGGGATGTGGGCTGAGGGGCGGCCCACCCAGCCCCATGGCTTCCGGCTCCCTGTGTACTCAGGCCCTCCTGGCAGCAATCCACTTTTTGGATGGTGCCCTCAGCCCTTGGAGGGCTCTCGGGTTGGTTGCCCAGTAGGACTAGGTAGCGGGTGAGCAGGGGTAAGGCTGGTGGGGACGGTGACGGCAGGGTAGACGACGGGCCAGGTTGGCTCCATGGGCTGTAAGTGGGCCCGGAAGACGGGTCCCTGCAGCGTCTGGGATGCTGGCCGTGGCGTAGCTTGGGAGGGCAGAGTTGACCCCGACAGGCCCCACAGAGGAGATGTGCCCACTTCTGGCCCCGGCTCAGGGCTGGGTCTGTGAGGGACTTGGGTAATGGGGGTGGCCTGGACAGCAGGAGGAAGCGCAGCAGGCCGTGGGGCCTAGGTGATGGACTGTGCTGTTCTCACAGACTAGCTGGCCAGGGGTGCCTCTTGTTGGAGCCCTGGGGCGGCAGGCCTCGCTGTGCCCCCACATCCAGGCCAGTGGGGGTTGTGTGCATCCAGCGGTGGGGGCCCAGAGGCTGTCTGGAGCCTTCAAGGGGCGGGAAGGCTCACCTGTGTGACCACACCTTGGTGCCTCAGTGCCTGGACAGCCCGGAGCTCAGGGCCATTGTCCACGATCTGCTCACCACGGTGGAGGAGTTGTGTGACCAGAACGAGTTCCACGGCTCACAGGAGAGATACTTTGAGCTCGTTGAGAGATGTGCGGACCAGAGGCCGGTAAGGCCGGGTGCCCGGTGGGGCCTTGAGTGGGCGTGCCCTAGCCATGTGGATCCGAGGCAGCTTTTCTGGAGTTTAAAACCTGGGGCCTGCTGGGATTCGGGCTCCAGCTGGAAGGTCACCGGGCATGGCAGAACCTGAGGGCCGAGTCTGCCTCTGCCCGTGGTGCAGCCGGTCCTCCTGGGAGACACACTCGGCTGCGCGTGAGGCCTGGGCCCGGGCTTTGAGGCTCCTGGTGGCCCCGACAGTCTGTGTGTGGGCACCAGGCTCTTGGGCCTGCAGCACGTCTTCCAGGGAACCCTCCGGAAGGTGGAACAGCTCACGGTGCAGGTTTATTTTCCTGCTGACAGGAGTCGTCCCTCCTGAACCTGATCACCTATAGAGCTCAGTCCATCCACCCCGCCAAGGACGGCTGGATCCGCAGCCTACAGGCGCTGATGGAGAGGTTCTTCAGGTGGGCGCAGGGTCGGCGTGGCCCACAGCCACCGCTCTGTGCTCCCCCCGCCCCGGCTGGGCACTGGGGGCTGGCCCTTTCCTTTCTGCAGCTTGAGGGGGTGGCCCTGTGGGGGTGTGGGCCAGCCTCAGGCCTTGGCTGCCCAGAGGGGCCGCCCCGAGGTTGTGGCCTCTGTGCCAGGCCCCAGTCCTTGGTTTGGATGTCCAAAACCATTTGTGCCTGGGGGACAAATCCACTCAGCCTCACCCTGGGACAGACCTGGGCACAGGGTGGCGGGGGGCCGCGGGGCACACGGGTGCCCCCACTAGCAGGTGCATTCCTGCCCCCAGGAGCGAGTGCCGCAGCGCTGTGCGGATCAAGGCGTTGGATGTGCTGTCTTTCGTGCTGCTCATCAACCGGCAGTTCTATGAGGTGTGTCCAGGTGCGCCAGGTCCACTCGCGCTTCTGGAGATGTCCAGACCCGGGCTGGGCCTGGGCACTTGGCCGGCTGCCAGGAGGACATAGTGCCTAGCCTGGGGACCCCAGCCTCGGGGTACCCCGCCTCTCTGTAGTCACACTCGCCTGCTGCATCCGGCAGTGCCTGGCCCTGCGGGAGCGCATGTGCCCCAGTGCCTCGCAGGGAGCTGCCTTGGGCTCTGGTCTCCTGCGCTGGCCTTTCAGCTCCCTCGCAGCCTCCTGCCTCTGGGCCCTGGTGCCCCGCATCCCTTTTCCAGTGTCTCGGTTCCTTGGAAGCCCACCCTTCGAAGTGAGCTCAGTGCTGCTTTTTCCAGGAAGCCGGTCTGGGTCTTTGGGTCTTTCACGCAGCTCAGTCTTTGTTCCCTGCTCCTGCTTTGGGCGTGCACACGCTGCCCCGTCACAGCGGCCCCCGTAGCGTCAGGTACAAGGTCCTCTACCCTGGTGTGCACGCCGCCTCTCGCAGGAGCGTCCTGAGTGATTTTCATGACACAGCAGGCCTGTCCCCGGCTGCCTCGTGTCCTGGTTCTTGCAGGGCAGTGCAGGGGGCCTGGCCCCCGTCCTCTGGCGCTGCCGCCGCCCTAGCCACAGCCCTGCTGCCGTTCCCAGGGCCTTGGCCAACACCCTGGCGGAAGCTGACCTCGCCCCTCTGTGCTTGGCGCAGGAGGAGCTCATCAACTCCGTGGTCATCTCGCAGCTCTCCCACATCCCTGAGGACAGGGACCCCCAGGTGCGGAAGCTGGCTACTCAGCTGCTGGTGGACCTGGCTGAGGGCTGCCACACGCACCACTTCAACAGCCTGCTGGACATCATCGAGAAGGTGGGCCGGGCGGCCTGCAGCCAGGCGTCCTCGGCCCCTGCCCCATCACAGATGTGCCCGCGGAGCGTGGCTGCGTCCACCCCGAGAGCCCAGACTGCGGCCCTGCGCTGCCAGCGCCTCTGCGGTTTTGCCGTGCCGCGGCTTCCCAGGGGTCTCTGGCGCGGGAGCCCCCTTCTGAGGCAGTCTGAGACCTGAGGGCGGGGTCTGAGTGCGGCCTCTCCCTTCAAGGTGATCGCCCGCTCGCTCTCGCCACCCCCCGAGCTGGAGGAGCGGGACGTGGCTGCCTACTCGGCCTCCCTGGAGGATGTGAAGACGGCGGTCCTGGGGCTCCTGGTCATCCTCCAGGTGTGCTCTCTGCGGCGGGTGGGCGGAGCCAGAGGGGCCCCAGCTCTCCCCGGGAGGTGCTGAGGGACTGCCGCCCTTCGCCGTTCTGCTGGGTTGGTGCACTCCTGCTCGCTGAGAGGTGACTCCCGAGCCATGACTTCCCCACTGCCACTGCGGACCCCTGAGGCCTCCCCCCGTGCCTGCCGGCGCCCTACTCGTTGCCCCAGCCCTTGCGGCAGCTTCTGCCCTGTGGACCACGGGCTTCCCCGGCCACATTTGTCCTGCTTGTCCTCTGTGCCCCCACCTGTTGGCCTTCCCCCTCTTGTGACTGAGTGGCCGGCCACGTACCCCGGAACCCCACAGCAGAGCGGGAAGGGGTGGGCCGCTACAGCAGCCGCCACACCAACCGCCTTGGCCTTGCGGGGCACAGGGAGCTGGGAGGGGCCGAGGAGAGAGCCGGGTGCTGTCTCCCCCCATGCTGCGCAGTGGCACCCGTGTCCGGGACACAAGCAGCCACGACTGAGGAGCCAGCGGCCTGGTGGCGGGCAGGGCCTCGAGTATCCCGCAGCGCCGGTCCGCGCGTGACCTCTCCTTGCGTCGCCTCAGAGGGAGAGGCGCTTTCCCAAACGCTGTGTCTTTTTGAGGGACAAGTACTGCTTCTCAAGCGCTGGCAGCTCTTCTTCGAGGCTCAGCGCTCACAGGAGGGGCCTCGTCTGCACCGCACCCCCCCACGCCCGCTCGCCGGCAGCACCAAGGGCGCAGCCGGGCCCACCTTGCCTGGCTGGCGGGAGGAGCAGGCCTGGCCCGCCTGTCACCCGTGCCTGGCATGTCTGCCCGGGCCTCGTGGCTCCACGGTGCGGGGAGTGTGCTGTGGGCGTGGCGGCGCGTGGCCCGCTGGGTGGCGCTTTGGACCTGCGGCTTGAGGGGCCGTCTTGGCTCCTGGTCTCCGGCCCCAGGCTGCCGGCTGAGAGTCCTGCCCTGTGCCTGCGCCCTCACGGTGACCACACATGCTCCTCGCAGACCAAGCTCTACGCCCTGCCTGCCGGCCACGCCACCCGCGTCTACGAGATGCTGGTCGGCCACCTGCAGCTGCACTACGTGCACAGCTACACCCTGCCCGTTGCCAGCAGCATCCGGCTGCGGGTGAGCGGGCCGGCAGGGGCAGCGGCAGCGGCCAGTGGGCCTGGTCACTGCCTCCCTATGTGGGGGTGGCGCGAGGTGGGGGTGCTGCTAGAACAGAGGTCCACCTGCCGGGCATCCCCTGTCTCTGGGAGCCGGGGGAGCAGCCGGTGTGCCTCGGGGAAGGGATGGAGAGAGGGATCGTGTCCGGAGGAACCGGCTCTGCGGCCCACAGCGCTGCCAGCCTGGGAGCTAGGCCCTGTCCCTGCTCCTGAGGATGTGTACTGCCCTCGCAGGCCTTCGACTTCCTGCTGCTGCTGCGCGCGGACTCACTGCACCGCCTGGGCTTGCCCAGCAAGGACGGACTCGTGCGCTTCAGCCCCTACTGCCTCTGCGACTCCGCGTGCGTGTGCGCACCGGTGGGGCGGGACCTGCGGGGCGGGCAGGGCCTCTGAAGGGGTCCCGAGGGTGCCGGCAGCGCCCGTCAGTGCTGGGTCCCGGGTCTGTGCTTGCAGCGGGCTTCCTCTTGCATCCACAGGGAGCCTGAGCGGGGCCCTGAGAAGAAGACCAGCGGCCCCCTGTCGCCTCCCACCGGGCCTCCCAGCCCCGCGACGCCGGGCCCGGCTGTGCGACTGGCCTCCCTGCCCTACTCCCTGCTGTTCCGTGTGCTGCTGTGGTGCTTGAAGCAGGTGCGGCCTGGCCTGGCGCTGGGCAGGCTGGGCGCGGCAGGGCCCGGCGCCAGTCCCCGTGCTAGCAGTTCCGGGAGGCCGTGGGTCTGCAGGCCCGGGTGGGGCTTTGCCGATCGGCCCGCAGAGTGGGAGCCAGGGCAGCGTCCCGGGAGACCGAGCTGCACAGGGTGTGGGGTAGGCCTGCCTGGGAAGGATCGTGCAGGAAGGGCTGAGGGGGAGGGTCAGCCCTCATCGCAGCCCCCACTGGGCAGGTGAGGTCAGTCTTGGAAGGAAGGGAGGTCTGGGCAGCAAGAGCAGGCAGACGCTGCTGGGGCTGGGTGGTGAGTCCTATGATAGCTGGGCCACCCGCGGAGAGAGGGCGTGGGTCCGTCTGCTGATGGGGCAGTGAGAGTGGGGTGGTCAGCTGGGGTGCAAGAGGTGGGCAGCCGGGGGTGGACGACAGGAGCCTGGTGGGGACACAGGATGGAGGGGAGGCGCAGGACAGGGTGCTTGGCTCCGGCGTTCCACTGAGGGGGTGGCTGGAGCTTCCTGGGGGCTCCAGTCCATGGGGAGGGCCCTGGGCCTCGCAGCCGTGGCTGCACTCACCACTGGTGGGTGGTGGCCTGGAGGAGCCTGGAGCAGGGACCAACGCTGGTGCCGTGCCTAGGAGAGGGGTCTCAGGTCCACCCTGAGCTTGCACCTTGCTCCTGGGGTGTGGTCAGCCCTGCCCTGGCCTCCTTCCTTCAGGAGACCGACTGGAAGGTGCTGAAGCTGGTGCTGAGCAAGCTGCCTGAGGCGCTGCGCTACAAGGTCCTCATCTTCACCTCACCCTGCAGCGTGGACCAGCTGTCCTCTGCCCTCTGCGCCATGGTGAGCCACCTGTCTCCAGGGCCGCAGCATAGCCCGCCCTCCCGACCCCGAGTGCTGGGGGAGGCTTGCTGTGGGGCGCTCCCCTTCCCAGCGGGACGCCTGTGACACACACATCTCTTGTTCCCCGTGGGCGGCGGGGGGGCCTTCCGTGTCTCTGGAGAGGGTGCCATAGGCCAGAGAAGAAGCAGGCGGGCCCCTGGACCCTGGCCTTCCTGCAGCTGGGTCTCCGCCCTCTGGCTCCTGAGTCCTCCGGCCCCAGCGCCTGCCCTGGCAGCTGGCTGGTCTTCACTGTGGCCTCGCTGTCAGCTTTCAGTTCCCAAGACACTCGAGCGGCTGCGAGGCACCCCGGAAGGCTTCTCCAGAACTGACCTGCACTTGGCCGTGGTCCCCGTACTGACGGCCTTGATCTCCTACCACGGCTACTTGGACAAGGCCAGGCAGGTGCGGGCCGCTGCCGGGAGCCTAGGCCCGGGAGGCCTCCCCTCACTGGGGCGGTTGCAGTGGGTGGGTGAGAGGCTCTGCTTCCGCTGTGGCGCACCCCAGGCCGGCTTCCCTGTTCTCCGGCCACCTGTTTGGGAGCCCAGCGTCTCCTCGCGCTGGCCTCGCCCTGGCCCTGCCCCAGCCCTGGCGTCAGGCAGGGCCAGGTGGCTTGGTGGGGCTGGGTCTTCCATAGTGGCAGGGCGGCCAGTGAGGGCCCAGCTCGCCACCTATGTGGCTGCCTTTACCCGGAGGGCCTGGATGCATATGGACTGTCAGAACCCTGGACCCCTCACTGTCCACACTCCACTGGGCCTTCCCGCCCACCTGGCCAGCTCGCGCTCTCCCTGGGCTCTGCTGGCATCTCCTCAGTGGCGCCTCAGGGTGGGCATCCCAGACTGCAGGTTCCCTGAGGCACTCAAGGCCCCTGATGTAGCCTGAGTGGGGTTGCAGGAAGCCCCACTGGAGGAGGGAGCTCCTCCCTCCTGCAAGAGCCCCCTGGCGGTTAGGGGGGCTGTGGCCTGAGCCAGCCCTGGTCAGCGTGGGCCTTGCAGCCTGGACGCGGGAAGAATCTGCTCTTAAAGTGATGCCAGCCCCTGGGCCCCCGGGACCAAGGGAGCGAGGGTCCAGCAGCCCCTATCCAGTAGCTGTCCAGTTGGTGCAGGTGGGGTCTGCACTGGTGACCTTGCCCCCTGGTGCCCAGGAGCAAGGCAGCCGGCCTCCCTCAGCCTCCTCTAGGGAGCACCATGGCCCTGGACGCGGGGGAGGCCAGCGGCCCTGGCTGAGGTTGTGTGTGGTCCACAGCGGGAGATGGTGTACTGCCTGGAGCAAGGCCTCATCTTCCGCTGCGCCAGCCAGTGCGTGGTGGCGCTAGCCATCTGCAGCGTGGAGATGCCCGACATCATGGTCAAGGCGCTGCCCGTGCTGGTGGTGAAGCTCACGCACATCTCCGCCACGGCCAGCATGGCCATCCCCCTGCTGGAGTTCTTGTCCAGTAAGTTTGCCGGGTGGGCCTGCCCGAGAGAGCCCGCGTGACCTGCCCGCGCCTTCCATGCCCGTGCCCCCCCCCCCCCCGCCGTGGGCCGGTGTCCTCTGCTGTCTCGGCCCTGCCTCTTCTCAGCTGTGTGGGCAGCTCCCATGGGCTGAGGCACAGCCCGGGGCTCGGCAGGGGTGGGGTGGGCAGGGTGGGCAGCCTCACGTGGCCCGTGGCCCTCCCCCCCATCTCGTACATGATTCAAATGCTGAATACCCCTGTGGGCTGGCGCGGTGCATGTCAGACCCCCTGGGCTGGGCCCTGCAGGCGTGGAGCAGCGTCGCGCCATCCGCAGCGCCCTGGGTCAGGTGGCTGCAGCTGGGGCTGATGGCGCCTCACGGCCGTCCCCTCTCACAGCTCTGGCCAGGCTGCCGCACCTCTACAGGAACTTCGCGGCCGAGCAGTACGCCAGCGTGTTTGCCATCGCCCTGCCCTACACCAACCCCTCCAAGTGAGCACCGCCTCTGCCCGCCCCGTCTGCCGCCAGGTCCGCCCAGTCTCAGGCTCTGCTCTCGGGAGGCCTGGCCTCGGGGCAGAAGTCAGCCAGGGGGCGGGGGGTCCTGGCCTGGGCCTTGACCTCGGCCTCCACACGTCCCGTCCCCTTGTCCGCGCAGGTTCAACCAGTACATCGTGTGCCTGGCCCACCACGTCATCGCTATGTGGTTCATCAGGTGCCGCCTGCCCTTCCGCAAGGACTTCGTCCCCTTCATCACCAAGGTGGGTGGCCGCTGCTGCGAGGGGGGTGGGCCGCTGGGCCTGGCAGGGCTGCAGGCGCAAGGGGGCCCGATGCCTGGAGACGGGCCCTCAGCCTGGCCCGGGTCCGCCGTCCTGCAGGGCCTGCGCTCCAACGTTCTCATGTCCTTCGACGACACCCCCGAGAAGGACAGCTTCAGAGCCCGGAGCACCAGTCTCAACGAGAGGCCCAAGAGGTGCGGCGTGTGGGTGCTGCCCCCACAGGGGTGAGGTGGGGCCTGGCGCCCCCGGCCAGCAGTGGAGAGACGCGTGGCTGCGGCTGCGCCTCTGCGGGCCGAGGTGGCCCGGGCCCCTGAGCTGCAGGCAGGGCAGGCTCTGGGAGGGCCCCCAGCCCCCCATTTGGCTGGAGGGTTCCAGCACGGCTGCCCCTGTGCTAGAGGGACCAAGCCCGGTGGCGAGGGCAGGCAGTGGCAGTCAGGGTGCTGCCACCGGGCATCTGGGTCGCTCTGACCCTGGGCTGGACTGGGTTGCCTCGGGCAGCTGTGGCTCCTGAGAAGCCTGGTGCCTGGCCCTGACGGGGAGGAGCCCGCTGTCGCCACCCCGCAACCCCGCAGCCCACGAGCCCAGCTCTGGCCAGGCTGCCTCCCCGCTTGCCCCCATCGCACCCTGGGGACGTGCTCTCTGACCATCAGGGCCGTGCTGGCCAGGCCTGGGAGGATCTGGCCAGGCCCCGTGTTGTCCGCATTTCATCCCAGTGCCCGCCCCCCCACCCGCCCCTCCAACCCCCGCCTCTTGCCTCCTGCCCAAGCTTTGTTCGGCCCTCCCTAGCTGGGGGCACGGCATTTTCCAGAGTGACCGGGTCAGTGTGGCCTACATATGAACACTGCCCCTCAGGCCCTTGGTGGCTGGGGGCCAGGGCCTTGAGCGCAGACCTGGCATTGTCCAGGAGGCCCGCAGCCCCGGCCCGAGGCTTGGCGCCTTCGCCCACCTGGCCTCCGCGGGGGCGGCCCCTGGTCGGCACAGCCTGGAACCTGCCGTGGGGGCGACCCACGTTTTATTTGCACTAATGTTTCGGTGTCGTGCGTGAGACCTTACTTTTTCTCGGTCATGTTCACAAGATGTATTTTCATGCGTTTTGTTTTCTGTTTCTCCCCCCGCTCACTGGCCTCTGGCATGGTCTTGTCCGCCTCGCCCTGGGGCTCTCGTCCTAACCCTGTGGCCCGTGGCCCCCTCCTCCCTCCACGGCTTGCTCTCCCTCTGGGAGCCGGGCTCTCTGGGGCTTGGGGCTGCCTTCCTCACCTGGTAGTTTGAGGGTAGCCAGGCCCCCCAAACAAGGCCTGAACAACTCCCCACCCGTGAAAGAACTCAAGGAGAGCTCTGCAGCCGAGGCCTTCCGGTGCCGCAGCGTCAGTGTGTCTGAACACGCGGCCCGCAGGTAGTGGCTCTGTCGGGCTGGCCCGTGAGGCGGCGCTGCCAGGCGGGGCGCCGGGTGGAGGGGCATGGGGCGCCTGCATGACCTGTAGCTGCCTGCCCCTCCTGGGCCGCAGCCGGCTGAGGCCGCCCTGCCGAGCCGGCCCTCGGCCCAGGGGAGCCTGGTGGCGAGGGGGGAAGTTTGCATTCTGTCCAGCCATGTGGGGGGCGGGCTGGCTGGGCAGCCGCTCTGGGAAGGCTGCCTTCCCCCGGCCAGGGGTCTTGGCGGTGGGGCCCGGCCCGGTGGGGTGTTCGTGGATCTTGGTGGGCTGTCTGGTGGAGCTTGCTCCGGGAAGGGTCTGCCTCCTGCTGCAGCTGCGAGGGGCAGGGACGCTGTGGGGGGCAGCGGGCGGGCCAGTCATTGCCTGCCCGGTAGGTGCAGGTGGGGGCTGCAGGGCCGGGGCTCGTGCCGACCACACGGCTGGCTGCTCGCAGCAGGCTGCCTGTCCCCGCCCCGGAAGCTGGTCCTCCCTCACGGACACCGAGAGGGGGCTGGGCCTCGGGCTGGACTCAGCGGGGCGGGGCAGGACCTGGTCACCGAGGCGCCCTCCTCAGTGCCTTTCTGGCCACTTTGTTGTGAGTGAAACAAGGCAAAGGGGCTGTGACGGTCACCTCAGGGCCAGACCTCGGAGCCCCTTCCCTGGGTGAGCTCGGCGGCCTCGACTCCCCGGCCCAAGCGTGGGGTGGACTGCGCCTGCAGCCCAGCCTGGGCCCGGCCGCGATGGCGGCGCCCCGGGGCAGAATGCAATCTTGGAGCGTGACCGTGGTCTCTACGTCTGCATGACTCCGCTGCCCCGCCACGCGCCGCCCCAGCTCCCCCGCGCTTGGTGACGGGGTCCTGCCCTTCTCCTGAGCCCCTGCTCTGCGGGGCGGGCCGGGGGCGCTCCTCAGTTCCCCGCTCCTCCTCGGGCGCGGTGTGGTCTGCTGGGTGTGCAGAGCTGGGCCTGGCCCGGCCGTGGCCCGGTGCAGGTGAGCCGGTCCCGCCAGCTGCCTGACCGCGAGGCCGCTCCTCCGCAGGATACACACGTCCCTCACCAGCGCCAGCCTGGGGTCTGCGGACGAGAGCTCCGTGGCCCAGGCCGACGACAGCCTGAAGAACCTCCACCTGGAGCTCACGGAGACGTGTCTGGACATGATGGCCCGATACGTGTTCTCCAACTTCACGGCGGTGCCCAAGAGGTGCGGGCTGGGCCTGCTCAGGGGGCGGCCACGCGGGGCCTGCTCGGCGGCAGCGGGTGGGCCGCGTTGCCTGGGGTGGGGCCGGGCGGGGCCCCTCGGGCTGCCTCCCCCTCTCGAGCACTGCGCTGCCCGCCCCCCCTCCGCCCTCCCCGTGCGGGCCCGCGCAGGCCGACGTTGAGCGCTTGCAGGTCCCCGGTGGGAGAGTTCCTTCTGGCCGGCGGCAGGACCAAGACTTGGCTGGTCGGGAATAAACTGGTCACCGTGACAACCAGTGTGGGCACCGGAACCCGCTCCCTGCTGGGCCTGGACTCGGGCGAGCTGCAGGGCAGCCCGGACCTGAGGTGACTCCCCTCCCCCTACCCCGTCTGGCCTCGACGGTGGCCGTCATGGCCAGGCCTGGGGCGCCGTCCTGGAGCCCGCGGGCTCCCTCATCGCCTGTGTGGGCCTGTGTCCTCAGCTCCGACCCCGGCGCACGTGTGCGCCACACGAAGGAGGCGCCAGCCAAGCTGGAGTCCCAGGCTGGGCAGCAGGTGGGCCGCGGGGCCCGGGACCGGGTGCGCTCCATGTCCGGTGAGCCTCTGCCCGCCCGCGCCGCACCGTGCCTGTGGGTCCCTGCGTCGGGAGGCCCCTGGGGGCCAGGGGACGGGGTTACTCAGGCCTGGCTCAGGCGGAGTACCTGGGGTGTGGTCTAGGCTTCAGTGTGGGGGGCTGCCTTGCGTGAAGGGGGCTGGCCGGTGTGGGGGGGAGCCCTCAGCAGCCCTGCCCCACTTCCCCCTGTGCTCTGCTTCTGCCCAAGACCCTGCCACCCTGGGTCCCCCGAGGCGGCCCTTGTGTGCCAGGCCTGCAAGGCTCAAGCAGCCTCCCATTTGGGCTGCGGCTGGCATGGATTCTGGCCCCCCAACCCTGGGTGGCACGGCTGGGGCCGGGCAGTGGCCTGGCGTGGGGCTGGCAGTGGCCACCAGTCTCCGGCCTTCTCCTCAGGGGGCCACGGCCTGCGAGTTGGTGCCCTGGACGCCCCAGCTTCCCACTTCCCCTGCGGCCCCACTTCCCCGGGATCACAGACCGTGCCAGCCAGCCGGCCCGAAGTGCCCGAGGGCTCCCCGCATCCGGCGCGGAGGAAGACAAACCTGGCGGCCTACGTGCCCCTGCTGACCCAGGGCTGGGCAGAGATCCTGGTCCGCAGGCCCACAGGTACTGGGAGGGCGGGCAGGCAGGCTTGGCTTGGGCCGGAGGAGTGGGAGGTGCCTGCTGAGCACAGGGCGGGTTCCTCCTGCCCCAGGGCTGGGCCCAGCCGGGCGCAGGGCGCTCCCTCAAGGGCCTGGCTCCTCGGGGCTGTCCCTGCACATCCAGTTCTGACCCCTCTTCTCTGGACGCTGTCGGACGGGCTCCTCGCCCCCCACTCAGGTCCCCCCTCTCCGGCCTGAGGTTAGGCCTTCAGCGAGTGGATTTGGGGTACAGCTCAGCCCAGGGAGTTGCAGACAGATAGGACTTCGGGGGTGGGCCCTGGTGGGAGAAGCCTGGGGGTCGGCCCACAGAGGTGTGAGTGCCGGGGCTGGGGTGCCAAGGCTCCTCGTGGGTGAGTGGGGAGAGCTGGGAGGGCCCAGGTGGGCCAGGAGGAGGCGCCTGAGGGGGAGCATGGTGCCCATGCAGCCAGCTGGGGGCTTGGGCCGTGGGGAGCGTCCAGCGGGGCCCACCTGGGGACTCGGCCACTTTGAGATGCCAGCACTGCCCCCGTGTGGCCGGAGCTGGGAAGTCTGGCTGGGCGCTTGCCTACCGTCTCTCCCTGCCCAGGGCGTGCCTGAGGGGTCTGCCCTGGACAGCCCTGAGCCGACTCTGGGTGCTGCCACCCCCCCAGGGAACACCAGCTGGCTGATGAGTTTGGAGAACCCGCTGAGCCCCTTCTCCTCGGACATCGACAACATGCCCCTGCAGGAGTTGTCCAACGCCCTCATGGCCGCCGAGCGCTTCAAGGAGCGGCGCGACACGGCCCTGTACAAGTCGCTGTCCATGCCCGCCGCTGGCTCTGCCAAGCCGCCCCCGCCCCCGCGCTCCAACACAGGTGAGCGGCCGCCTGCCCACCCGCTGGCCTCCCAGAGACGCCTTCCAGAGGGCCGGGTGTGCCGCCCGCAGGCTGCTGCGGCCGGCAGAGTGTCCACCAGCGCCTGGCGTGGGCCTGGGCAGGAGCCGCCCTCCCGGCCACCACAGACCCTGGCTCGCCTCTGCCCCACGGCCGCTCCCGCGCCGCCCCCGGCCCGCTGGCCCCTCCCTCCTCTCCAGGCGCGGGGTCTGCACGGCGCTAGCGCCTCCCTCTGCTGCGCCACCTGGCCTGACTCCCCCTGACCGGCCGCTCGCGTGGTCTCCCTTGCAGTGGCCTCTCTCTCCTCCCTGTGCCAGTCCAGGTGCCGAGGACGGCTGCACAGGAGCATTTCCTGGGCAGGTACTGGACCGTGTCTGTATGGACCGCGGTGCCTCTGCAGAGCCCCGCTCTGCTTCGCAGGCGCTGCCACCGCGTCGCACCCGGCACCCTCGCGGCTGAGCCGTTCCGCCTCTGGGGGCCCGGCCGCCTCGCGCGAGGACGTCCCTTCGCCTTTGCTTTTCTGGGACCCGCTTTGCCACGCGCCGGTCCCGAGCGCCTGGGCCTCCTGCGCCTCTGCGGACTGAGCGGGCAACTTCGGGCCGCTGAGCCGCAGGTGCCGGCAGGGGACAGCTGTTTGGGGGCGAGCTTGGCCCCAGGGCTCAGCTGAGCTTGACCTTCCCTGGCCTTTGGTGTCTGATTGGCTTTGTGAACCCCGAAATTGCCTGCCCCGTCTGGGGGCCCTGCCCCAGACCCGGCAGGGTGAGGCCTGCATGGTGCTCCCACCGCGGGGCCGGCCGGGCAAGCAGTGGGCGCTGGGCACTGCTGGGCTGCGTGTGCCAGGCTGTGCTCCCCCGCCCGTCCTGATGCTGGCCCAAGAGATGCTGCTTTGGGGTTGCACCCCCCTTTGTGCCTGGCTCCAGCGCGTGGGCTCGGCAGGTGCACCCCCGCCTCCAGGGACCGGCTCGAGCCCACGCCGACGCAGGGACCGGCCACCTCTGCCATGCTGGCCTTGGGTGACAGCAGCGTCTGCCTCTGACCAGACTGTCTGAGGTGCCCAGCTCTTCCCAAGTTGAGGCCCGTCCTCGCAGCCACCCTACTCTGGCCTCCTGCTGGGCCAGAGGAGCAGGGGGCTGCTCCTGTGCACATGGGGTGGGTGGGGGTGGATGGAGGATGCAGACGCCCCTCAGCCCGACCCCTGGGGCTGAGTAGGGGTCCCCAACACACCTGCTCCCCGGTCACAGGGCATGATGGCCAAGAGTCGCAGGCCAGGAGGGCCTTGGGCGAGGCTCTGCTGGGACTGTTGTCAGCCTTGCGCGGCCCCAGGGGTCAGGCCAGCACCCAGCAGCCCCCATTGTCCTCCCAGACTCTGCCGTGGTCCTGGAGGAGGGAAATGCTGGCGGGGTGCACCTGGCCGCTGAGCCCCCGGACCTGGAGGACTTTGAGGCCACCCCAGGCGTGGACAGGCGCTGCGAGCGTGCCACGGATTACAGCAGGGTGGGTGCGGCTGGGGCTGGGGTGCACCCCTCTGGACTCAGGGACCAGGGCCTAAGTCGCAGCGCCCCCCAGGAGGAGGGGGGAAGCATGGTGGGCGAGCCAGCTGCTCGGCCTCGGGGGGCTGGCGTGTGTGCACCTCCCCCATCCGCCTCCGCATGCGGGGGCCGGCATCTGCTCGGTGCTGGCAGCTGGGCCCCGGGAGGGCTGACCGCGGGCCGGCTTTGCAGTCCTCGTCGACCTCCAGCCAGGAGGAGAAGTCGTTCCGCGGGGAGGAGCCGGCAGCCGGGGGGATCCCCATCGAGCGGGCCGTGTCCTCTGAGGGAGCCCGGCCCACTGCAGACCTCGCCTTCCAGCCCTCGCAGCCCCTGAGCAAGTCCAGCTCCTCGCCGGAACTGCAGAGCCTGCAGGACGTCCTCGGGGACCCCGGGGACAAGGCTGACCTCGGCCGGCTGAGCCCCGAGGCCAAAGCCCGGTCACAGTCCGGGACCCTGGACGGGGAAAGCGCCTCCTGGTCAGCCTCGGGGGCAGACAGCCAGGGCCTGGGCCCACCCCAGCCCGAGGGCCCCTCGCCTGCCAGCTGCCCCCGCTCCCCCAGCGGCCTGCGGCCCCGAGGCTACACCATCTCCGACTCGGCCCCGTCCCGCAGGGGCAAGAGGGTGGAGCGGGATGCCCTAAAGAGCAGAGCCGGGGCCGCCAACGCTGAGAAGGTGCCTGGCATCAACCCCAGGTGAGCCCGGCTTCCTGGCTGCGCCTGTGGCCCTTGGCCCCGGGGCCACGGCGGGAGCTGCCTCCTGCAGCGCTGCCCCCCCCCCCCCCCCCCCCGCCTCCCCGTCCTCACCGGCTCCCTCCACAGCTTCGTGTTCCTGCAGCTCTACCACTCGCCCTTCTTCGGGGATGAGTCCAACAAGCCGATCCTTCTGCCCAACGAGGTGTGCAGCTGCCCCTGCGGGCCCCCACGCGGGGTCTCCCTGGAGCCCGGGTGGGGGGCATGGTGGGGTACCCTGGTCTGCCCCCGCCGCAGGGCTCCAGCCTGCGCTCTCTGCGGAAGCCCTTCCCCTGCCTGATGGGGAGCGGCCTCCCGCGCGGGGCGTCTGTGGGCCGGGGCCGGGCTCAGACAGGCTCTGGCTCCAGACCTTCGAGCGGTCCGTGCAGCTCCTCGACCAGATCCCGTCCTACGACACGCACAAGATCGCCGTCCTGTACGTGGGCGAAGGCCAGGTGAGGCCATGCCGGCAGCACCTGTCTGGGGCTGGGGTGGGCCTCCTGGTCTCCCTGAGCTCAGTCACTGCTTGGGCCCCCTGGGGCATCCTGGCTGGGAGCGGGTGCAGAGGCACTGGGCACGTCTGGGAGGCCGGGAAGGTGACCGGCGAGCCGGGGGCAGGAAGGGGGTGCTGAGGGGGGGGAGCGCCCTTGGCAGGAGCAGCCAGCCAGGCCGGGGCCCCTCAGGGAGCGCAGGCGGGGGCGGGGCAGTCGGGCAGTGGCCGGGCTGGCGGCGGGGGGCCTGGGCTGCAGAATTGGGGCGAGGGGTCAGGGCCCTCGGACCCAGCAGGTGCCAGGGCGCCCTCCCCCCACAGAGCAGCAGCGAGCTCGCCATCCTGTCCAACGAGCACGGCTCCTACCGGTACACGGAGTTCCTGACGGGGCTGGGCCGGCTCATCGAGCTCAAGGACTGCCAGCCTGACAAGGTGTACCTGGGCGGCCTGGACGTGTGCGGCGAGGACGGCCAGTTCACCTACTGCTGGCACGATGACATCATGCAAGGTGCCCGGCGGTGCCTGCCCGGGGGGTGTCCCGCCCAGCCCCAGCCCGGCGCTGCTCACACCTTGCCCGCCCGCAGCGGTCTTCCACATCGCCACGCTGATGCCCACCAAGGACGGGGACCGGCAGCGCTGCGACAAGAAGCGCCACCTGGGCAACGACCTCGTGTCCATCGTCTACAACGACTCTGGCGAGGACTTCAAGCTGGGCACCATCAAGGTGAGGCCAGCGGGCGGGTGCAGGACGCCGGGGTCAGCCAGGTGGCCACACGGGTGCCCCCACAGCCTGGGGTGAGGACGGTGCTGCCCGTCGGCAGAGCAGGCGACGTGGCCTGGCCGCTCCCGCGAGGAGCGTCTGCTGCATGGTCTCGAGCTCTGGGGCCCGGCGCGAGGGGGGACCTAGCGGCTCGCAGTTGGGCGTCCCCCTGTAGCGTAAGCGCTTGCCTGGGAACCCTGCGGAGCGCACTGGGCGTCCCCCTGTAGCGTGAGCGCTTGCCTGGGAACCCTGCGGAGCGCACAGTGCGGGCCTTATGACTTGGAGGGGGGGGGGCTGCGCCTGCCGGTGCCGAGAGCAAGGTGTGCCTGCGCACGTCCGGGCACCAGGGAGGGCCCGAGGAGCAGGGGCAGCTCTCGAGTCACCGGGGAGTGGGGGGCACGGGGGGGTGTGCTTCGGGGCACGGGTGTGGGCCCAGCTCGGGCAGCCGCTGCGGGGGGCGGGGGGATGCAGAGGGAGGAGGGCGCGGGCAGGCCCTGGGGGACCTGCTGTGCTCTGCTCCGGCAGGGCCAGTTCAACTTCGTGCACGTGATCATCACCCCCCTGGACTACGAGTGCAACCTGGTGTCGCTGCAGTGCAGGAAAGGTGAGGCCTGGCTGGGCGCCCGCGGGCTTGGGCCGAGCCCCAGCTGAGCCCCAGCTGAGCCCTGTGTCTCCCCAGACATGGAGGGCCTCGTGGACACCAGCGTGGCCAAGATCGTGTCTGACCGGAACCTGCCCTTCGTGGCCCGCCAGATGGCCTTGCACGCCAACGTGAGTGACGGGCGAGGCAGGGGCGGGTGGGGCAGGCGGCGGCCCCAGGGGCGCCCGGGGCTCACGTGCCACCCTCCCGGCAGATGGCCTCCCAGGTGCACCACAGCCGCTCCAACCCCACCGACGTCTATCCCTCCAAGTGGATCGCCCGCCTGCGCCACATCAAGCGGCTGCGCCAGCGGGTAGGGGGCGGCCCGGGCCAGGGGGGCCGTGCTGCCCTGGCTGCCCGCCCACGCCCAACACCCACTCACCCTCAGGTGCGCGAGGAGGCCCACTACGCACACCCCAGCCTGCCCTTGGTGCACCTGCCGGGCCACGCCAAGGCACCGGCGCAGGCCCCAGCCGAGCCCACGCCCGCCCACGAGACCGGCCAGCGCAGGCGCCTCATCTCCTCTGTGGACGACTTCACGGAGTTCGTGTGAGCCGCCCGCCTCCCCCGGCCTGCCCGCCCCGCGCCCCGCGCCGCCGACCGGTGCGGATGAAATAAAGGGGCCGCGCGGCCGGGCCCACCCCGGCACTCAGACTCGGCCGTTGCTCAGCCAACACGTTTATTTGACTTCGTCAGTCGGGGTGGGGTGCTGGGGAGCGGCGGCTGCACCCACAGACACGGTCAGGCTGGGCCTCGCAGCCCTGTCCCGGGAGCCAGCCCCCGGGGGGGCGTCTTTGCCTCGCTCCTTGCTCAGCCCTGCGCCAGCAGCCGTTGGTCTCAGGGCTGGCCCGGGGCAGGTGTTGGGGGGCGGCCAGTGCTATTGTCCGGGGTGTCCCTGGGCTGTGGGGGACGGCAAGCCCCGCCCGAGCGAAACTTGAGGACGTACAAAAATATATACATTTCCAGACCCTTATAAATTACAGGCGCTACAGACTCGGCGCGTTGCTCTCAGCGGGGGAGGGGGGAGCGGGGGGGCAATAACTTAGGGGCGGGGTGCCCTCCCTGCAGCTGAAGCCTCAGCAGGGGCAAGGCCTGCCCTGGAACCGCTGCGGGCACAGCCCGCTGTACCTGAGGACTTGGCAATAAATAGCATCTCAGAGGCCTGCGCGCGTCCTCCCCCAGGGGGCGGGAGGGAGCCTGGGTCCTGGCGGCCACGGGCCTCTCTAAAGTGCTGAAGCCCAGGACGCAGCGCTCCGGGCACCTCGCGGGCAGGACGGGCGATAATACTGAGTGGGTCGGCGCCAGGGCCGGCGTGCTGCCGCTGCCCGGGCTAGGTGCTGCTGGGGTGGACCTTGTTCTTGGCCCGCAGAGAGGTCCTGCGGGGGCCCGGCCCCAGGCCCATGCCTCTGCTGGCTCTGGCCAGGCGGCTGGGCAGGGCTGGCCGTGGGCCTGGGGAGGGACTGGGGGGCGACGAGACGGGAGACCCGCCTGTCCTGCGATGCTGCAGCCGCTGCAGCCGCCGCTCCAGCTGGTAGACGTCCTCCGTGGCCTGGTTGAGGCGGTCGAACTGGGCGAGCAGGGCCTCGAACACGGCCTGGAGGCGGGAGGGCTCCGGCTCTGCCCGCGGCCCAGGCCTGCTGTGGCCCCCGCCGGGCCCTTCCAGCTGGCTGGAGGCGGTGGAGGGGCGGGAGGCATCGGAGCCCCCGCTGGGCAGCGGCGCGTCCGGGGAGGCCTTGGACGACCGAGAGGGCAGCGGCTCCATCCCCTCAAAGCGGACTTTGTGGCGGAACTGGGGGCGGCACAGGGGCTCGGTCAGTCCGGCTGCGCCCTGGGCTCCGGGGCCCAGGGCGCGTCCCTCTCCCCCCCACTGGGCCGTACCCACCTCCTTGACCTTGCTGAAGCCCAGCCAGAGGCGCAGCCGCCGCAGGAAGAGCTCCACCATCTCGTAGTCCTGCGGCTCCCAGGCCGGGCGGTAGAGCTCCCCGCGCAGCGCCTGGTGCCGCCACCGCAGCAGCACCGCCCCGAGCCTCAAGGCGCCCCACAGCCGCAGGGCCCAGAGCCCCGCGCACAGCAGCGGGGCCAGGCGCCAGGCCTCGGCGGGGCACAGCGCGGGGCCCGCGGCCCCGGGGCACAGCGCCACCAGGGCCCGGGCCGCGGTCCGGAGCGAGTCGGCGCAGGAGGAGACCAGCTGCGGGGAAGGGGCGGCGTGAGGCCCGGGCCCCCGCGCGCCCCGCGCGCCCCGCCCGCCCCGCGCCACCTACCAGGGCGGCCAGCTGGGCGTAGGCCGCCGCCAGCAGCGCCAGGCCGAGGGCCGCGCCCGCCAGCTCGGGCAGGGCGCGCCGCAGCGTCTTCCCGAACACGGACCACCGGCGCGCGAAGCGCAGCTGCTGGGCCGCCTGCGGGCACAGGGCGTCAGGGGCCGCCGCCCGCCCCCCCCGCCGCCCCCCGCCCCCCGCCGCCGGCCCCCCCCGGCCCCCCGACCCCCCGCCCGCCGCCGCCCGCCCCCCGCCGCCGCCCGCGCGCACCTTGAGCAGCAGCAGGAAGAGCAGCGCGGCCGCCAGGCCCCGCGCCGAGGCGCCCAGCTGCGCCACCTGGTCGAAGCTGGTGAAGCGGCGCGGGCGGCGGCGCACGAAGCGGGCCCACTGGCGGTCGGCGGCGCCCAGCTGGGCCAGGCGCACGAGCGCCGCGGCCGCCGTCAGCAGCACCAGCAGCCCGCGCGCCCAGGCCGCCGCCCGCCCGGCGCGCCCGCGGCCCTCCCGGCGCCAGGCGCGCGCCTCGGCGCCCGCGAAGTGCAGCGCGAACAGCAGCAGCGCCACCTGCGGGGGGGGCGGCGGTGGGCGGGGCCGGGCGCGCCGGGGGCGGGGCCTGGGGACAGGGGGCGGGGCCGGGGCCGGGGCGCCGCGGGCGGGGCATGCGGGGCGGGGCCTGGGGCGCCGTGGGCGGGGCCTGGGGACAGGGGGCGGGACCGGGTCCGGGGCGCCGTGGGCGGGGCGGGGCCTGGGGACAGGGGGCGGGACCGGGTCCGGGGCGCCGTGGGCGGGGCATGCGGGGCGGGGCCTGGGGCGCCGGGGGCGGGGCCTGGGGACAGGGGGCGGGACCGGGGCCGGGGCGCCGCGGGCGGGGCCTGCGGGGCGGGGCCTGGGGCGCCGTGGGCGGGGCGGGGCGGGGCCTCACCGACGTGAGCAGCGGCAGCGAGAGGCCGGCGCTCAGGCGCCGCAGGGCGAACGGGCGGACGCTGAGGGCGGCCACGGCTCTGCCCGCCGCGGGGAACTCGAGGCGCAGCGTGACGGCCGCGTGCAGCCCCACGGCCGGGCTGTAGCGCGTGAGCTCCACGAACACGGCGCGGCTCCTGCGGGGAGGGGCGCGGCGGGCTGGGCGGGGGCCGGGCGGGGCCGCGGGGCGGGCCTGGGGCGCGGGGCGGGGCGGGGCGGCGGGGCGGGCCTGGGGCGGGCGCGGCGGGGCGGGCGCGGGGGCGGCGGGGCGGGCGCGGGGGCGGCGGGGCCGGCGGGGCGGGCGCGGGGCGGGCGCGGGGCGGGCCTGGGCGCGGGGCGGCGGGGCGCCCACCTGTTGTCGATCCAGCCGTGCTGCCGCAGGAAGGCCAGGCGCGCGCGGCTCTGCTCCAGGCCCGGGCCCAGCTCCTGCACGTAGCCGCCGCTGTCGTACACGGCGCAGTAGCCCCAGTACCAGGCCCTGCGGGAGGGGCGCCGCCTCAGAGGGGGGCCCGGCCCAGCGGGGCCCCTCGCCCCGCCCGGCCCTCGCCCTGCTCACCCCAGCAGGTCCGGCGCCGAGTAGGCCCACGCCTCCGAGGGCTCGTGGGCGGCGCTCCCCCAGCCAACGCCGTAGTCGCTGGTGCTGAAGCCCCCGGAGGCCGGCGCGCACCCCAGCGTCCCAGCACCAGGGGGGTCTGGGCAGGGCGCTGGAATCGGAGGCCGCTTACTGACCGCCCGCCACCTCTGCTGGCCCCCCTCGTGCCCCAGAACTCTACCCGCCCGCAAGCGGCAAATGAGCCGTGTCTCGCTCACAGGTGAGGATATGGGGGTGGGGAAGAAAGCCCGCCCGGCGGGGGCTGCCAACACCAACACGCGGGAGAGCCCACTCGGCTCACCTTCCTGCAGCCGCACCTGCCGCAGCCGCAGCGGCCCCAGCTCGGGGCTGGACTGGTTCCCGTGCGCGTAGGGGAGCAGCACGCGGGATACCCACGGCCAGAACTCATCAGACCTGCAGGCACAGAGTCACCTGGCCCCACCCCACACCCCCAGGCTCCGAGGCCAGAGAAGGCCGCTGCTGCAGCCTGCCGGGGCAAGGGCAGCCGTCTGGAGCCGTCACACACCCCTGCCTGCCACGCAGTCCCCAAACCGCATGGAGACTGCCCACCACCCTCTGGGGGCTGAAGGGACAGGGCAGGACGCAGGGATCTTGGTCAGTGTCGCCAGGCCAGCCCACCCGGCAGGGCATGGGCGTGTGAATGCACGCGGGGTGTCCCTACCGGGTGATGGCCAGGAAGGCCTGGCTGTCCAGTTCCCGCTTGATGGTGCTCTGCAGGTGGTAGGCATGGCTGTGGTGGGACGCGTCCCCGTAGTTGGCCAGCAGAGTCACCAGCAGGAAGAGCATGTACACCAGGAGGCTCTGGGGAGCGGCCAGCCACGTTGGATGGCAAAACGCCCACGGCCAGGACACCTGGCACTGCGGATGGCGTGGACACCCCACTAGCTCCCTGCTGAGGGCCCAGAAAGTCCAGGCGGAGCTGAGCAAAGCTGTGGGTGCAGGGGCAGCGAGGGCTGGGGAGGGAGGGCAGACGGGGACTCACCCGCAGCATCCCGTGCAGCCTCTTGACCTTTCGCGCCTCCTCCTTGGCCAGGAAGAGCGCGAAGCCGTGGGGGGGGCGCACGCGGGGCACGCGCTCGCTCACGGGCGTCACGGCCGGGCTCTCCACCAGGGTGTCATCCTCATCTGGGTGCAGCCGCTTGGCCACCAGGGAGAAGTAGAGAGCCTCCGCCAGGACCTGCGCGGAAGCACGTCAGAGGCGCCCCGGGACCCGACCACGCCCACCCGTGCCTCCCGCTCACCTTGAGGGGCTCCCAGCCCAGGAAGGAGGCCAGGAAGCTGGCGCTGCTGGCGAGGAGCCATGAGACACTCACACGGGGCGGGAACCCAGCCCCCAGCCACGCCGAGGCCCCCACGGCCACGGCCACCAAGAGCAGGCTGAGCCCGTGGGCCAGGGCAGCGCACCAGGCCGGCAACAGTCGCTTCCGCAGCCCCTCCACCAGCCCTGCGGAGAGACGGTCAGCTGGCCGCGGCCCAAAGGGCAGGGGCGGGGCATCTGGGACACGAGCCCACCTGTCCTGGGGAGCAACGCGGCGGGGGGCTCTTCCCAGCTCAGGCCCGGGCCAGGCAGCCCCTTCGGGCCCAGCCTCTGCAGCATCAGGGCCTCTGTCCTCTCCCCCAGGGTGCCGCACCTGGACACAAAGCAGGCTGTGAGACCCCCTCCCGGGATGAGGAGCCCTCAGTGCCTGGAGGCGGCGTTCCCTGGACTTCATCCCCCCGGGACAGGGGGTCGCCCTGAGCCCAGGTGGACAGGGCGCCGGGGCTCAGCTTGGCCCCCACCCGGCCGTCAGGGAGCCGGGCGCGCCCGCTCCTCTCCCCCACCTCCCGGCCGGGGCCCCTCGCCCGTGTCTGTGACCTGCGCCGGCTCCATCCCGTCCCGGTACGCTTGGCGGGCGCCACCCTGGCAGCCGCATCCCTGCGCCGCTTCACACCAGCCAACCCCAGAGACCCCGGCCCGCCCCACACTGCGCAGCTCCACAGCCAGCAGCGGCCCCGGTGGCCCCAGAGGAAGGGCCGCTGCCAGGGAGGAAACGGCGCACGGAGAGGTAGTGCGTTGCTGGGGATGGGCACGCGGCATTTCTGAGCTCCAGGCAATCTTGCAGCCAGGAGAGCTCGGCCTTCCGACCTAGCCACGCCGCCCTGGGCTCCAGGGGCGTCTCCGGCTGGCCACCCAAGCGCGAGGGCTGCATGCCGCGGGCAGGCCCGGGAGCAGACCGAGGCAGGCGGCACGCGCTTCTGCTGGACCGGCCTCCGGTGAGGGGCAGCGCGGCCACCTTGTGAGCGCAGCGACTGGGCCTGCAGGTCAGGGTCGTCGTCCTCCCAGCGCGTGTGCAGCATCACGCCGGGCGCCGCGCGGAGCCCTTGCCAGAGACGCCCGAGTGCGGACACCTGCCCGCGGGAGCCGGGGTGCGGACGTGGGTGGCGCAGATGCAGCTCAGGTACCCGGGGCCACCTCAATGTGTCAACAATGAGGGCTCAGAGCAGCAGCAGAAAGCGGGCACTCACAGGCCACCGAGCAGGTCAGCGTCTCCGTGGGTGTCCTGGGTGGGGGCCAGGTTCTGCCGGGTCAGGGCCTCGTCTGGAGGGAGCAGAGGCGCTGGTGGGTGAGGGGGCGCAGGGCCCTGCCGCCTCCCGCCCTGAGCCCTGGGCGCCCTCACTCACCTGCAGCTGTGAAATACTTGGCTGGCGAAGAGGGGCTGGCCAGAGAGAGGCCCTCGTCCTCAGCACCCCGTGCCAGCCGCTGCAGGGTGCTGCCCACAATGCTTGGGTCGCTGAGCAAGTCTGGCCAGCTGAGCGTGCCCTCGCTGGACGGCCAGCACACCAGGCTGCGGGCAACACGGGGGGCGGGGCCCAGGGGCCATGTCCACTCACACGCGACACTCAGGGGCGGCCCGGGGCTCCCTCAGCAGCACCAGCCCAAGCTGAGCCTTGCTTTTCCTCCGGGACCCCCACCTTTTAGAGTCGCCCAGAAACAAGTCACTTGTCACTTGTCCAGCAAGGACCTGCAGAGAAGGGCACAGGGGACCTCAGGCTCAGTGCTGCCCAGAGCAGCAGGGCCCACCCTGCCCACAGGGCCCTGGCGGTGGCCCCACCTCAGCCCGAGGCCTGGGGGACGTGAAGAAGGAGCTGTCCAGTGCCGAGTCCAGGCAGCTGTCGGTGTCCAGGACGGGCCGTGCCATGGAGCTCGGGGGCCCTGCCACCTAAAGGGAGGGGCGGTCAGCAGGAGGCAGAGCACCTTCCCAGCAGCCCAGGCTCCAGATGAGGGCTGTCCAGAGAACGTTCTGGATAAACCCACACTCTGCAGCCACTGCCAGCTGTGTGCTCGGGAGCCCTGGAAGCTGACTGGTGACCGATAAGGAGTTGAATCTCATCTGACTTCAATTAAATATGAACAGCCATGCAAGACTCCCGGCGTCCAGACTGGACTCTGCGAGGAAGTCCCTGATGGTGGGGCGTGTGACCCCACATGCCGGGCCTTTGCTCAGGACCCCTGCCTGTGCCCTGCTGCCCGCTGCCCTGCCTGGTCACAGGAGGGGCCCGTGGGGGAGGCAGGAAGTGCTCTCCACTGCTTTCCGGAGTGGCTGTCAGCCCAGCTGGGCCTCTGCTCGCCTGCCACCTCCCCTCAGGTCAGGCCCGCTGGCTGCCTGTGGCCACACGTCCATTCCTCCCGAGTCACCTCGGGTGCTGGGAGTGTCCTCACTCCCCGCTGAGCTCTCTGGACATGCCTTTTGTTTGTGCCACCTCCCAAATCATTTACTTCTGGATCTGGTCAAAGGCTGGACAGTGTGGTCAGCCTCTTCAAAGGCTTGTGGCCCCTATAGCCACCCCTCAGGCGGGGGTGAGGCAGCCAGCAGTCCCAGCTCCACCCTGGGAATCAGGCAGTCCCAGCCTACCTTGCTCCGGGACATTCGGAAGAGGAACAGGATGACCAGGTAGACAGGATAGACCACCACGCTAGACACCAGGCCGACGGCCACGGTGTCCACGCCCAGCGGGGTCAGCCTGGACACAGGCCGGGGGCTGTGGGGGGGAGGAGGGTGGGCTGGGCTGGGCCTGCGAGCAGGAGCTGCTGCGGGGCGTCCTGACCCCCACCCATGGGCACCCACCTGTAGGCTGCGTCGCCCACAACCCCGTACCACACGGCGTTGGCACCCAGGAAGAGGCAGAGCAGGACGATGCAGCAGGTGGCCCGCTGGACGCGTGTGAAGCGGCTCCGCGGCGGCCGGTCCCACACGGACAGCCAGATGTGCTTGTCGAAGAAGCCGCGCTGCAGCTCGGCCACGAGCAGGCGCCGGCAGTGCCGCAGGGCCGCGTCGCCTGGGGCGCAGGGAAGCCTCAGGCGGCTGCGAACCGCGCCCCGCCCCCCTCCCCGCGGGGCGCCGGCTTACTCGCTGCCAGCACCTCCTTCTCCACCAGGCCCCCGTTGGCCTCGGTCTCCACCGACAGCCAGTCGTTGACCAGGAAGAAGGTGCTGCGGGCGCTCTGCAGGTCCCGGACGATCACGTGCTGCAGGAACCAGGCGGGGCTGAGGCCTGTGGGCGGGGCCGGGTCAGCGGGGCGGGGCCCGGCCAGAGGGGCGGGGCCGGGGCGGGGCAGGGCTGGTGGGGGCAGGGCCGGGGTGGGTGTCAGCCGGGGCGTGGACCCGGCAGGGGCGGGGCGCGCGCCTACCCCACCTTTGTTGTCGTGCCACACCCGGATCTTCCACACGCTGCCCAGGCTGTGCGGGGTGGCGATCTGGAAGATGTCCAGGCTGTTCCGGTGGAAGGCTCCATCCCCGTCCAGGTGCCGGTGGCCACTCCGGCTGTCCGCCCCATACAGCACAATGCCCACGTGTGCCGTGGTGCCTGTGGGGCAGGGAGGCTGCGCTCTGGGTCTGCTCCCGCCCAGCAGAACGTGGCCCAGGCCAGACCGCCAACGCCCCTCATCCGCAGAGCTGGGGCCTCAACCCACAGACGCAAGCGGCACCCCCCGGGCACCGCCACCCACTGACAGAGCCAGCTGCCAGTGCAGCACCAGACCAAGTTCACGCCTGCTGCCCGCTGCCCGGGCCCCCAGCCAAGCCAGGCCCGGACTGCACGCGCAGTGCGGGGTGTCAACAGGCCAAGGCCGACAAAGGGTGGCGACCAGTGGCCACAGAACCCGAGGAGGCGCCGGCGGCCGCAGGTGCGGCCCCAAGACCTCAGGCCGCAGCAGACCGCCACCGTCACGGGGACACTGGTGGTGACGGCGAGGACGGGCGGCAGAGGCCCTGGCGCCCACCAAGCACTAGTGGCAAGCTGGCGATTCGGGCAGACAGCAAGGGCAGGCAGGCGCGACTCCGGCCACGGAGAGGCCTGGGCCCTGCTGGGAGGCTGCTCGCAGGTGCTGACCAAAGCTCTGCCAGCCGCCACCTCACAGCCCAGGCCAGAGGCCCGTCCATCTGCGCTCTGGGGCAACCCTCCATTTCCGCTGCTGCCCCTGGCGCGCTGTGCACAGGCGCCCCTCCCCACCCCAGGTTCGCCCATCGGTACCGACGCAGGGGCCCCGCCACGGGGCGAGCCGCCCTTCTGTGGCTCCCACACTGGCCCCTGGGCAGCACCCACACAGCTGCGCAGCAGCCCAGGACCGCCCACCGCCCGCCCTCACCTGAGCCTCGGCCCCAGCCGGTTTTGACCAGGATCTCGTACTTGAAGCGGCCCCCCTGCCCGCAGAAAGGGATGACGCGGACCCGGCTGACGTCCAGCAGGTCCAGCTTCCTCAGGACCACGACCATGACCGCGTAGGTCGCCAGGCACACGGCACACGTCAGCAGGACCACGTAGTTCACAGTGGACGTGGGCTCCTGGGGAAGAACCGTCAGGCCCGGGCAGTGCCCACCCCCGGCTCCTCGGGTGGCAGTGGCCCTCACTCACCGGGAAGATGAAGTGGACACGGCTGGGCGGCACGAACAGGCTGGCCCCGAAGGCAGTGAGGTGGCGGGTGAGGCAGACGGCCTGGTGAGGAGAGGTCCCGTCCAGCGGCACGAGCCCCTCCGTCCGCCACGCCAAGTCCTCCTCGCTGAAGTACTGGCACAGGGACGAGTACAGCCCCACCGACACCTCCAGCGCCGACCAGCGGAAGTGGCTGGTCAGGTTCAGGTAGTAGCGCCCGCCGGGGGCCCAGGTCCTGCGGAAGCGGCGAGTCACAAGCGCGACCCACGGGCCAGCGTCCGCGGCTCCAGCGAAGGCCCCCGAGGGCACAGCCTGCCCGCCTGCCGCAGCCCCCGCGGGGCGCTCACCCCGGGGCGATGAAGAAGGTGTAGGGCCTGTGGTCCTCGCCCGCCAGCGCCCGCAGGCTGATCCTCCTGCTGGCGGAGCAGTTGTGCTCGCTGGGCTGAGGGGCCGTATGCAGGTAGACGGCCAGGTAGGGCTCCGGCTCCTCGGGCAGGTAGCGCTCTGGGGAGGCACATGTGGGTTCGATACCCACCCCGAGCAGCTTCTCTCACCACCCGGAGTCCCTGGGGCACAGAGAACCCCAGGATAGGACAGGCCTCGCCAAGGCTTGGGCCCCTACCGTCGAGCACCGTGTAGGTGAGCTGCAGATGCAGCCCGGCCTCGGGGTTGCTATTCTCAGAGGTGACCACAACGCTAACTGAGGCCCAGGGCTGGAGAACAGCAGAGCCGGCGGGGCGGCGGAGCCCCCGGGCCGCCTGGTCCGAGCTGCTGGGCACCGTCACCACGATGGCACGCTCCGAGGCCAGGTGGCTGATGGGGATGTGGGCACCCGCCTCCGTCTGGAAGGCCATGGACGCCACCTTGGTGGACACGGTGTAGTTGCTGATGTAACCGAAGGGGAAGGGGTTGGAGTCGACCAGGAAAATGAGCTGCACCACGTCGCTGAGGTTGGACAGGGCACCGCTGAAGGCCGGGGGGATGGAGAAGTGGCAGCCGGGCCCCACGGCGTCGCCGTAGCACAGCAGGCCCCGCGGGTCTGCACGCTTGCCCTGAGCCACAATCTCCTCGCCCGCCAGCGTCAGGGGCTCCTCGTTGAGCACCCGCGAGCGCATGAGAATGCGCATGAGAGCCGAGGACAGGTGGTAAGCCCTGGACGCCACCATCAGCGCTGGCGAGTCCGGCTCGGTGCCTGGCTCCGGGCGCGGTGGGGCCTGCACATCCTGCACGTCCGCGCTGGCCAGGTGGATGAGGCCGCCTGCGGGGGAGACGTGTGGGAGGGTGGGCCAGGGGGACGAGGCCACATGCAGGGGAGAGGTGGGGGGTGGCAGGGAGCTGCAGGTGGGCGGGGCGGCAGCACACCTGTGATGTTGAGGATGCTGTCAGCGATGGCGGTGGGCGTCCCGGTGCCGGCCGCCGTCTCCTGCTGCAGGATGCGCATCATGGTCTCCAGCTTGTGCAGTGTTGGCTTCAGGCAGGAGCGGCAGACCAGCTCCCTGCGGGACACCTGTAGACCACTCATCAACCCCAGCACCCCCCACGGCCCAGACCCAGTTTGTGGCCTCAGGACTCGCAGACAAAGCCCAAGGGGGCAGAGTGCTCCCTGCTGCCTGGCACCTGCCCACTCAGATGCCCCGTGGCAGGCAGCCCCCCAGGCTTCCACTCCCCATGCCTCTGCACCCAGCTCTGCATGGGCAGCACATGGCCTCGCGGTGGGAGTGACTGGTCCGCGTGAGCACAGGCCGCAGGGCCAGCCCCTCACCCGACCCCTCCCACTGAAGCCACTGTGGCCGCAGGTGCCGGGTGCAGCCAGAGGCTCCTACCGTGCACTGTGCCAGTGCGGCTGCGATCTGCTGGATGTCGTCCACGGTGTGGACGCGCAAAGACACCAGGGTCTCTGTGACGTTCTTGCGTATCTGGGCCCGGAGCTGCTGCTGCTGCTCAGGTTCCTCAGCTGCCACCAGGCTCTGTTCGTGCTGCAAGTGGCAGGGTGCGGTCAGCGGCCCCAGGACCCTGACCCCGGGGCGGGCAGGCGCAGCCGCGGACGTCCATGCGGGGGCAGCAAATCGAGCCCCCAGCACCTTGCCCAAGTGCAAGGGGGGTTTGCTCAGGAACCCCGCCTGGATGGGGCGCGAGGAGGTGCGTGGGGCAGCCGGTGGGTAGGGCAGCCGGTGGGTGGGGGCGGCACAGCAGGAGCCGCTCCAGAGTGTCAGGGGCTGGCTGGGCGCGGACCCTGCTAACCTCATTGAGCACAGCGATGAGGGCCAGTGAGTACTCGATGACGTGCTGGGGGTCAGCCTGCCGCAGCAGCCCGGGCAGCCTGCCCTCTGTCAGGCTGTGCAGCCAGGCCGTGAGGTCCGCAGGGCGGCCGGGGGTGGCGCCAGGGGGCTCGGGCAGAGTGATGGCCAGAGACCTGCGTGCAGAGGATGGTGAGCGAGGCCCCACCCTGCAGCCCCGGCCCCCGCAGCCCCACACACCTGTTGAGGGCCACCACGGCGGCGCCCAGCTGGTCCTGCACCACCACGGCCAGGCCCACCAGGAAGTGGGGCCCGAAGCCAGGTGGCAGCACAGCTCCGTAGGCGGCGAGGCTGCCCTTGTAGACACAAAACTCCTCACAGTGGCCCTGGCGGCAGCGCCGCAGCAGTAGGGCATACACCAGGGGTGCGCCCGCGTCCTCAGCGTCTTGCCAGCCTGTGGGGGTGGTAGGTCAGTGGGCAGTGGGCAGGCCCGGCGGTGCCCCCACCTGGGCCAGCCGGCTCACCCGCACAGGTGAAGTGCACCGTGGTGGTGAGGGCGCGCACGGTCTCCAGCGGGAAGAGGCGGCAGGAGCCACCCCGTGGGGGCTGGTTGGCGGCCAGACGGATGGAGGCGCAGCCCTCTTCCTGGCCCGTGGGCCCCAGCACAGTCAGCGTGAAGACGTAGCCCTCGCCATCCCGCAGCACGCCCCGCCGCACCACCAGCCGCAGGTCCGAGCTGCCCGTGGACGTGGTTGTCTCATCCAGCACCAGCGTCCGGTTGCTGAAGGTACGAGCGGCCCAGCGCTGCGGGGGGACAGGTGCTCAGGGGCGGCCGCGCCTCTGCGGGGCCTACCCACCCCGACCCCACTCACCCCTTGCTTGGCGCCGCCGCTGCAGTTGTCGCAGCGGCCCTCCAGGTACACGTAGGAGCTGCGACTGACCGCGTACACGGCCTGCGCCCTGCAGGACACACACTCCAGGGACACGATGGGCACGCGGCCGCTCCGGACCAGCACCTGGTGGCGGGGCGAATGGGGCTAGACTTGGCCCGCTCCTGGGCAGGCCCAGAGGTACCTGGTGCCAGGGCGGCCCCAGGCCCAGAGGCTGTCGCCCCAGGATCCGGCCAGGGATCCGTCTGGCCTCGTGCCTCCCAAGCTGGGGCGTCCTCTAAGAGACCACACGGGGCTCATTCTCTGCGCGTGGGACTGTCCTGGGGCTGCCCGCAGGGCACAGGCGTCTGCAGGCCGCAGCCCCAAGCGCCCGCCCCGCCCAGCGCTGGCTACCCCGGGACAGGTGGCCGGGCCTCAAGGTGGGGCGTGCCCGGGGCTGTGGGCGGGGCCTCCCTGAGGCGGGGCCGTGTGGGCGGGGCCCGGGCGGGGCGGGGCTTCCGCGGGGCGGGGCGGGGCGGCTCGCACCGTCTGGTTGGTGGCCTCCTCCCTGCGGCCCGCCTTCCACACGGCCAGGCTGAAGGTGTACTCCACGCCGGCCTGCAGGCGCTCCCGGGGGATGGTGACCAGGCTGCTCCCGCGGGGCCCGAAGTTGAGCGCACACCCGCCGCTCGCGTCCTGCAGCCACAGGGGGCGTGAGCGGCCGGCCTCCCGCGCCGCCCGCCGGGGGTAGCTGGGGACGGGGCCGCGGCCGCGGGGGTGCTGACCCGCGTGGAGGCCTCGCAGGCCCAGTGGAAGCTGAGCGGTGTCTGGTCGCCGTCCTCCAGGTTGGGGTCGTAGGACTTGCTGCCGTCCAGCACCAGGTCCTGCGTGTCCGACCACACGCGGTAGGAGCCGCCCTCCACAATGGGGACCAGGCGCTCGGGGGCCACCGTCACATTGGCCTGGATGCTCCGTGCCAGTGGTGTGTCCCCAAACGCCACCACGAACACGAAGCAGTAGTGGCCCACGGGCAGCGCCAGGCGCGGCACCACCAGCTGCGGCCGGCTAGTGTCCACACCAGGCAGGGCCACGCGGGTCAGGGGCCGGGGCCGCTGGCAGCTGGCCGCCCGGTACACCTCCCAGCGGTACTCTGTCTGGTAGGTGACGCAGCCCCGCAGGTCCACATGAGCCTCCAGGTAGTTGCGCTGGGCGCGCCGCATGAGCACTTGCAGAGGCAGGGCCACGTCCACCTGGGGCTCGCTGCAGGCCAGCACATGCACAGTGACCGTGGCCTGGGCCACAAAGAAGCTTACCAAGTTGGAGGCGTTCACCTCCACGCGGTAGTCCCCAGGCCGCAGGTAGGTATGCTCAGCCCAGGGCTCCCGCGTGTCCTGCGCCGCCCCGTCCCCGAAGTCCCAGCGGAAGGCCGCGTGCCGGGGGCTGGGGCTGGTGGCCGCCTGGAAGCGGGCAGAGCGGTTGGTGAAGCAGCGGCCACCCCGCAGCACCACGTGCTCGATCACGTCCTGGACCTGGACCACCAGCGTGCAGTTCTGCCCGCCAAGCTCGTTAAAGGCACGCACATGGATCTCCAGCAGCCCCGCGGCCACGGGTGTGTAGGCCACGTCACGGCCAGACAGGATGACCAGCGAGTCCCCCTGCACCTTCTGCAGGGAGAAGTACCAGGCGTAGGCCACACGGGAGCCCCGCTGCACACGGGCGGTGAAGTTGCGCTCGGCACCCGTGGCGATGCCCGGCTCACAGCAGTCAGGCACCTGTAGCCCAGCCACGGCCTCCAGCACCAGGACACGCACCTGCGCCTGGGCCCGGCTCACCCGATTCTCGGCCTGCACAGCCACCAAATAGTCCCCGACCCGTGGGAAGCTGCGGGAGAAGCGCGGCCCGGGCAGCGTTTCGGGGCCGGCCCCGTTGACCTGCAGCTGGAAGCTGACCATCGAGCCAGCGGCCAATAGCACCTGGAAGTGGACCAGCTGCCCGGGCTCCACCACCTTGCTGCTTGCCCACAATGCCAGGCCCAGGACAGGCACCTCTACGGTGAGGTTGTGCGCGGCTGTGGCCCAGCTGACCGCGTTGGAGGCATTGAGGCGGATGGAGAAGGCGCCGGCATCAGGGAAGACCACGGCCACATGCTGGCCACGCCTCTCTCCGGCCGGGACGGCCCAGCACCAACTCACGTCGGTGCCCGCAGCTAGCTGCCCCGAGAAAGACATGGCGGAGCCGGCCGCCACGACGTGGGCAGCCGACTCACCAGCCTGGATGCTGAGCCCACTCACGGGCACCTGCACGGCCACCTCAACGGTGGCATTGGCTGAGCCCAGTTGGTTCTGGGCTGTGACCGTGACCCAGTGCAGCCCGGGGGTGGGGAAGATGTGGGTGGTGGCCGGCCCCAGGGTCTCCCAGCTTGGCCCTGCCTCCAGGGACCAGATGTAGACGACGCCACTGCCCCCGGCCAGCTGAGCAGCGAGGGCGACCCGCGTGCCGACAGCCGCCGGGTTGGGGGAGGCAGACACGGCCAGCCCGCCCATGGGCTCCACGAAGTCCACGGTACGGTTGGCTGAGGCGCTGCCCAGCATGTTGGTGGCCCGCAGCTGGATGTGGTAGGTGCCGGCCGTGGGCACGGTGAGTGAGAAGGCTCTGCCGCTGCCGACCAGGGTTGGGCCGCCGCCGTCCCGCTGGGCAGTCCAGCTATAGGAGACATTGGTGCCGTCCCTGACTGTGGCCTGCAGCTGCAGTGTGAGGTTGGTGGGGAAGCAGCAGCCGCGGCCACCAGCCACCTGCAGGCCCTCGATGTGCCGCAGGACGGAGATGAAGATGCTGTCCTGGGCAGCGCCCACCTCGTTCTCGGCCGTGACGATGATGTTGAAGGTACCCACCGAGCGGAAGGTGTAGGAGATGGTGGGGCCGCCGGGGATGGGTGTGCAGCGGTCACAGAGGACCCAGGAGTAGTGCACGTCGCTGCCGGCCTCCAGGGCGGTGCTAAAGCTCACGCTGCTGTTGAGCGGCACCACGGTGCGGCTGGCGTTCACGCTGAGCCCCCGCACCCGCCGCTGCACCGTGACATTGAGCCGGGCCTCGCCGTGGCTCACCTCGTTCCAGCCAGACACCCTAATGGCAAAGCAGCCCGTGCTGCTATAGGTGTGGGTGACGGCCGCAGGGCCCTCGAAGCGCCTGCCGTCCCCCAGCTCCCACAGGTAGGTGGCAGGGCGCCCCCGGCCCAGGACCGAGAACAGGTGGGGCTGCTGCAGCTCCAGCGCCCGGGAGCCGTTGACTGCGATGCCCGTGAGCTCCACGGGCTCCTGCACCTCCACCAGCGCCGAGTCGTTGGCAGCGGAGACGTTGTTGGACACGGTGACCGTCACCAGGTAGGAGCCTGCATCTCGGTAGGTGAACGTCGCCTCCTGGCCCCCAGCGCGGGCGGCGGCGTCCTCGGCCCCGGAGTCCCAGGTGAAGCGGTACGGGAAGGGGGGCCAGGCGCGCGCTGCCAGCCGGGCCACGTCCCCCAGCCGCACGAACTGCCGCTCGGGCCGCAGCGTGACGTTGCCCAGCTCGGGCTCCACGCAGATGCTGGTGAAGTAGTGCGCCTTGTTGGCACGGCTGGACAGCACCAGCGCCAGGGGGAAGGTGCCGCTGCGCGTGAAATTGTGGGTCACCGAGGGGTCCCCCTGCACGGTGGTGTTGGACGAGCCATCCCCGAAGGTCCAGTCAAAGACGTAGTGGGCCGGGTCGCCTGTGACGTGGGCCGTGAGCCGGGCGCGGGGCTGTGTGGGGATGCAGGCTGCCGGCTCGAGCCGCAGCACCTCCAGCACAAACACCTGCACGGGCAGGCTGCGGGCCAGGTGGCCGGCGGGGCTGGACGCCTCCACGGTCACCGTGCTGTTCTGCGCCCGCAGGTACACATGCTCCACCGTGGCCTCGGGGCCCGTGAGCACCGTGCCGTCCCCCATGTCGAACGTCCACGTGACGTTGTCGCCTGACTCCAGGGAGGCGCTGACCACAGCCGGCGCACCCTGCTCCACGGCCGGCGGCAGGCGCACGCTCAGGCCGCGCAGCTCCTCTAGGACACGGACGCGGGCACAGGCGGCGCGGCTGCTCACCGTGTTGTTCGCCTCCAGGCAGACGCGGTAGGCGCCCCCCGCCGCATAGGTGTGGCTGACCACAGGCTGCTGCCGCCGCGCCACCGGAGAGCCGTCCCCGAAGTCCCAGGAGTAGAGAACGCCCCCTGGGGCGGGCAGCGGGTCTGGGGAGAAGGCGACGGGCCGGCCGGCCACCAGGACCCGGCTGCCCACGGCCACGACCACGGCGGGCAGGGCGGCTCGCACGCTCACGGGCACCTGCCGCGTCAGGTTCTCGAAGGCGTTGGACACCAGCAGGGTCAGGTTGTACTCACCTGGGGAATGGGCCGAGTGGGGTGGGACTGGGCGCTGCGCAGCAGGAGCCCCGGGGCAGCGCACACCCGGGGAGCACTGCAGACCAGCCCAGGCAGCAGGAGCGGCCGTTGGCATGGGCAGGGGCAGCCGTGCCAGGCACGCTGGTAGGGGTGCGCAGGGCAAAAGCGAGGCCCTGCTTACTCTGCGTGCCATGGGTAAAGCCTCTGGAGTCTCCACGTCACCGAAGGGGATGTTTCCACGTCCCCCTTCCCCCGCAAGACAGGCTCAGGGTTGACAAGAGGGTCCAGCAGATTCGAGCCATGGTGCCCGGCACCCCCACCCCTTGCCGGGATGCCCTCCCTCACCTGGCGGGATGGCTGGCCTCACCTGGGGCGGTATAGGTGTGTGAGGTGCTGTGCTCCACCTGCACCTGGGCCACCGCGGGGTCTGGTGCCTGGAACGACTCGTTGTAGGGGGGCTTGAACCAGCTGGTCACCTGCTCTCCGTCCCCAAAGGTCCACCTGCCAGGGCAGCAGTGGGCAGGCTGTGGGGACAGGCTCATGATGACCCCTGCCCCGTCCGATGGGGGAGGCCAGACCCAAGACCCTTACAGGAAAGTGATGTCCACTGCGGTGTCCACCAGCACCTCGGCGGCCAGCACCAGCGTGGCATTGCAGGGCAGCACAGGCGGCACCGCAGACACGCGCAGGACACGCATCCTGTGCATCCGCGCCACCGTGACGTTGTAGCTCACTGTGACATTGCTCACATGGTTGGAGGCAGTCAGCTGGGGGGGAGAGGTGGCAGTGAGCAGCGGCCAGCGCCCTGGGCAGTGTGCACAGAGCCCACCCCACACTCACCCACGGCTGCAGCAGGGTCCTCGGGAGCAGGGGGACAGAAAGCAGGAGTGAGACACGGCCCCTCACCCCAGGCCACCCTCCAAGCCCCCCCACCCCAGGCCGCCCCCCACCGAGAGCTTGAAGACGGCTGTGCTCTGGTAGATGACGTTGAAGACCACATTGTGGAAGGTGAAGGACTGCTTGTCGTCGATGGTCCAGCGGAAGGCCACGTCCGAGCCTGCATCCACCACCGGGCTGTACCTCTGCAGGACAGGCAGCGGGGCCTGTGACCGGCCGTCTGCCCCACTGGACACGCCCTGGGGCTGGCTGCAGGGGCTTCCAGGCCCAAGGGGAGGGGCCCGGGATGCTGGACCTGACCCTCTCCAACTCATCTCCCCCCTTGGAAAGTGGACCTGGCTCCATGGCCGGGAAGAGCAGCCCCCGCCCCGCCCCGCTTTGGGCCCTGCTCTGCCCCTATTCCACAGCCTGCGGCAGGAAGGCCATGACTTGGCCGACTCTGCCATCTGCCGCATCGCCGGGGGATGGTGTGACATGTGACAGGCTTGCGGGGACCAGGGCCGCGCCACAGGGGCAAACCCTCAGGGCACCCCTCCCGAGGCCCCAGGGTGAGGCTGCTTGGGGGGGGGTGGCCGGCCGGCACAGGGCGGGCAACCCAGGGAAGGGCAGCCCCTTCTGGGCGTGACACTGGCCCTGGATGCAGTGCTGGGGCTGCAGGGGCAGGATGGGCGGGCACTCACCACCAGCACGCCCTGCAGCACTCGGGCCTCAGGGCTGGGTATGGCACGCAGGCCACAGACGGGCTCCTCGGCCCTCAGCGGCAGGCTGAGGCGGGCCCGGCCGGCGCCGCTCTCCACCAGCACCTCCATGGTGAGCTCACCCTCTGGGAGCCGGGGCAGCACTAGCACTGAGAACAGGGTGCCATTGGCCTCCCGGGCACAGCTGGGCACCAGGGCAGCCGCCTGGGCAGGGCACTCGGCTGAGAAGGGCGCGCTGGCGTTGCCCCCAGGCCAGCGTGCCGAGGCCGTGGCATTGGCCCCCGCGTCCACCTGGAGCACCAAGACTGAGCCCACAGTGGGGACGTAGCGGCGGCCATCCTGGGGGGTGGGGTGCAGGACCCGCAGCCCGGCCACTGGGGACAGCACGTCAAAGCGGCAGGACAGGTCGTGCCTGGACACGCTGTTGCCCACTGTGGCTTGGACCTCGTAGCGGCCAGGACGCCGGAGACCCGGGTTGGGCCCTGGGCCCAGCAGCGGGGTCACCCGCTCCGTGGCGGCCAGCAGCCGCAGGGCGCAGTGGGGGCCGGCCGGTGCGGGCTGCAGCTGGGCAGGCAGGTGGGCCAGCCAGGCCAAGGCATGGGCGGTGAAGTGTGGGGCGGCGGGGCCGGGCGCCGGGGGACACCGCAGGAGGGCACCAGGGCCGGCATCGTGCTGCAAGCTCACGAGGTCCCCGGGGAGCAGTGGGCCATCCAGGCCCCCTAAGGCCACCTATGAGAGAGGGTGGCAGGGCTGCATCCAGTCCTCAGTGGGCCACCCAGGGCCTAGAGGGCAGCAGCATCCCCCAGTAACCAGTCCTCCCCACAGGGCCCCAGAGGGAGGCAGCTGGGGACAGCCCAGGGCAGAGGCCGCAGCCAGTGGGCGCCCTCTGCGGGGCCTGCGGGCAGGACGTGCCACAGGGAGGGTCCTCTGGAGACACCGGGACCCTGGGAGGTCTGAGCTAGGGGCAGTGGGCAGGGCTGCAGGGCTGTGCAGGGGGCCCGCACTGTGTCAGGGGTGGTGGCCAGGCCAGGGGCACGCACCGAGTACTGGGCGGGGGGCCCTGGGGGCACGGTGAAGAGGGACTCCTTCCATAGCACAAAGGTGGCCCCGGGACCTGCCTGGGGCCCGCTGGCGCAGGCCTGAGGGTGGCAGGGGGCACCCAGTGGCAGGCAGACGTTGGAACTGGGGCACTGGCACCCCTCAGGTGGGCACGCAGGGGCCAGCTCAGTGCCGTTGTCCAGGCTCCTACTCTCAGAGTCACTGCTGTTCTCAGGGGACGCTGCAGGCGGGGAGTGGCAAGGACCCCAATTCATGAACAGGTCACCAGCAAGCACCCCCACAGCACCAATCCCATCAGCAGCCCTGCCCTGCCAACACCGACCCCAGCTTGGAGCTGCAGGCACCCACCCACTGCAGGGCCGGAGCCACCCAGGGCACAGGGACACTGGTGCCCAGCGCCCCGGCCGCCCAGCGCAGAGAGAGCCCCACCTGCTCCTGCCCGGGGCCGGAACACCTGCAGCCTCAGCTGAACAGGCTGGTCGAGCTCCTGGGTCCCAAACTCAGCCGCGGTGATGAAGGCCTCGCGGCCCAGGCCCGGGAGCACCAGCACCTGCGGGCAGGGACCCTCAGCCCAGCAGACCTGGCCCCAGTCGGGTCCCCCAGCCCCTTCTGGAGAGCGGAGCCTCACTGGGCCGGCACAGCGCCCTTGGGGAAGCTGGTCCCATGCGGCCGGGAGTGGCAGGTCCCTGCCTGGGGCCTAAAAGCCCACAAACACCCAGAAAAGGCTCAGGAGGGGGCCAAACCCCCAGGCAGGCCTTGTGGGCCCCTGCACTGGGCACACTGGACCCAGTGAAGTGGGAGGAGGCAGCTGGCCTCAGGGAGGGCTCCAGGACCGGCCTACCTCCACAGGGCCCCGGGCGGCTGAGAGGGCCTCCAGTTGTGCCAGGGGGCTTAGGGGCCCCTGCAGGTCCCCGCTGGGCGCTCCCACCAGGAAGGTCTGTGCATCCCACACGGGTCCTGGGGAGGACAAGCCCGGTGAGGTCCAGGTGGGGGGCGGGGCAGCAGGGGGAGGGCAGGCGGGGGTGGGGGTGGGGGCCGACGCACCTCCGGGGCGCAGCTCGCAGACGAAGCTGTGTGGCGAGGAGCACAGGTCCGTGTTGCACTGCCCGGCAGGCCCCAGGCGCACACAGCGCTCAGCCGTGGCGGGGTGCGGCTCCCCGGGCAGCCAGTTCTGGCAGCTCTCCAGGCTGAAGGTCTCGCCCCGCGGCGCCGGGCCCGCCTCCACCCCGTCCACCGCCGAGAAGCCTATCCACACGTCCAGGCTCCTGAGGGCGGTGGGGCAGGGTGCGCACTCAGGGCGGCCCCCAGAATGGCACCCCTCCTCCAGGGAGTCTGCACCTGGGAGCAGGCAGGTGGGCCCATCCTTGCCACTCAGGACACAGGGTGCCCAGAGTGAGCGCCCAGGCCCAAGGGGCCCCTCTGCAGGGGAGCCAGAGGGCTCCAGTCCCATGCTCTCCCGGCCGGGGCAGGCGCTGTGGCCCAGCATGACCCGGGGACTCCCAAAGCCCACCGGGGGAAGTGCTCTCTGGAGGGGCGGGTGTCCAGAGGCCCTGGGGTGTGGGCCACCCTGCCACCAGGCAGGGGCTGCGTGGCTGCACAGGGTCCAGGGTGTCCCACCCGGAGGGCCCCCAGGACACGGGCACGCAGCCCACCCCTCTTGCACCCACGTGCGGAGCTGATGCGAATGGCCATCAGGGGCACAAGAGGGTCCCGCCCAGGCCCCAGCCGCACAGGCCCCTCCCGGTCTCCGGCACCCCCCAGCATTCCAGAGCCCCGGCCCTCCTGGGGTGGGGACAGCACCTGGTGACCTGCGAGACCAGGAAGTGCTGCACGGCGGCACTGTCCACCATGGCCAGGGCAGCCCCAGCCCAGGCCCGGCACTGCTCCTGCGCCTGGAGCCAGGCCGCCTTCTCGGCCACCAGGCGGTAGCAGTGCCCGTTGCTGGGGAAGATGGCGGTGTCCGGCGGGCAGAGCGGGTGCACCACTGGAGGTGGGCAGGCAGGGGTCAGGCATGGCCCTGCCTGCCCTGCCGCCCACCAAGACCCTGGGCAGGGGCAGGAGGGTCACCCACCCTGGGGCGGCTCCCCGTCCAAGGACATGATGCGGTAGGTGGCCTCAAGGTCCGAGCCGCCCCGATTCCGGACGCCCAGCTCCAGGGCCTGGTCGCTGGTCACGGAGGCCTGACACAGGAGCTCCAGGGCGGCAGGCGCGGCCTCCACCCGCACCTCTGCCCCCAGCCGGGCCCAGCCGGCCCCCACGGCCAGATGGACAGCCACAGCGTAGCGCCCAGGCAGTACGTAACGGTGGGTGGCCGTCGGACCCGCAACAGCCACCTCCGGGGAGCCGTCGCCAAAGTCCCAGCGTGTGGAGCTGACGGGCAGCGGGGCGGTGATGTGGAAGGTTGCGGCCTGGCCAGAGGCCAGGGGTCCGGGGGGCCCCACCAGGGCAGCCCCTGGGGAGGCTGGGAAGACGTCCTGGAGGAGGGTGGGGGCCCCGCAGGCGGGGGGCGGCGAGGGGCCTGAGCAGAAGGGCTGGCAGGACGAGGCATTGGGGTGCTGGGGGGCCCCGCACAGGCACCAGCCCTGCTCAGAGAGGGCCGCGAGGCCCTGGCCAACCCCAAAGCAGAGGGCACTGCAGGCCTGGGGCCTCAGCGGGCTCTTGTGGACAGCTGTGAAGGCCACGGGCGCCAGCGCTTGCGAGCTGTTGTCTGGGAGGCAGGCCACGTACTCCTCACCTGGGGAGCAATGGGCCGTGGGGCAGGCGCCCAGCAGTCATGTGGGCTCTGCCCCTGCTGCCCGGCCTGGACACCGTCCGCGGTGGCCGGCTCTCCTCCCCAGGTGGCCTGGCTGCCCTGCAGCCGCTCCCCGCACACACCTGCTCCCGCCACCCACCCTCGCCCCCACGCTAGTGGCCCCGGGCACCCGTGGGTCCACAGCAGGGGTCGGCTGGGCAGCCTGCCTGCCTCCCACACTCACCACAGCTTCCAGACCAGGGGACGCTGAGCAGGGGCCGGCCGGCCAGGGGGCCGGGCCCAGCACACGTGGCCACCTCGGGCCGCACCAGCCGCACCCGCCGCTGCTCCACCCAGCGCGGCAGCCAGGCCAGGCCGCAGTCGCAGGCCAGCGGGTTCCCACCCAGGTTTCTGTGGGAGAAGCAGGGTGGGCGTGGGACGGGGAGCCCCTGCCGAGGGCCAGCTGCCCCCCGCCCAGGGCTGGCCGTGACCCGGAGCCCATCAGGGCAACACGCCTTACATTTCGCTTAAATTAAGTAAGTTAGCAAATATTCCTTCTTCCAATGCAGAGATCCTGTTGTTGCTTATGTCCCTGCAAGAAGGGAGTTCGGGGTCGGTGGGAGGCCCCACAAGCGCGCAGCACCGGCCCACCCGCAAGCCCGCACAGCCTGCAGTCACTCACAGCTGCGTCAGCGCTGAGAGGTTGGCCAGGAACCCGCCGTCCAGCGCCCGTAGCAGGTTGTGGGACACGTCTCTGGGGAGCGAGGCGGCTGCAGGTCAGGGCAGGGCCTGGGACCTGACACTCCCCAGGCACCTGGCCCGTGGCTTTCTACCCCACAGCCCTCTGACAGGGTCCACTCCCCCCATGCCCGCCCTCAGGTCTCTCCCCACCGAGCCAAGGCCTCGATGCCCTCGGCCCAGCAGGGTGCGCCCAGGGAGCAGCGCTGAGCAGAGGGTCCTGGGGCACAGCCACAGCTGCGACCCAGTCAAAGCCCCACTGAGCCTGGAGAAACAGGAGCCCCCGCCCAGACAAAACACAGGTCCCAGCCCCAAAGCCTCAGCCCTCCTGGGTGTCCCCGCAGTCCCTGGGGCAGCCCTACCCTTCCCGCCCACCGCCCGGAGGTCAGAGCCTTGACGCCTCCCCTCCTGCCCCACATCCAGCCACCCCAGCTCCTACAGCGACCCACCCACCACAGGACAGTCACCCCCACTTCTGCCCCAGCACCCAGGGCAGCTTGGGGTGTCCAGAAGTACCCATCATCCCTGGAAAGGCTCCTGCTCCTCCAGCCTGCTGTATACAGTAGGAGCTTAATAAGAGCAGGCTGGTGTGAACACGAGGGCCTCCACCATCCAACTGGGTCCGGGGCCTCTGCCCACGCAGCCTGCGCTGGGGAGCCTGACCCACCAGCCCTGACCTCCTCCAGGGCCGACACCCCACCCCGTCCCCACCCGGGCCCAGCAGCCACACGGCCCCAGCCCAGCCAGGGCACCCGCTGGGTTTATGCAGGCTGCGCGGCCTGCAGCAGGTGACCAGGTGGGGACAGGCCAGCCAGCACACAAGGCTCCCTCGCATTACTAGCCGCCACCAATGAGGGCAGGTGGACTGCAGAGGCACCACCTTGATCCCTAGGAGCCTGGTCTCTCCGCCTGTAAAGCAGGGTGCTGAGGGGACAGCACAGGCCACCAATGCTCTCCCCAGTGGCTCCGGCTGGCCCAGGGAGGCGGCAGCCAGAGTGGCCACGAGTCACGCAGCATCAGTGGGCCCAGGCAGGCGAACAGGGTCCCAGGGCCAGCACAAGCACTGACCAGGGCAGCCCACGCAATCCCCTCGCAGGTTGAGCACCCCCGGCAGGAGCCACACACCCAGACCCAGAGGCCCTGCCTAGCCGAGAAGCGCGACCGCCTTGGGGATGCCCCAGTGCTGCAGCCGCTCAGCTGACCACAGGCTGAAGGCAGCGTGTGCCCCACCTGCCCGGTCTGGAGCCAGAGTGGGACCAGCAGAGGGGACAGGCTAAGTGCCAGTGCCCCCAGCCCCAACACTGGCTCCATGTCCCTGAACCATGGGCAGCGTGCCCAGCCTGGTCCTGCTGGGCTGTGCCAGCTCCCTCAGGGCGTCTCATGATGCCCACCCGCCCTCGGGCCTGTGCCCGCCAGCCTGATCTGGGGTACTTGGAAGGTGCTGGCCTGGGCTTCCAAGGGTCTTGCGCTGGCCCTGCAGGCGGCTCCTGCTCCAGGCCCAGCCAGCGTGGGGCGGGCGGCTGCAGAGCTGGGGCTGGCTCGCGCGCCCTGGCGGTCCCCCAGAACAGTGATGGCAAAAGCAGATGGAGGTGGGGGGAGTGCTGTGGGGGCGGGGTGGCTGAGGCACTGGTGTCCCCCTCTGGTGCCCCCTCCAGGTCCCCTGCCACGCCCAGTGAGGTTACCCCCCCAGACTTCCCCACCCCCAGGGCCAGCTCGGGGGCCTATAGGGCCCAGGGTGGCTCTTGTCCTGGTCCTGCCCCTTTGGCCAGCCGAGCTGGGTCTGGGCCCCGGGCAGGATTTCTCGCATCTGGGCCGTGGCGGGGCGAGCAGGGAGAAGGGGCGCCGGGCATGCGGTGGCCAGCAGCACGCGGGGCTGGGGCACGTGTGTGCGTGCGCAGCCTTGGGGGGGCCGGCCGGCCGCGTGCATCGGTTGGGGGTGTCGGGGCCAGCAGGCCAGGGCCTAGGCCGCCCGCCCCACCCAGGCTTCAGGCGCCACAGGCAGCTCCCAGCAGCTGCCACTCAAGGATTTTCCAAAAAATAAGATGCGGGAAGCCCTCGGGCACCTTCCTCCTCCCCTGCAGCCGGGTGCCCTCGCCCCACCTGCTCTGCCCAGGGCAGCCCTCGACCCCCTCCCGCCACTGGGAGCCCCGCTGGGCTCAGCCATGGCCCCAGCCGGGGCACATCTTCCCGGCGGGGAGGGGGGCAGGGCAGCTGGTCCTGTGGAGGAGGGGAGCCTGCCTGAAGGCCTGTCCCCCCAAGGCTCCTCCCCTAGAGCCCAGTCCACAGCCCAGCTGGAAGAGCTGGCCAGCGCCCCCCCACACGGCCAGAGGCCTCCCAGGAAGCCCGGCTGCCAGGTCCCCCCACCCCGTCCCCCCTGGGGCCGCTGTCCAGACACAGCCTCCCCCCGGAAGCCCTGACACCCGACTTGTTTCAAAAGCGGGAGAGGGAGATGGGGGGCCGTGTGCTTTGGAGAAGGGGTGGTCGCTGCCCTGACTCGCAGCCTCAGCTTCCCCGCCTGCCCATGAGGAGGGCCCACTCCCCGGTCCAGATGGGGGCAGGTCTGGGGGCAGCCGGAGCCCCCGGGAAGCATCTGCACATTCCAGACGCGTGTGGTCAGCGGCAGGGGCGGGTGCCAGGCCCCGACCCAGCACCCCCACCCGATGCTGGCCACTGCCCTGGAGACGGCTTGGGGGGCCGGGCCGGGCTCCGCAGGGGCCGCTGCAGATGTTATGTAACCGGCGCGCCAGCAGCTGCCTCCTCCCTCTGGCAGCACCGCGCGGGGCAGGGGAGGCCCCGCCCTGCCCGGCGCCCTCGCCCTCGCCCCAGGGGCCCCAGCAGTCTCCCCAGAAGCAGGATCCCGGGCTGCTTTCACCCCAGGGCGCCCTGAGACCCGCTGGAAGGGCTGGGGCGGGGGCAGCCCCCAGCACGACGCCAGTTTGAATCAAATCGCCTCACTGTTTTCATTCCTTTCTATTTCTGGCAAGCGGGCGGCTTCCAGGCCGGAAATGATGTTTAAATTAATGAATCTAAGCTTAGGAGAGTGGATTTGGAGAAAAACCCATAGAGGGGTGGGTGGGGAGACGGGGGCGCTCCGGGAGGGGGCAGGAGGGCCTGCAGCCCCCAGGCCTGCAGGAGTCACAGAGCGAGGGGCCCCCGGCTCCACGGGGTGAGCCCCCCAGTCGCCTGCGGCACCTGAGGGTCCCGGGGTTCAGGACATGAGGTCTGCACTTCGGGGGGGCTGTAGTCCGTTTGCCGGGGCCTGAGTTCCCGACACCTGCCGTGGGGCGCCCTGCAAGGACCCCGGGCCCAGAGGCCGGGCTGGGGAGCCACAGGAGGGAGATGGGAGATGGGGTCGACCCTGGGGCCCTGGGCGCTCCACCCCCAGGGCACTCACAGCAGGGTGGGCCGGGGAGCCCTCCTCACCCCCGCAGCACCGCCCCCTCCCGCGTGGGGCCCGGCCGGTCAGGGCAGTCTCTCCGGGCACCTCCAGGGCCGGGGGCCGCCAATGGCCAGGTCCACGCTCACAGGGCCGACGCCACGGCCCACCCGGCCTCGTCCCCGCCCTGGCCACAGCCGAGCCGGGGAGCACGGGGTGTCTCGGGGACAGGACACGCGCCCGCAGCCCGCGCCCACCCCCGCCCAGGCCACAGCCACGGGACGGCTTGTTCTCATCCCTGAGCGCCAGGCGGCCAGCCTCCCTGCTGGCGCGGGCCGCTGCGAAGCGTTCCAGAAAGGGAAATGTCTCCGTCCAAGATGGCTTCCTCCTTGAAACCCAATCCAGCTGGTCTCCCTCAGGCGTCGGGGCTCACACTACACGCCCACCCGCCGCCTCCCGCGCACAGCACCCACGGCCAGGGAGCCCGCTGGGCAGCCGCCAGCCAGCACCCTGGCACGGGGAGGCAGCTAGGGAGAATGGGGAAACAGGCCTGGGGGAGCACGGGCTGATGGCGGCAGTGGGGGCAGCCACGAGCCGGGCGGGATGTGCTCTCCGCAGGATGGGGGGGGGGCGCCTGGAAACTGACAGTAAGAGGAGAGGGGCCCTCAGCCAGGTGCCCTGGGCGCCCCCGGGGCCAGGCCAGACCAGGGGCCCTCCCCAGTGGCCAGCACCTGGGACCGGTACTACGGCCAAGGCTGTGGGTGCGCCCACCCATCGGGGGCCGTCTCAGGGGTGCGGAGCCGGGCTCAGAGAGGCCGAGCGGCCGAGCCAACGTCACACAGGAGAGAGGACAGCATGGCCTGCCCCAGGCCGGAGTCCTCGCCTCCTGACCAAAGCAGACACGGCTGGGAAGGAGCTGAGCAGGGAGGGTGCAGGGAGCATCGGGGGGCCCAGCCCAGGTCCGCCGGCCCCACTCACGGATGCCCTGGGTGTGGTGCCAGGGCCTGCCCCAATCCAGCAGCACAGGGCAAGGGAAGTGCGCAGAGCACATGGTGAGCCCTGGCGGCGGCTGCACAGGAAGGCACAGCATGGGGGGGTCTTTCCTCGGACAGCTGCAGTCAAGTCTGAGGTGGCCCCCGGCGCACGCAACCCCCCAGCCCGGCCCGTCATGGACGTGGCCGCTCCTGCCTCCTGCGGTAGGCTCTGCAGCATGGGCCTCCCGCTCACAGCCCGCCCGGGTCAGCTGGCAAGAGCGATCGGCACTCGGTCCTGCTCGTGACTGGACACTCCTGGGTTGGCCGGACGGGCTGCGCCGTGGCTCCCTCGGTGGGGGGGTTGGGGGAGTCCTCCCCTGCTGACTGCCAAGGCACAGATCCCCGCGGGGTGGACGGCTGGGTGCTGCCCACTGCCCCAGGGCTCCCACTCCCACCCTCAGGCCCGGGGTGCCACCCTAGGGGCTTGACAGTCTGCACCGATGGCTGGCGGGCCTCCGTCCCATCGGCTGACAACACACGGCCATTTCAGTCCATTCGCCCGTCTCTGCGGTCCTGACCCGCGAGGATGCGTCCCCTGCTGCGGCCATCACGGCTCCCTGGTCAGGGCGACCTGCGCCACCGCCCGGGGGCCTCAATCCTCAGGCCTGAGTCTTCAGCATCACAATTCCCCGTGAGGGCAGAGCCTCAGAGGGACCCCGGCTCCCTGCACAGGGCCAGCCCCAGGGCAGCACGCCCGGGCAGCTGCCCCGTCACGCGCCCACAGCCAGGCACACGGGACCTGCCCCCGGCCCTCCTCCCACACACCCACGCCTGTGCACAGCCCGGGGGCGCGCCAGCCCCACTCTCCTCTCACTGGGGAGACTTTCCGGCTGCTGTCAGTCACCAGAGGACCCCAAGGCCCAATCGCGGGCCTCTGAGCCCCCGACACCCCGTGAGGCAGTGCAGTGTCACCACCAGGCGACTACACAGCCCCACGGGCGGCCCCAGCCAGGCCGCGCTCCAGGCGCTCTGCGGGGTGGAACCGTCCGCCTCTGCTGCCCAGGAAAACGGCCACGCACAGCTGTCCTGGCACGTGGCCGGCCACAGTGCAGGCGCCACAGGCGGACGGGCCCATGAGCCCGTGGAGTGGGCAGACACGACCCCACGGGATGCAGGGCCCTGCCGGGTCACCACCTGGACCTCGCCTGGGCCCGTCGGTCCCCCAAACTGCAGAACACCCACGACAGCCCGAACGATGAACACTGGGTGCAGAACAGAGTGTCCCTCGGCTTTTGGGGTGACCCTGAAGTGGCCACCCCCACAAAATGCTCATAGACCCAAGAACAGGGTGCTGGTTTGCTGTAGGAGGGGCGGGGCAGGATGTTCTTCCTGCTTTGGGACCCATCACATTCTCCACCGTAAGCTCAAGAAGTTGGGGAACAGCAACATTCTACTGGGAAACACCCCCTTTGCAGGCTGCTCCTCTCAGCGGCATCTTAATTAGAGAAAGTCCAGGGTCTTTCCCTTACCGAAGCCCAGAGTCCAGGCCGGCCAGTCTCGTCCTCCCCAGTCTGGACACAGCTGCCGTCTCAGGCTGGCAAGGGTCTCCAGCGGGGCAGCACTGACCAGAGCTGCCAGGTCGGGCCTACCGTGAGAGCTGGGCCCCTGGGCTGCGTGCAGCCCTCCCCAGGAGGCCTGTCGGCCCGGCTTGCCTCTCCCTGCCCAGGAGGAGACTGGCGTCCAGGCAGACGGCTGGGCAGCTCTCAGGGGGCTGGAAGACTAACAATTGGCCCCCCAAAGGCCCCATTTCCCCCAAGACCCTCACTCCCAGCCCCCCAGAAGTCCCCCAGAGGCCGCTTCAGGGGATCAAGCCGAGCACGGCATCTCCACTCCCCATCCTCCAGCCTCCCAGGACCCCGCCACAGGCACAGAGGGGCCAGCAACTCGGGGCCCGGCCAGCTCGGCCCAGCCTGCTCCCAGGGACCCTCCTTCCAAGCCGGGGGCAGGGCCTAAGGGGACACACGGGAGGCTCCAGGCTCCACTCCACTGCTGCGCCCCGAGTCTTCAGAGCTGCCCCCCACTGCAGGCCCTGGCCCAGCCGCACACCGCCCCGTTCCCACTTTTCCTGGAGACCAGGTGTGGGGGGGCCGGCAACAGGCACCTGAGGCCACCCCCCAGCTGGAGGAACGGGGTGGGCGGCTCTGCCAGTCACGCAGGTGCTGCGGCCAGACAGCAGAGCCAGTGGCCGGGCAGCCCGCAGCCCGCCGGCCCTGGAGAGCCTGCCCGCCCCGCCGCCGGTGCCCACGCGCACCACCCTCGCCCGGGTGCGCCCAACAGAGGTGGGCGCTGAGAGCCCAGCCCCGTCTCCTGGTGCGGGCCGGCGCGGGCGGGAGAGGCCCGAGGGCCCCGGTGGCCCCGGGAGGGCCGGCCGGACAGGGCAACGCCCGCCACTCCTGGCCCGCGGGGCCTGTTCGGGTCCACCCGGGTCAAACCCCAGCTCGGCCGCTCTCATCCGCGCAGCGGGATCCCCGCCGAGTCAGGGCGCGGCCGCCGGGCCCGGCCGGCTGGACAGGCTCGGCGGAGGTGGCCGGCCCCCCCGGCCGCCGGCTGCCCTGCCCGAGGCGAGACCTCGGAACCCCCGCGCCCGGGCCGAGCACCCGCCGGGCACGGCGGCCGGGGCCCCCCACCCGCCCCTCCTCGGGGCCCCCCGCCCTCCCGGGCGCCCGGCCGGGGCTCGCGGCCGCGCCAGCGCCTCGCGCGGCCCCTCCCCGGGGCGCCCCGCGCGCCCCCCGCCCCGCACCCCCGCGCCCGCCCGCCCGGCCCGCGCCCGGCTACTCACAGCGCGGTGGCGCCGGCGGGGATGCGCAGCGCGGGCCCGAGCGCCCGCAGCCCGCGGCCCGCGCAGTCGACGCGGCAGGCGGCGCCGGGCGCCGGGGCGCAGCGGCAGGCGGGCGCGCACGGCCCGCAGCCGCGCCCGGGGCCCCCCGCCAGCGCGCCGAGCCACAGGCCCAGGCCCAGGGCGAGCGCCAGGCGGGCGGGCGCGGCGCGCGGCATCGTCAGGGCAGCGCGCGCATGGCCGGCCCGGCCCAGGCCCGGGGCCCGGCGCCCGGCTCAGGCGGGGCCGGCGCGCGGCATGGCGGGCGGGGCGGGATCCGGCGGCGGCCGCGGCCTGTCTGTGCGCGACGCCGCTCGGCGCTCGGGCCCGCCGCGACCTGGGAGCCGGCCGCCCGCCCGCGCGCTCGCGCTGCACTGCGGCCGCCGGGCGCCTCCTCCCGGGCGGCGCGGCGCGGGGGGCGGGGCCGGGGGCGGGGCGGGGCCGGGGGCGGGCCGGCCTCCCGGCGCGGGGCGGGGCGTCCCGGTGCCCCGCCTCCTCCTCGCTCCCCGGCGCGCGCAGCCCCGGAAACGCCGCCGCGCGCGCCGCCCCCAGCCCCGCCCGCAGGCCCCGCGCGCCCCGGGGGCCCCGCGCCGGCTCCGCGGCCCCGCGCGCGCGGTGGGGCCCCGGTTCCCGGGCGCGCAGGGCTTCACGGCGACGCCGACGCGCGGGCTCGCAGGCCCCGGCCGGGCGTCCACACCGGGCAGCCCCGGGAGGGCGCGGACGAGGGGCGCGGCCGGCGGCGCGCTCGGCCCCGCGCGCTGGGAAGGCGGATCTGGAGATGCGGGGAGTTTGTGTTTTTTAAAAAGAAAGATTTATTTGTCCATTTACACAAGCGCCGGGCGCGGTCGGCAGCGCGGGAGGGCGAGAGGACCCGCCAGAGCCAGAGCGGGCGCGGAGCGGCGGAGGGACCGAGGGACCCTGCCGGGGGAGCCGCGGGCGGGGCGTCTGCGCGCCGTGCGGGGCCCTCGCCGCCGCCGGGCATCGAACCGGCGCCGCAGAGGCCGCGGGCGGCGTCGCAGCCCAGCGCTCACCCGCCGCGCCCCCGGGAGGCCCGGGAATTACATCTTTAAAAATCTTGAAGACGCGATAAAACCATCCCACCGCTGGGCCACTGGGCTGCTCTCCCGAGAGCCTGGGGGGAGGCTGAGGGGTCCCCAGACTCCCAGGGGTGAGGGCCCCGTCCCACAGTCCTGCCGCCTGTGCGGGCGGCATCCAGCAGCTTCCCCGCCTCCTCTGCACCATGTTCTCTCCGGGCTGATCGCGCGCGCGCGGGGCAAGTGCCGCCACCACTCCCTGCGGGCCGGGGCCCGGGATGCTCCGCCGTCCGCATGGCCAGAAACCCTGGACACCTCCTCCTCTCACGGGAAAGCAAACCAGCGCTTCGGGGGCCAGGGATGAGCAGGGTCGATGGCCGGGAGCGGGCAGGGTACAGGGGCCTGGAGAGGGCCCGGGCCTAGGCGGGCCCGGGGCGCCACTCCCAGAGTTCAAGCCCTTCTTGTCCAGCTCTAATTTAGGGGCGGGGCTTAAGTTAGGAGGCGCGTCCCTCCTCACAGGGCAGGACCGCGGGGCTGGCACACCTCTCCCAGCTCGCCTCTGCCGGCAGAACCAGAGGGAGGGCTCGGCCGCGCCCCTCCAGGCCAGGCGAGTTGGGATGAGGCAGTAGGTCCCAGTGGGATGGAGCCTCGGATGATGGGGGAGTGGAGGAAGGAGGGGGCTCAGATGTTGCCCTGCCTGGGAGCTGCTTGTCAGAAAAGGACAGGCTGTTTGCTGGGTGGGGTGCCCTGCGGGAGAGGGATGTGGAGAAAAAGTGAGAAGTGGGCTCTGGACCCGCGCTGCCCTGGGCCATCGAGTACCCCCCGTACGGTGTATGGAATGGAGGGAAACGCTAGAGGGGAGAAATCAGCAGGCGCAGGTGCCGCAGGAACAGGACAGGGACTGGATGTGCTACAGCTGTGCATCCCCCCTTCAATGCACAGGTCCACATGAACCCTAACTTGGGGCTTCAGGAACTCTCTACGGCCTCACCTCCTGGCCATTCTCCATGTTGATCTCTGTGCCTGGAATGTGTTGTCATCCCACCCCCATGAACACTCATGCCTGCGGGCTCAACAGAGGTGCCTCCTCCTCCGGCAAAGCCCCACAGTCATGCTCTGGTGTGCCTATTCCCCTCACACGGCCATTCAGGGAACACATCATGGACCGTCACCTGCAGGCAGAGCATATGTCCCACCACTGTTGGTGCCCCTAGGACATCCTGTCCCTCAATTCTGCCATGCCACCTGCAAGAAACTGCAGGCCCGATGCTCCCCAATGACCTCTACTGAGGGCAGGTTGAGTGCCAGGGTTGGTAGGAAGCCAGATGCCAGCAGGTTGGTACCAGGGGATGGGGTGTAGATGTGGCTTGTGGTCTGCTGTTTCTCGAAACTTAGGTATGAAAGGAAATCGAGGGGCCTCCCTGGTGGTGCAAGGGTGAGTCTCAGTGCTATCAAGCTATCCCCAGCCACTGCAGCTCGAGTGCAATCCCCGGCCAGGGAGCTACCCACAGGGTGCAGCAGACCTCTCCTGTCTTGCCCGCAGCTCCCCTCACCAGTGTGTTTCAGTCTGTCCACCTGTTCTGTCCCCTACTCTGTCTCTGGTGTATCTTCTCACCCCCTGCACCTCTGGCCTGTACCCCAGCTCTTGCATGCATAAACAAATAAATCTTTAAAAAAAATAGTTAAAGGGCCTCCCCGGTGGCGCAGCGGTTGAGCGCTGGGTTGCGAAGCTGCCTTCAGCCTCTGCAGCGCCGGTTCGATCCCTGGCTGCCAGGTGAGGGTCCCACATGGTGCGCAGACCTCTCATGCCTCCCACTGTTCCCCTCAGCAGTGTACTTCATCACTCTGCCTGTTCTACTCTCTGCTCTGGCTCTGGTGAATTCTCTCACCCTCCCGTGCTTCTGACTGTACCCAGTGCTTGTATAAATAAATAAATAAATCTTACAAAAATTAAAAAATAAATAAAGATAGGTATTAGCATAAAACAAAAAGGAAAACTAGAGG